TTTGTTTGGGATTAATGGTAAGCGTTGGATTAGTTGAGGGCTTCTTGCTATCTGTATTTCCAATCTCTGAATAAAACCTCTAACTGCAAAAGACTAGTGCCACCTTTGGATGAAAAATAGTATTAGATCTGTCAAAGTGACCTGTTCCCTACCCACACTGTTTTATTATTAGATAATTTATCACACTTGCTGAAAGCTTAGTAAGATTTAATCAGAAAATACCTTTTTTCCTTCTCCCTCTCACCTTTTCTCCTTTTGCCTCCTGTTCAATTTTTAAGCAATAAAGGGAGAAAGAGTCCTTCCCTCTTCTTAGTGTTCACATTTCCCCATCTCTTCAGAGTTTATCTTCAGAAATGTATCAAAAAGTCTCTTATTAATCATCACGATATTTGATTAAGGCTCATTTGTGAGCTATGGCCACAAAATCGTTAAGCATTGAGGGGAAAATGAAAAAAAAAACAACAAAACAAACAATCTAAAACAAAAAAAATGAAACTTCTAAGTTTAGGTAAAGGTTTACCTAGATTTTTTGAGGTTTTTTTTGGCACTTTACCCACTATCCTTATTTTACCTTGCTTTAGATAGCAAAAAATGCCAGACATTGATCTTACAGGGAAAGACTGCTTCATTTTGAGAGGTGGTATTCAAATGTGGCATGCCAGGTCTGGTTGGAATGGAGTTCATGTTCTTCAGAGAGGAGCATGCCCCATGTTTTGGGAATGACTAAACCAGCACTGGTAACACACCAGTGGTTTTGGCTGTTGCTGAACAGTGCTTGCACAGCACCTGCACAGCATCACATCTTTGGTTTGTCACCCGATGGGCCAGGGGTTAGCAAGGATTTTGGGAGGTGACACAGCCAGGTCAGCTGACCCAAACCAGCCAAAGGGGTATTCCATAATGTGTGACATCATGCTGAGTGATGGCAGGGGGTGGAACACCTTCCAAGGAAGCCATTGCTCACAGACTAGCTGGGCATTGGCCTGACCGTGAGAGATGGCGAGTGCACCTCTGCAGCCCTTCCCTGCCCTACCCTCTTTCCTTCACTTTTAAACCATCTTTACCTTGATCCAGGCATTTTCTCGCCTTTGTTTTTCCCATTCCCTCCCCACCCCACTGGGGAGGCAGCGATCAAGCAGCTGTGTGGGTGCTTAACTGCTGGCCAGGGTCAACCCACCACACTAGGATGTGCAAAACCTGTCTCCAAACTAAGCTCACAGAAGCACACAGTGTCTTATTTCTTAAGGCAAAGCAGGATAGCATTACTGTCAGCCAATTCTACATTCATGTTTGGTATTAGCAAAGAGTGAAGACTGAAAGCTAAAAATCCCAGAGAGAAACAAACGATACCACTTGCTAATTGGCATTGGTTTTCCATCTCTGTGTGGGTTTATAATTACATGGAAGCTTCACTTTATTTCAACGGCTCTGCTTTTATTTCTAACAGTAGCAATTTCCAGTTTTTATTGGATGATCCCCTGGAGACCTTGCACTAGGAAAAAAATAAATGTGCTCAAAAACACACTTCGCATGTTCAGGCATACTTCTACAGCACAACGAAACAGATGCCATTTAATCTACCACCACACACAAGTGAGAACTTGATAAAGACAGTCTGGAGCTAGTCCAATCAAAAGAAGTGAATTTTCTTTATGATTTCCCAACGCAACCAATTAAGTCCACTCCCTGCACACTGCAAGGCCTTGTTTTTTTCAAATTTCCATTATTTCTTTTTACTGACAACTTCCCTTATCCCCTTGGAGGTGAACAGACAAGTGTTCGGTTTCTGCTGAGGAAGTGCTCTGACATCAATGCCCCTGTGTGGCCATCCTAGTTTTAAAGCACCAGGGAAGTTTGGCCAGATGACTTTTTCTGCTCTCTACAAGTATCTCCTAACACTTCAAAGAAGATTCACACTCACCTGTAAAATAACTGTTTCACACATCAACAACTACGAGAATTGGTGTTATTATCCTGCCCTTCCACTCTGCTCTTGTGAGACCCCACCTGGAGTACTGTGTGCAGTTCTGGTGTCCTCAACACAAAAAGGACATGGAACTGTTGGAACCAGTCCAGAGAAGGGCCACGAGGATGATCAGGGGACTGGAGCACCTCCTGCATGAAGACAGGCTGAGGAAGTTGGGGCTGTGCAGCCTGGAGAAGAGAAGGCTGTGTGGAGACCTCACAGCAGCCTTCCAGTATCTGAAGGGGGCCTATAGGGATGCTGGGGAGGGACTCTTCATTAGAGACTGTAGTGACAGGACAAGGGGTAATGGGTTAAAAATTAAACAGGGGAAGTTTAGATTGGATATAAGGAGGAAGTTCTTTCCTGTTAGGGCGGTGAGGCACTGGAATGGGTTGCCCAAAGAAGTGATAAATGCCCCATCCCTGGCAGTGTTCAAGGCCAGGTTGGACAGAGCCTTGGGCAACATGGGTCTAAGGAGAGGCATCCCTGCCCTTGGCAGGGGAGTTGGAACTAGATGATCTTAAGGTTCTTTTCAACCCAAACCATTCTATGATTAACATATGAGCCACCATCACCTGGCAATTTACTGGGGAAAGGGCTCACATTCCCAGTTCTTACAACTATTCTTCATCTTGTCTACATGTTTGGCTCTAGCCATAAGTTGCAGTGAGATGTCCGCTTTGTCAGAGGCTGTCCCGTAGAACTTACTTATCAAACCTAATTTTAATCCCCTCCAATGACAGGAGGAATCAGGTACAACAGTAATACTCAAACCTTACTGGAACTCATCCATCACTGGGTCCCCAGTGAATTATTTGCTACATAGCCACTGTAATGAGGTTTGATAACTTGCTCCATCAGAATGAATATCTGATTTTAAAGTCTTGTGGAAAGAAACCTAAGCAAAGAAACAGAGAAAACAGTCCACTTACAAGCTAAAAAAAGAATCCCAGTAAAAATGCTTGTATCCCATTACTATAATCAGTTCGGTCAGGCTAATTTTCATCATCTAGTATTTTTTCTGAGAACATTATAAGCAGTTATATTTATGCTGCACGATCAAATCGCTGATTTATGAAGGCCATTTACAAAGGCCATAGCTACACAACTCAACATACTCTAAAAATTCAGAGTTTCTCTATATGCCCTACCCTAATGCACGAGTGACTGTAACTCATGCTCGGAGTAACATGTAACTCGGAGTCCAAGTCAGGTAAATATTAGAGCAGTGTATGTCAGAAGAGTCCTGGAAGTCTCGATATGCTAGTAAGATTTAAAGAGTAGCTTTGCACAAGATGTGATTCCTAGCATCTCTTATTCGTGTGAAAGTCAGCCAAAGAAGTAAATTGTATATGCAACTGTTCTAGTAACTTATTTTCCTTATTTCTATCCAAGCAAATTCAGAACATATCCCAGAAGGGACTCTGGGGCTGCAAGCATGTCCATGGACACTTAATAAAATGAAAGAAAACCAAAAATAGATAAAAACCACCACATCAAAGAGAAAATGCTGCTTTTTCCTCAGTCCAGACCCTGTTTCTTGGCCTTTCTGGCACTTACAGTCACCTTTACACTTCCACAAACCTGGGCCATATAAGCCCTGATTATACCCCAGAATAAAAATGAAGTTGAACAGCTCCAGACTGTGAAAGCTAGATTAAACCCTTTGACATGTACTGTCCTGCCAACATAAACTGCAGCAGCAAGTAGGCCCTTTCTGCCAATACAACCTATTTTAATCACAAACACACTAAAAGTCTGCAGTGCCTGTCCAGCCTGCTTACATTAAAGCTGACATTCACTCATAGATGTTGATCATACCCATCTTTAGTGTCATAGTGACACATACTATGTGACTGACAGCTGACCACATTCACAGCAGCATGGACCATCACTAGCTCTTACCTTAATGACTGCAGCCAACTACTCTTAAAAGCAGTTGCCTTTCACCCAAGTCAAAATTTTAATGCAGAACACAACTCAGAGGTTTGAAAATTAATCCAAAAGGGTGGACAAACATTGGGCTAGAGGATCCAGCCCTGGCCTCCCAGATCAACTAGTTTAAAACATCAGCTGCAGCAACAGAGAAGAACGTCTGTGGATTCTCATCAGGTTATACATAGGATCATAGAATAGTTTGGGTTGGAAGGGACCTTCAAAGGTCATCTAGTCCAACCCGCCTGCAATGAGCTGGGACATCTTCAACTAGATCAGGCTGTCTAGAACCACATTGTGCCTGGCCTTCAGTGTCTCCAGGGATGGCACATCCACCACCTCTCTGGGCAACCTTTGCCAGTATTTTACCATCTTCCTTGTAAAGAAATTTTTCCTCGTACTGAGTCTGAATCTCCCCTCCTTTAGTTTAAACCATTACTCCTCATCGCAACAGGTCCTGCTAAGAAGTCTCTCCCTATCTTCCTTATAGGTCCCTTTTAAGAACTGAAAGGCTGGAGTAAGGTCTCCCCAGTCTTCTCCAGGCTGAAGAACTCCAGCTGCATCTGCCATTCCTCAAAGCAGAGGTGCTCCATCCCTCTAGTAATTTTTGTGGCCCTCCTCTGGACCCTTTCCAACAGGTCTATATCTTAACTCACAACCAACAGGCAGTACTCTATTAGACTTACAATAGCTCAAGCCTAAGCATACACAGTACCAAAATGATGAGCTTGTGATGATACCACAGTATCTAAATTTGTGTTACCTTGCCCAAGAAGTCTGACACCCTTCCCCTAGCTAGGATGCCAGCGTAGGCAGAAATTAGTAGCCTGACAGTGAGCCTTATCCCTCTTTTCTCTCCCTAATTAGATGGGATTCTTCCCTTTCTTCAGCAAAATGCTAAAATGGATGTGACTGCTCTGAGAAAATGTAAAGGAGGAGTTTTGTTCAGACCAGAGATGGGGTAGAAGGAGGGATTCTGTCACAGGCGGCAGCAGCAGTCTCTCCGAGACAGGCTTTAGCTTTCCAGCAGCCAGATTAACATTTCCCATCCCATGCTGACATACTCTTCTCCCTATTTACCAACCCAGGAAACCATTAGGCCTTTGCCCAACAGGTTTAATAGTAGCGCAACTGGTTTAAAACCAGTCAAGTAACTCGTTCACTCACTGCCCCCCTTCTTTCCCTCCCCCTACTCCCGGAGGGACTGAGAGGAGAACCGAAAAGAATGCAAATCCCACGGGTTGAGATAAGAACCATTTAGTAACTAAGGTATAACACAAATCACTACTGCTACCACCAATAATGATAAGGGAAATAACAAGGGAAGAGAATACAACACCTCAGCACCAGCCTACCAATAACTCACCCCACCCCACCCAACCGAGCACCAACCGATACCTCTGATACCTCATCCAACCCCGCAGTCTCCCAGCCCTTCTGGCTAACTCCCAGTTACATCCTGGGCATGACATACTGTGGTATGGAATACCTCTTTGGTCAGTTTGGGTCAGGTGTCCTGTCTCTTATTTTCTCCTGGCTTCCCCTCCTCCCTGGCAGAGCATGAGGCTCACAAAGTCCTTGGCCAGACCAAACATTTGAGCAGTAACTAAAAGCATCGGTGCTATCAGCACCTTTCCCGGGCCAAAAGTCAAAACCACAGCACTGCACCAGCTACCAAGAAGGAGAAAAAATGACTGCTACTGCTGAACCCAGGACAGGTACAATAATACCAAAGAGGTGCGTCAGTATCACAAAAGATACAAAAGATGTTTAGCTAAACGTATTCAAATGTTTAGCAGTGCGTTAGGCAATGCCATTCTAAAAATTCGTAAGACATATTATAATACAAATTTAGGCACACAGAGATGCAAGTGGACCCCTTATGCCTGACGCTAAGTACCAGCTGAAACAAAAAGGTCTTTTACTTGTAACTCTATCAGAAATCCTGTATCTCCCCAAATTCCAGCACTGTCAACTTTCAGTGCCTTGTTCTAACCGCTTACCCCAGCTAGGACCTCTCCATTTGCATCCTCCAGAGCACGCGATGCACCACAGTACTCAGCTTGACAAGAGCAAAGAGAGAGTCACGACTGATACTGTAAATACGTTTGTTTCACATATGGCTGCAGCTCACACTTTGTGTGTGTCTGTTCTTAAATGACAGGTTTATCTGCTGCTTTAATGCTAGCTGGCTCATGCCTGCCTAACCATACTGCAAGCAACATGACTAACCCAAAAGCAGTATGGTTCCAGAAGATTCCGTAGTCCATGTGATTTACTTATCTTGTGGAAAAACATAGACTACATAAGACTTTTAAAAGTGTCCATAGCAAATGGGATGTTTGATGGGATGGGATGTAGCATTGCTAATCAGCCACTAATGGCTGAGGGTTTCCATTTGTTTTAGCACATACATCAAAACTGGGCTGCTATTGCTATGCAAATTGTTTTATTCAGATGTCTTTATAGCTGCTTTTGTTTCAAAGACCTGCAGAACTCACTAAGGAACTCATGCTTCAAAAATATACATACTGAAAATAAATTGGCATTTTCTGCAGGAGGTTTCAAGTATCTGTACAAAGGAAAGTTAAAAAAAGGAAAAAAAACCCACCCTTTTAAGTGGGGTATCAGAAGTGAGGCTTTTTAAGTTACTTGAAGATTTGAATGGAGGAGTTCATTCAGACACAGAGTGCTATTTCAAACACAAAAGTATCATTGGTTCCAATTATATACTTTCCCCAAAAGAGACCTTACTTTTGGCACAGAGACACATACATCCTGCTTTTCCAAAGAAGCTCCTTTATGAACACACTGAGCTGCACCAAAGCCCTGCTTTGGCCCTCAAAGCTGAAGACTCAGGCCACTGCTGTGATACAACACATGCCCCAAGGATGCAAGGACAGGCTTTGCACTAGGATGCTCCATGTACCCAAAACTGGGAGATGAACAGGGCAGGCAAAGACATAACACCCAGACATGGCATATATTGGGTTTGTATGACAAAGGATTGGTCTTCACTAACACTGGCCACATGAGTTTACTTCTGGCCAACTACAGAGTTGGTATCACACCTGCCCATGCCCACCCCGTCCTTTGGGTTGCTTTTTTCAGATCAAGATGACTTGCACTTGCAGTCATTTACAGTGGGATTTCTTTCAAGCACAGGAATAGCACAGAGGAGGTGTTTGCACTCAAATTCTTCAGTTACTTTCATTTGACTGTAGCAAGAGAATGTACTTTTAATCTCTGCAGAAATTCAAGTATGCTGCTTTAACATACTTCCTCTTCTAAAAAAAAAAATAACCTAACAAAGAACCTAAACCCAAAACATTTACACCCACTGTATCCACAAATGAACAGAGAGTTCTAAATGGAAGAAATGCACAAAACTCGGGAGAACTGGTGCGGAAGCCCAGCCAATACCAACCGAAGATCTCAGGTTCTCATGTTCTGAGTCACATCCTCCAGTTTCCATACGCAGGATGGGAACTCCAGGCTCCTACTCACCTAAATGACATACCTGGTGTTAGCAGATTAACTGCTTTTCTGCCAACATGCTTTAGCAGATCAAATAGTGGAGTATTTCCACAGATTCAGTTTGGAAAAAAATTCCCTGTCCTTAAGGAGATAATATTCCGCTTTAGTGTTAAGTACAAACATAAACCACAAAATAAGGTGAAGTTGAGGATACAGAAAGTAATTCTTGGGCATATTCTACAGAAGTATAATTGGACAACCAAGTAGGAATCTGCTGTCTTCACCACTTCTATCTTTTCTCCCTTGTCTTCCCAGAAACATGTAATTTTATCAGCATAGACAGACATCCAATGAGACTAGACATTTGAAGTGCCTTGCTAGCTGAATCTCAGCTGCTTGCATAGAGCCATTAGCTAGTTGCCAACTCCAGGGCTACAAATCTGCTAGACAATGAAAAGGAGACCTTGGAATCAAAGCCAAGCAGTGGACTTGAGTTTTCAAAATAATGCTGTACTTCAGCAGCTCTCATCAGTCACATGAAGGAAGTCAAAGCCCTGTGAATAAAGCAGTGTTCTGCCTTGCTGAAAGAAGAGAGATTTTATACTTGTACTTACAGACTTTCAAAGTGCAATACTGTTCAAAAACTTCCACGCATCTGCCCTTTCATACCCATAATCCATATAAGTGTGGCAGAGCATCTGCAATAAGAAATCAAGGCTTGCAGAAGTACATCTTTAAGAAATTAGTATTGTTTCAAACATGATTTTAGAAAGCTCAAGGAGTAAAAAGGTCAATATCATAATGAAAACCCACTGAATACTAGGAAGACCTTGCAACATTTAGAAGCCCAACTACAAAAATCCCTTTAATTCTGGATTTCATAGAATTACATTGCATATGACTGAACCATCTTATGAATTATTAAGCATCAGAATATTATCAATACAATTAAAAAAAAACTCATTCTAGCTTCTCTCACTATGAGACTCAAAACAAATTTAGATTTGTAACTCTAGTGCCCCTAATCCTGTTCTTAAGCCATTATCTAAACTATAGATCAAGTCATTCAAACCACCCATCAGAAAATATTTCATAAACCACTTGTAAATCTACACACATTGCTGTGTAATCAATGAGTAAGTGTAACTCTCTGATGCTATTCAGAATTCTCACCTAATTTTATCCTGTAGAAAAACATACTGTTCTTCTCGCATGACAGGCTTACAGACACCAAAAGATCTGCAAGTAAAACTCTCCCAAATCTTAAACTATATGCCTAATTCTACAGGGAGCAGTTGACGAGACTCTTGAGCAAAGCAGAACATGTCTAAAGCTCTTTCTTCACCCATACTTTATTTCCAAACCAAGAATACCATGGCAGATATCCTTTCCCAGTCTCAAGGGGATGATTAGTTTCTTTAGGCAGCTCAACTTTAAAGACGACATATCCCCCCCCCCCCCCCGTTAGAGGGTTCCATTAGAACAATTTCTGAACTGTTAGAGCACATGTTCAGACAAGCAAAAGAAAATTCCACTCACAGATGAAAAAAATAACTCCATAATTTGGAAGCTATTTCTTTCTTACAAAACAATTAGCTCAATAGTCCTTCAAATGTATGAGTAAAATTACCAGAACTGTGAAGCACTCAAACTCTCTTAGGTAGATAAGCTCAAATATCTCAAATAAGCTCATGCAATGCAGCCTCTAGTAGCTGGTTTTGAGATCTTCAACACATGCATTAGAAAAAATAAGCTTCAATGTCATATTAAAAAAGTGTAAATTACACATTTCTGTACATCAGCTTAAAGGCACTCATTTGTACATATAAATAGCAGCAAGACTAGCAGTCAAATATTCAATCTTTCCCACGTTCCTTGAACACAAAGCCAATGACTTCTTTCACTACGTATTTTAATACCTCAATTACCAGTGCAGTCTTTATTTTCATTCAAAGCAGATTATTTTACAGCAAGCTGTCTGCTATAACACAGAACTTGTGAGCATGCGAAATTAAGACCATGCATCTTGACTGACCAAAGGCAATGCACAATATTGCAAGAAACGAAGTCATTAATATATGATGGCACGGCTTTATGGCTTTTTTCATAATAATTACGTTAACATAGTCAGAACAGTCTACACAGAATGATGATTGCAGGATGAGGCCATCATGCAGGTATCTTAGAGCTGTTCAGTTTAGAAGGTGTGGACACCTCTGGAAGCAAAATCAGAACTATGAAAAGTCACTACTGAATGTCTATGGTAAACACAATGTTAACTATTCAAGTCAGTGCACAGAAACACAAAAGCTGGGCTGAAGAACTGCTGCCATCGACTCCACAAGAAAGCAGATTAGGATCACAGCTTGCAATACCAGTGTGGTTTTTGACTGCAACAGAAACTAAATTTAGACCCAGTTATATAAAAAAAAAAATACTAATAGCCTTAACACTTTTAATCAGTATAAGAGGTTTAAAGATGCACAAATGATTTAGTCTGTCGACTAGTTTTATACTGCTTTTGCAGTATTGTGCATTAGTAAAATCAGGGAGATTATGAAAGAAATGCTGAAGCATAATAAAATTACATAAAACATGAAAAGCAGAGTGACTTCAAACTTGGATACTAATAGAAATTTTGGCAGAATACATCCAGAAGGTAGTTCCTCTATAGACTCCTGCTGCATGGGGGCTAACCTACCCAGGAAACGCAGCACAAATACCTGGTAGATTCAGAAAACAGACTGGACTCTCCATAAATGCAGTGTTAACTCATCTGATCCTACAAAGGGAAAAAAACTAAAACACTTACTATCTTCATACTCTTGCAAATCACTGACCCATGGCTAGCGCAACAGTGCAATCTGGCAGGCTTTCAAATGCCAAGTCCGGCATGGTGATGGGCAATATGCTCTGCCAGCTGTGCAACTCCTTCAGGAACTGCAAAATGGCAAAAAATAATTCCCTGATGATTTTCAAGGATAGTTCATCATTATGGCCTGCAGAGCACCTGTCACTAATTTATGAAGTATTGATCACACCGTGCTCAGGGGGTTTTATCCATAGTGGCTAAACAAGTTCCCAGAAAACAACAGAAGACACAACAATATTGTCCTAATATATGTAATTACTTGGATAAGCTACAACTGTTGCCCCAGGCATGTGGTAAAATTGCACACTAGGTGGCAATATTATCATACACCTATCACTCTTTGCTGTTTACACCATGAAAACATGCTTAGGTTCACATTTTGAAGCATAAGCAACAGGCCAGTTGGCGGGGGGGAAGTTACGTTTAGCTAACTTGAACTTCACTGCACAATGGCATCACAAAGTACCCCTCAAAAGCAAGTTTCTGTCACCATGCACTAGCTAACACAGAAATGAAACAGCTGACAGTCCTACTGAATTTTAGTGATGACCAAGTTCTATTTTTTTATTGTCAAAGATCTTTCAAAATCCTCAAAACCCCATACAATTCTATGCAATTTAAGTGTTGCTACTGATAAAGACCTATTACCTATCCACTTCAGAACTATTTCTAAGAAATGCTAGTAGTAACAGCTAAACTGCGGGTACCATAAAACTTACCCAGATAGATCTAAAAGATGGAAAAAAACACCAACCAAACCAAACCAAACCAAAAAACCCAGTTAACTTTGCAGCAATTACTGTAAAATATAAGCTCAGGCAAGTATTACCACTGATACCTGGCTAATCGCTGATGAAGCCAGTTGTTCTTTTTCTACAAAAATATAAAAATCGGGGGAGAAAGCAGTAGTTTCTCCAGATTAGAATAACTGCAATGGTTTTACATAAAACTGCAACCTTAAACAAACCCCAGTACAATGTTAGCTTTCAACTTCTAAGCTATTAATCTTTTTTTCTTTGCAGGAACTAATTCTCAGTGATCTAAGCTGGCTCACTCTAGATTAGAGTTCTTGTTCCAATTTCCATAGCTGTAAAGCAGTCTAGAAAATGACTGTGCTTTGTGTCACAACATTATGGTTTACAACTGGCGAGACAACTAAACCAGGCTCCTTGCAGACAAGGCAACAGAGTTAAACGACAACTCTAAGAAGGCACTGATGAAGCCACCATCTTGAGAAACTGATCACTCCCAAGTACTGCTGCTTAAGAGTTCTGTTGCTAAGAGTTTGTTCTTCATAATTGACACCTAAATATTCCTATAAACTGATTAGGCATAAACGAAGTAAAACAATCTGGTTTTATCTAAGAAAATCCTGTAACACACTGGAGATAGAACAGTTACTTAGCTGCAGAATTTCTGACATTGTTACTTGTTATTAATTGTACTTTATTTTCTACACCTTAAATACTAGCAAGGGCACCACAGTTACTACCACATGACGAAGTCTTTCCATGGGATTTCCAAACTTTTCCAAAGTCAATTTTGCAAAAACTGGTATCAACCTTGGGCTGAGATGTACAGAAGGTTTGTGGTTTGCATTTTTTTCTTTTTAACCAAAATCACCATCATTGTGAATTTCTTTAGAACCATTCATCAAAAATACTTTCTAAAGAAGTTTTTAGCACTTCAGAAAAACTACACTGAAAATAAAAAAATATTTACACAACTGAAACTGTGTACTTCCTCATTATCAAAATTTGAGATTACCAGATTAGAAACTATACTTTTTGGCAGATGCTTAACTCATTATCATTCAGCTGTTGAACCACAGATCCAGCTTGCACCAACTAAGAGGCTTACACAACAACAGGCAGGTTATTACCGCTTAAAACTCAGTATACCAAACTTGCTTCTTCATGCCGTTTTGAGTTTCTATGGATACTTCGTTACCTGAAAAACTGCCCCATGGGTTACTGAATTTCTACTAAAAAAAAAAAAAAGTTTTTTATTTACTTCCTATCACAGTGGTAATATATATCAAGAAGAGTAAAACGTAAGGTGCACTGCATGGAACAATTTAGTTCTCCCATATTTTAATTATCTCCCATATTTATTCAACCTCCACACTCCCACTACACATAAGAAAACATACTTGCCAGCTAATAGATTTTTAATTACTACTTCTGTGTTCCTCTTCTACCATGGTGAGCAAGCATTAGGGAGCTGAAAGGAGTGATCAATTCACTTACCAGTGAACTGCAACCACTCCTTAGAATTTCTCTGTCAGAAACAGTAAGATACCTTTTAGGACAAGAAATTAAGAATTTTACTAGTGTAAATAATTTAGAAATCCTAAAACAATGTGCTCTTTCATCCCTGATTAATACTGGTCAAGCAGTTAATAGTTCACTAATAGTTCATAATATACACTGCTTATCATGCAGTGAGGATACAGTTTCAGACCATTTAAAATATTCAGTGAAATATTTGCCTTGCTGGCAAACTTCCTGGAAGATGATTTTCTGTAAAAGATTGTGTTATTGTAATGGAAGCTTTCAACTCCATGGGAAGAAAAAAAAAGTACTTTTTTTTTTTTATGATGGCTACTGCTCACATAAACTTTGGCTATCTGCTCTATTCTGTACTTGCAGGAAACAAGCCATGCTATGGACTCTCATTTACAAAATAAATCCTAGTGATGTAAATTGTGATCTTTGTGTCATACCCATATCAGGGTATCACAGAAGACTTAAGACTATTTAAAGCATTTTTAAAAATAAATTTCACCAGGCAGTTTTAAAGACTACTAGATCTAGACTCATTAACATTAACCCATTTTGAACTACCATCAGTTCCTTACATAGTTTTCAGATCAAGGCCTAAAATTGTTTACTAGATACTGCATTCAAATCTGATGAAGTATCTTCCCCAGCACCCTTTTTAAAACTATGAAAATATCTATAAAAGCTATCAAACAGAATATTGTACCATGTTCAGATCCTGACAGTAAGATTTCTTTTGCTAAAGTCTCAAAAATTTTAGTGGTTTAAGTGTTTTCCCCAGGTAACACACTGCCTTCTCCTAACCAAAACATTAATACATGTCATATGCCTTATCAATGAAATATGTACTATTTAAGTGTTTTAGGGTACAAGCATCTATAACAATTACTTGGGGGGTGGGGGGTGTGAGTGTTTGTGTTGGTAGGGTATCTTTTTGCTTGTTTATTCCAGATTAATAGTGGTTTACTGCAGTTAAAAGCCAGTACACACACAGGAGAACTCCTACATTTCCAAGGAAATTCTACCAAATGTATCTCAAATGCTTTTATGAAACTGCTTCAGTCTCTGACTGAATGCAGGGCATACCACCTTTCCATTCTTTTGAAAAGTGGATCTGGTTAAGTCTAAACACTGCTCAGGGAAGGAGAAGACGACAGATTTTCAGCTCCAGTACATACTGTCAAAGTAAAATGATTAAAAATGAGACTGTCGCCCACAAAGCCATTTAGCTTCAGTTAAAGCTATGTTTAGACAACGGGAACAGCTTAACAATCCTAGAATTTTTTCTTTTATTATTAAAGAGTTCTGCCTCTACATTCCCTTAATCTTTTGGAATACATCTTCATGTTCTACTATATAGGCACAGGAAGAAGAAAATACAGATAGCTGGGATTTACCCACAACTACTTGAAGAAGCCAAGTTTCTGCCTTTCCAGTCTCTTTACATGCCCTCTGGCTCTTCTTAGTTGTGGAATCCACATTATCCGAGGCCCTTGGACTGAAATACTTTTGAACGGTCAAAGTAAGTACCAAAACTAGGGTTCGTTTTTTTTAAACTTCATGTTAATATTCTTGACCTCAAAAGCAACACAGCAAAAAGTAAAAAGTGACACACTGTATCAAATTTTTAGTGCTAGCAAAGAAATGGGAGAAGTCAGAAAATACAGCTTACAGTCCATGGCAGCACTGACATTTTGTGGAGGTAATGGGAAAAGAATCTTTCAGATACAAACAAGAATCAGATTAGAAACTCTGAAAATTACAGAGAAGTTCAATTATTGTTTAAAGTTAATCACAGTTAAGGAAAAAAATAGAATTTTATTTATGAGAAAGTCCTTCAGTTCCACAAGTAATGAATACACAGCCAAGGAGCACACCTGCCCCACAGTGCAGATGCAGCAGGTCATGTGTTGACTGCAGACATCCTGTATTCCCCTTCACCCCTCTCACCACCAGCATTGTTCACAAAAAAACCTCAGCTTTCCCTAGTCCCAGTCCTCAGATGACTAAAAAGCCTTGAGTATCAGCTTTCTAGGTCTGATTTCAAGCCACACTTACATGGAATAGACTGAAAAAAGAACAGTTAGCTGGTTTTGCTCATACCAAGGCTTGAACCTCTTCCATAGTGACGGCACTAATTTGGGGCTCTCCTCTAACAGAACACAGGAATTTAGTGAACAGTAACCTAAACTTTTGTTTAACTGTGCAGAATTTGAATCAATAGGTTAAAAAACCAAAACTGACAGATTTATGATCAGACTGTCCTGTCTTTATCCTTTAAGAACAGCACTATTTTTAGTTTGATTTCCTAAGGGATTTTTTCTTTATTAGCATATTGCATGCAGGCATGTGTGATCTCTGCCCATACTAAGCCCTCAAGTCCTAAGGCCAAAATCATCATGTACAAAGAAACTCACTTTATGAAAGTTCATTAGCATCAGCAACAATACAACAGTATTAACCAACAAGCACCCGGTACCATATAGATTTAGATAGCATTGCTACAAACCAGCTACAAACCCAGAGCATTTGTATGAAGTTGTGGCTGTCAATAAAAGAGAAAATAAATAAAAATAACAACAATAAAAAAAGCAAAGCAGCACATTGAAGCCATTCAATCATTCCTAGCCAAGGTTTGCTTTGTGTAACAAAATACGTTGTCACTGAGTATTCACTTTTCAAGGTTTCTAAATTTTTAGCATATAGTTCTAGCAAGTGCTTGTTTCGTTTTTGTTTTAACATGGTCTTCAGTTTTAAGTTACTATTTTAAACAGAATAGTCTGTAGATCAGAGAGAAAACTATTTCTCAGCAATAAATTGCAAAGTAAGTTATCTTTTCACTGAAAGCCCACAGGGCTATTTTTGCCACTTTTTAAAAAGTGTTTTATTTAAACATACACACAGAAAGTAAGTATTACATTGCTGCTGTAGGTAAAAACAAGCAAGCAACTCTCCGCTGCCAAAGCCGGTGGTTCACATGTGGACAGGGAAAAGAAGTATTAAATAAACTCTCAAGCGGCCATTTGTTTGAGTAAGTTAATTTCTGAGAAATTAAGGTGCCCAAAATTGTGTTCATTTTCACCTAAAAAGGTCAATTCCCAGCATCAGCAGCTACAGTAAGTCCCACTGTCAACTAGAATGAAAAATGGCACAACACATGCAAGTAGAATGAAACATGGCACAAAACCATTAACACATCACATGAGTCAGATTCCAAGATAAAGGATCTTCCTGAACTTGGCTCACGGCACTGTGAACAAACACCACATTGGATGGATAAAGGCTTTAGGTTTTGGAAGGATTAAAGTCAGAACTCAAAAAGATTTTCCAGTTGGCATAATTTTGCAAAAGCTTGACGTTGCAAATTCTGTACACTGGCACAGAAGTTACACTGAAGCACACAATCACTGGATTCTAAACTGCGCGACAGTATTATCCAGTCATCTTGGAGTACCTTTCCAAAGTAAATTTTTTGATATAGAATACGAACTGCTGTTCTGGAACAAATCAGTAATAGCAGATGCAAGACCAAGATGCAGTCGCATTAACACTGGGGGAAAGTCAGACAAGTCTAGCTTTAAATGGCTATTACAAAATGTACTTTAACCTTCATTTAAACGAAGAAAAACCAAGCAAAACAAATCACACTTGACTGTCCTGCTAAATCAGAGTTATTTATAAAACCCAACCAAACAAAAGAAAACCAAACCAAAAACCCCAACTACACAAGAAACAAAAAGAACAAAAGCAAAGCAACTTACAGTTTCCCATCTAATGTTATTTTAAAATAGAAGAATAACTTTGTTCTATTTTGTATTCTTTGGCAGGGAATCTATGAAACCAAGACACGTTCTGACAATCTGAACCCTTCCTAAGAAGAATAATCATAAACTCATTTACAATGTGTTATGTGGGAGACAGCAACAGTTTGAAAGTCGACAACATGGAATGTACCAACAGATTTATGAAGACAAGTAGCAATTATTTACATGTTCAGGGTAGTTAATTGTTCTTTAGGAATTAGGTTTCACCTGTATAAATTAGAAAGCTACAAAAAGTCAAAATTGAGAGAAGTCCCCACTGTCTTTAAAAGTTCAAATAAAACCATCTTTGCAGCACTTTCCTTAGACAATAGCATATTGCTCGTATAAAAGGTCTCTTATCCTATAGAAGTCCTGACAGAGACAGCCTTCCAATCCAATGCGCCCCGTTTCAGTCTGAAACAAAAGATGTTTCAATTTATTACTTTTAAGTCTCTCATTGGTAAATAATATTCTAAATTACACTAAAGAGTTTAATACACAGAACACCTACCCTGCGAACAGCCACCAAGTTGTTGCACACAAGCACTCCTCCTACAAATTCAGCTTGAATACCTTCTCGCAAGAGAACTTGCTTGAAGTCAGACAGCCTTGGCTCATTCATAAACACAGACTGATGTCCAAGAACCTTTAAACAACACATACACAATTAATGCTTCTGCTACCAAATAACTCCCATTTTTCCCCAAGATCTCCTCATCATTGTGTTGGCAGCAGCGTGGCCAACTACGGGACAATAAATGAGAAGATAGGTTTCATTTCTGTTCACCTGCAACAAGACATTTCCAGGACAGGAAAAATTCAGAAGTCAAGTAAAAGCGAAAAAAAAAACCTGAAAATGTTCATTTCTCTGTTCACATATTGAAGACAAACGGAAAGCTGTCACTGAAGATCCCTCTCCAAAGCCATGTTATGCCAGGGACAGAGCTGCAGTAAGCTGTACTGTTTATCAGTACATACTTCTATGATAGTTGCCATGAATCTGAACAGACTTTAAGAGTTGTCTCCTCATTTATCTAGCTCCTAGAACAGACTATACTTCAGACTGTGCAAGAGTAATTTAATAAGCAATTCTAGGATTAGAAGGCATTGTAATCATTAAATGGAAAGATAAAAATCATATCTACTCACACGCAAAGTAGAGCAAAGAAATTTAGAGAAGTCTCAAATCACTACTAAAGGAGACATGAATTTCAGAAGATCTGTATCTCAAGTACATGAAGTATTTTCCACAGCGTCAAAATATATAACATAATGAAATCCAGGAGTGACTAAACATCAACTGTTTCCAAATCTGCAAGTACTAACTACAAATATAAAACATGTTAATTAAAAATCTTTATCTTCATAAATAAATGGTACTGGATACTGGGCAGTGTTACTGGATGCAAGAGATCATCCTCACCTACAAGCATAAAATACGAACAAAGAACAGTACCAGGTTTAAAGAGAAAACCAAACATGAAAATTCAGTTTTTGTTAGGCTTTCATTTGAATAAGATCACAGCATCAACCTGTAAGCACTAGAAAAAGCCAAATGAATACAAAGCTCTTGAAAAAAGAGGCTCAAACCAGCATAATTTCTGTACCTCATGGGGTGGCAGAGGTTCCAAAGTAGGAATGATCTCGCTCTCCTCACACATCTCCTTGTCATCATCGCCAAAGAGGCTTTTCATGGCCTTCTGTTGTGCAATGACACTAGAGTCTGAAGAAGGCACATCCACTTGCATCTCTAACTCTTCATCTTCCCTCAGCTCCCCCTCTTCCAAAATAACTCCAGTATCCACTTTTGAAACCCGCATGTCCAGAACACCATCTATCCAAGCCAACTCAGCATCCTTGGCTTTACAGAACTGAAGGGAGCTGACAAGAGAATCTTTTAACCTGACCTGGTTTGCACAAAATTAGAAGTGCCATTAGTTTCATGGAAAACACAGAATTCTTATTTCAAGTTTTAAAACAAACAAACAAAAAAAAAACAAACAAAGACAAACAAAACAAAAACCCCACACAAAAATGGCAGTCTTCCTTTTACTGTCTCTCCACATAGGTTTGATTCATACTCTTTTGGGGCAGGAAAGGAAGGAAGGAACTGGTATCAGCAAGGCAAGATGTTCTATACTTGCAGAAAATAATTTATATAACCCTCATGTTGTTACTCAAAAGCAGTGAAGATCAGTATCTTTAAAGAACCTATGCAACTGCAAACTTGAGTTAAAAGTAAAGCAAGAGCAATCAATTCCTTTTAAAACATCAGAAACTCTTTTTGTAGCCAAGAAGTTCCTCAGTTGGCTGTAGTAAATTCAAGGAAAGTTTCCATAGATACATTTAGGTTACTGAACAGCAGTTTCAAATTTCAACCCTCCAAAAAAGCAACTAATATTTTATAGTAAGGGATGTTGTAAGCATCAGATTTTAAAGTGACCAAAACACTACCTTACCCTGAGTACTCTGGCGCATTCCAGGACTTTAATCCATCAAAGCCCTACTCTGAAAGACTGTTATCCACATGAGATTGTGCATGATCCCCATAGCAGAATGAAGCTGTATCCAGGATACTACAACTACCCATTTACAGCACACCCCAATAAAAAGACAGGATTCTGATGCCCCACTTCTATCTATTATTTTCTAATTCAGTGTCTCAAGTGCACTTCATTTGGTTAGAAAGCTTCCAACAGAAAAACAAACTAATGCTGGTAGTTACAAAACTAACAAATTCCACTACCTTACCTGGTAAATGTGAGTTTCGCTGGTTGCATCTACAGTTTCATGTAGTTTTGGCATATAAACTTTAATATCTTTTCCACCAAAAGCTCTGCAGCATTCTGCAAGGTCCTGACTGGCCTCAGGTGGTCCATGGACAATGATCAGCTGTCTTGGTTTCATTTGGTTAATAATTTTTTTAATTGAGTCACCATCTGAGCGTCCTTCATAGTCAATATATGTAACTCTGGCTCTAATTTGAATTAAAAAGCCCAAGAACAACATTTTTTAGTTTAAAAGATTTAACCTTCAAGTGCTCCAAAATACTTCATTTAAAAATAGGAAGATATATTGAAATTATTCTACATCAGCAAAAGCTGCCAGCACAAGATATCTTATCAATCAGTATGTATGTGCATTTAACACTATAAATTCTCAAAATTCATTCACACAGTTATCCAAAACATGAGATAAGCTTATTTGAGTAAGTTCTTATCTAAAAATAGATATATGAACATTTGAGTATCTATATTAGCATACTATTTTTCCTCTTTCACTTGTCTCCATCAGACAGGGAACAAACAGAATTTCTTAAGAGTGGGGAACCATAAAACCCTGTACCACACCCCAGGAAAGACTACCAAAAAACTAACTTAGCCTGGGGGACAAGAGGTGGAAGCACACCAAAACCGAAACAACAAAACAAACCAAAGACCAAGCCCTTTCCCACTTTGTTAATTCCAAACTAGCCTTTCACCCAATTTGCACTGTACCCATACCACCATTGCAGCAGAACTGACAAGAACAAAGCCACTCACTTAATTTCCATTGATTCTGTTGCAGAAATACATTTGGTAGGAACATCTGATAAATCCTGGTCCATAGGCTCTTCTCCATTTGTCAAACCAGATTCTAATTTGCTTTTTTCTTCTTCTGTTGCTTGAAGTTCTGGAACTAGAAAATCCTCAGGTCTAAAGAAAGAAAGTCATTTTGCTTTTAACAGTCTCACAGTGAAACCAAAGCACTGCATGATATAAAAACCAAATAATGCTGACTGTTACTACTGAGATGTTCTATAATTTTTATAGCAAACAACTGCCTTCAGTATTTCCATATTTGAGCAGAGGTCATTTGGAAAATACCATTTTCCTATCTTAAACAACCTTGACATCTTGGGAAATCCTGCAAAACTGAGATGAGATTTTCTAGCAAGTATTCCTTACACAGAAAGAACAAAAATCACTAGATTTTTCTAGAATTAACAATATTCTTTCCCATCATTACAAATTTATCAAAATTATGTGTAAAGCAGAAAAATAGTCAAGTTAAAAAAAAAAAACAAACCGAAATTTTCTATCTCAAGATTAAAAAAAAAAAAACAAACCAAAAACTGGAGTGGAAACACTTCCAAAGAGGTATGAATACAGGCCAAGGATCAGAACTCTGCAGCTTCAAACTGATCATGAGCTTCCTGTGGGACTTAGTGCAAATGGTTCTAATTGTGGTTGAAAGAGCATGCAAGAGTGGTGCTAAAGAGACAAAACTGTCATTTTTATTACTTTTATTTCTGAAGTATTACGAAGCTGCTACATGTCACAGTATGCATTCCCACCACATACTTGATAATCTCGCCGTATTCATCCCATTTAATTCTTTCTTCAGGGGCTGGAAACATTGGATAAGACTTCTTTGCCTGCTTGAAGAAGCTTCCTTTCCGGCTACCTTCACCTTTCATCATCAAATCATGTTTGGTCTTATGTACAGTTGGCTGATCAATATCCTCTTCAGCATCACTCTCATCGCTGGAATCGATATCTGCCCTGAAATGACATTCCAAAAAGCTGGCATTTTTTTCATTCAGGTTTAATGTTACATAAACACTCTTAACTGGAAAATAACAGTTAACATAAACACTAACCAAGGACAAGAGCAGTTTCTGTATCTGAGAAAGAGCTCACAGTCAAAGGGCAAATGAAACAGGTCTATCATAACACCAGATTAAAGATAACTACTTCCAATTCCTCTGTGCCTTTAGACAAGGCTATCAAAACTATGTTTTTCATTTATCCCTGTGATCAGCGGAATGTTCACACAGAAATCTCAGCTCTGACCCTAACAGCAAGTACAAGAACAGCCAGTATACTTACTCTTTAGACTGTTCTAACTTCTTAGCTGCTTCTTTCTTTAGTTTCTCCTTTTCTAGGTATTCTTCAAGTTCTTTTCCTTCCAACTTGACACGTTTCCTCAACTGAATAGGATTAAAATTAATATTATTGTGAGCAGCTGACATTACTTTAATACTCTTCCTACACACTGCTGACAAGAACATTCATATTTAAGTACCAAGGGCAAGTATAACTTGTATGTTACATACAACACAAGATTATGCAAATGTGTGACACCTTGGCATGGCAAAATCATGACAATGTTACCTATTAGTAGATTCTACTTTAACAGAAAAGCATTTCAAAGAGTATTAAAATAAATACAAACTTTTTTAAAATTTACAATATATTTTAAAACATCTTTAGGAAATCTCTCTTCAACAAGGGAATGCAAATACTCCCAGATGAGCAGTGTTTACTTTTTGTGTCACTAACAACATAGAATCATAGGTTGGAAAGGACCTCAAATATCACCTAGTTCCAAACCCCTGCCATGGGCAGGGATACCTTCCACTAGACCTGGTTGCTCAAAGACCCATCCAACCTGGCCTTGAACACTTCCAGGGATGGGGCAGCCACAACTTCTCTGGGCAACCTGTGCCAGGGCTTCACAGTAAAGAACCTGTTCCTAATATCTAATCTAAATCTACCCTCATCAAACCAGAAGAACCTGGCGAAGTCATACTAGCAGGCAAAATAATAGTAAATTTTATTTCTTGCTTTCTGAAAATAAAATTCAAATACAGGCCACTTTGAATAATGCTGAATTCTAGTAATAGTCTAATACTGTAATTCAATGCTTCCAATTCAATCTAAAGCTAAACCAAGTTGCATCATGAGGACTGAAATTATCATGGTGATCACAAGAGACTCACATTAAGTGTTTACACTGACAGAAGTAGACATAGGTATAAAATTACTGAAAATAATAATTTTAAAGCAAGAATAACAATTAAGTGTACCCTAAGTCCTGACTTATCTTTCCAGTTCAGGGGGGATATATTATAATTGGACTTGATTCTTCCCTCATCCAAAACCAGAGTAGGAGCTGGAATATAAAAATGGTCAGACACATTTTTCACCCCCATTATAATATTTTTTCTTTCCCCCTGGAGAAGTAATAAGCCAAAAATTCTGCTGGACTAAGACATCCCCCATTAAAGTCAATGCTGCTAGCATGATCTAAAGCCAGTTGAGGATCTGACCTCTATTTTAAACAAGTGGCCAGATCCTACCAGGGTAGGGGAGCTGGTATATGTGCAACTTCATGGTACACCAACAACCATAGAAGGGCTACAGGTTGCAAATCTGACTATAAAACTGAATCTTATTCTGGAGAGGGCAGCCAGGGAGCTGCAGGCTGGTGGCTACATGGGGTGCACAAGCCAGTGTGGGTTTACGGCTGGACTCAGTCTTGGAGGTCTTTTCCAACCTAAGTGATCTACGATTTTCTGCCAAGAATAACCCATCGTATATTGTGATCTGTATGTCAATTGCAAGCAGAATTTCATCTATTATAACAAAACCAGAGTGTTTTCTAAAGATAAATATTTAAAAGCAATTTCATACTCATCTCTATGAAGTATCAGTTTTGCCACACACCAAAAAGCATTTTGCTGTTTTTCGTATAAGACCTATTTTTATCCAAGTCTATGCACAATCAGTTAAGCATACAACATACTGATTTCAGATTTCCCTCTGCCACTAGAATTGTTTTCAGTAGGTCAAAAAGGAAACTAAGTTCAGCTTTACCCAAATTCCTTCAGATGGCCCACAGTAAAAATCACTGGGATATACAGACGCCACTTACCTCAATATCAATAACTTTCTCAGAAGGATTATCAATCAGGAATCGTGCTAATGTTCCAGGTGTAGTCCGGTAAGTTAAAATTATAGAGTTTTTTGAGTCCTGGCACCACTGAATGAAAAGATCTCTAGAAAACCCACACTCTAAGTCAGGCTGACTGGCAAGAACAACTTTTGGACTCGGCACTCGAGCCAGATCAGACAGACTATGACATAAGGAGAGATGGCGGAACTGAAAAGGATTGTTTCTCTTGTCTTCAAAGCACCTCATCAACTTGTCACTCATCCATTCAACCTAAAATAGGTATTAAGAGAAAGTTATTTATAAGAATACAAGTCCTACAATAAGATACAAACCTGATAAGAAGTGCAGGATGCAATATGCACTTGAATATGCCTCTCAGTAAAGTGTAGAAATAACGCTGAGCATAAACAACACAGAAGCAAGTAATTTAAGTCCTCTTCTTAAAGTTATAAACTGTGCTAATTAGTATTGTGATAAAACCAAAAATGAGTATCAAGAAACATGCTCATAGCCATGACTGTACTCTGTTACTTGATTGAAAGATCTGAGACACAAACATGCACTATAAAAACAGGACAACATCCAGTGTTTATTCATTCTTTACTGTTAAAAAAATAAAATGTTTTTGCATACATGTTCCATTACCCTCATCATAAATGCATTTTAAAAACAGAACAAACCTGTGATTTAGAAAATTCCACTACATTGTAGCTGACGTTATTCAGAAGTGCTAGGGAGTAGACTCCTAATCCTGCATCCTTCGTTCTCCAGATCTGATCAAGGAGCTGAGCAAGCTCCAGAACTCTGCCTGCTGTATCCACCGCTATTAACACATTTCCATCACCTCGCAATGTCTCCAAAACATTAGCTAAGTTGAATTAAAAACAAAACAAAAGCCTACTTACACTTTAAACCAAAATTAGAATGTTTGTAGCTTGTTTTTGTTATATCCATCAGCAATCATAATCAAAGCATAAAGAATACATTTAAATTAATATTCAAAAGAGATCCAAAGCCACATTTCTACCAAGATTAAAGGGAACTGGAGTTTTCTTGGTAGCTCTAAAGATCTCATTGTCTTGATGCTTTATTTTTCACTAAAAATAAAAAAAAAAAAAAAGGCAAGCAGAAATAGCAAAAATAATACCACCCCCCAAAACCAAACCAAAAAAAACCCAAACAAACAAAACCAAGAGTAAAACAATGTTTAAAATAAGAATGTGCTGACAAAGGAGATACTGGGTGAAATATACTGTTTTCAACCATGCTTTGTTGTTTTCAGAAAAATATTTAACCCAAAGGATCAGTACAATCAGAAAAGAGCAATTCAGAATTTTTCACATTTTAATAAAGGTTATTAGTTGGATGCTGAGGAATTTCTCATATAAAAACAACTGACACTAGCTAACAAATCACATTACTGCTTTTTTCAAACCCAAACAGAATACATACTCAGTAGCTGTTCATCCCTTTGCTTCCTCCTGGGTTGTACATAAGTAGCATTAAATGAATCTGTAATAAGCAATGAAGGCCTGCTCAGCATTTCCAAGGAACATCCATTCAGATGACTGTGGAAAAAAAAAAAAAGCAAAATCTCACTTTATTGCATTTCTATTTTATAAGGAAAAAAAAAAAAAAGAGGCAGCTAGCTTCCAGATACCTGCATGTACAGAAAACAAACCCCTCAGGAGCTGAATGTTTCCTGCTACAATCTTACAAATAAATAATATTCAGTGGAATACAGAAACACAGAGTTAATGCTTATCTCAAACTGATTAATCTGAAAAGAAGTGAAATTAGTGCTCTCATTGCAGCTGGAAAGGCACTGCTACTTCCATACCTGCTTATTACACACCAAATGTTGTATACCTAACACAACTTTTAATACATATTGCTATGTTATACTTACATCTCCCTCTTGTGGTTGAAATCAACTGCATAAACAATTTCTTCCTCTCCATCCTTGACAATCTTCCAGATTGTGCCTCCTATCATGTGTCCAGCTGGCAGCGGCGTGATTGACAAACCATGTCCTTTGCCTACAGGAGTTTTCAATATCTTAGATACATGTATTAACATCCATTACTCTGAATAAATGAGTAACTCTGAACAACGGCAGGCCAAAATTATTACTGGCAGAAGAAAGTCAAACGAAGTATGAAAAAAAACACTAACATCTGTCCTTCCCATCTAGCCAGTAACCTCAAAATTTTTTGCAGTATACTTCTATTCAGCCTCCAGAAAAAGAAACTAAAGTGAAGATCACTTCTTTCCTGCACTGATACTGAGAGGCACTCTGGTGCAAAACAGACCCGTCTCTAGGGCAACACAAGATGCTTACTGCATCACTGGCTGCCTGAGTACTTACAAATCCACATACATATTACACAAACTGGGCAGTTTTTCAGAATGACAACTACGCAAATCAAACAAACGGGGAAAAGCATTCAAGTGCTTCAGTCAGGCATAATCTATCTTTTCAGTACCTGATGCTTTTCTTAATGCATTGCTACTCCTTGATGTGGCCGCTAACCTGCACTGTTGCTAGAATAAAATGAGACTACTTGTGACCATTACTCACTGACTTCACTGCATGCCACCAACTTGAACAGAAATGCACAGCTTTAATAATTAAAACATACATCATCTTCTTATATGCATCCACCAAATCTTTCAAATCACTTACGTTAAATATGAAAGAGTTTTTAAGAAACACCCTAGAAAAAGTTGTTCACTAAAATTACTTTTAAGATGTAAAAGTTGGCAGCATAAACATAGCCTTGCTACACATACCTTGAAAAAGCATCAGCAGCCTTTCAAGGATGACATCCCATTTCTGTTTTCCAAATTACAGGGCAAGTATTTTGGCAAGCAGCATTCAGGAACTAGGAGATATTGCACCTGAGACTAGCTGCTGGTGGTTAGCTTGTAGGTGTCTGTTCAAGAACAGGGTTTCCGATTCATTCTGATCTTTGGCTTAAAAAGTGAGTGAGAAGCTGCTGATCCTCTGGATGCCACAGTTCCCAGCAATAAGCTAGACTGAATACCATAAAGAGCCAGTGAAGACCTCCTAAGCCATCCACATGGTGTAACTTAACATCTGCAAACTATTAATTCTCTAGGAAGCCTTCCTATGCGTTTCTAGTTATTGAAGAGTTCCGAGTTATCTACCACTAGGCATGAGTATATGCTTTTGAGAGACAATAGCAGGAAAAGTTACAAAAACATACAAACAAAAACGTGTCTAAATATGCTTTGGCATGACCTTCTCCTCATTAAGTGGAAATTCTACCCATTTTCACATACAATTACTGAGGCAAATGTTCAGCTGATATAGACTGATACAGGGCTACTGGTATCAGTCCTGCAAAATCCATTACATGTCAAAGCTTGCTCCCTTTTTAAATTAAATGTGTATATATATGTGTATATATATACACATACATACTTTAACTCTTAGTGAAAGACAACAGTCATTAAAAGTCATTTAGTGAAACTTGGGTGACATCTTTACCTTTCAAGTTGACAATCTGAGAAAACTTCAGCTGTTGTATCTTATCAAAGGCTGCATCTACATCATCCAATGTAAAGAGTGTGAAATCTTCAGTATTATGGCGGGACTAAAACAAATAAGGAAAATTCAGGAACCTGAGCACTCTACCATACAGATGTGTACAAAAGTAGTAACTTAAACATACCTGGTAGAGATCATACATGAACATCTGTCCCATTTTATATACAGGAATAGTTGCATAAATGGCACAATTCAACCCCATTTTTCCAACTGCATATGGAAGCGCACCAAGGTGTAGAGGGTCAGGATGAGAAAGAAGAACAGCATCAACTTGGTGTACATGTCTACAAAAAGAGGACAACAGAAGTTGGTGAAAAGAGTTCTGTATGGTGTTATATACTCCCTACTATGGCTATTTTGAGAATACATACACATCCTGAAGGCCAAACAAAAAAAACTTAAATCCTTCCAAGTTCAGAATGAAGTTTTTAAAATCATCATTTAAAAGTTACAGATCTTTCCAAATGTTCAAGTACTAGAACTGCAAGTGAATACTGAAAACATGATTTCAAGGTCTGGAAGACATACATTTCACATAAAATTCTTGATTAGAAAGACCTTAATATATGCTTGGAAATCAGAAAGTGCATTAACTGAGGGGTCAAAAATATTACCAGTGCAGACATGCTACAAATTGTTTATACACTTAAAACCCAAAACAGACTACAACTTTTCTTCTGATGAGAAAAACCCACAGGACCAAAGACACAACAATACTTACATGGATAAGGATAAAATCAAAACATATGTCTTTAAAAACACAGAAGTCAAAAACATAATTTAGGAAAAAGGACACATGAATTTTTGGGGGAGTATTCATTTAAAAATATTTTTTCCTTGAAAAGTGTGGCACAAAATAAAAATCAGACTAGAAGTTTACTACCTAGCATAATTGAAAAACTTAAAGGCACAAAACACATGCAACAAGTGAAAATACAAGTATGGCTGAAAGCTTTTTGTTCCTTCACATTGTAACTGGGGCACACACATTCTTCTCCATGGCTTTTACTAAAAAAGGGATTTTATCTAATTGTTCACAGATAAGACTCGAAAAAATGTACAAATTATCCTAAGGACGCAATAATTCTTGGTAAGACTTCAAAGACTACAGTGTGTTAATGCTAGAAAATACATGACTAAGCTTAGTTTCTTTCAGGAATTGCCATGGTTCATGTAATCAATGCTTGCATTAAAGCTCCTTGCTGTAAACCTGTAGACAGTTCAGTATTAAAGCCTAGACAGGTATATTTCTTTGCAAGGCTGGGATAATTTATAGAAGCTGTTTTACTGACTGACAGTTTATTCAACTTCTTTGAAACAAAGAGTTGAACCACTTTGTATTGAGCCTATGTATTTTAAGGAGTCTTTCATTTAAAACTTAGTGAACCATTCTAAATTAGTTTAGAGCCAAGGTCAGTACCCCATAAACTCTGTTCTGTGCCATGTTTAGGGAAAAAAAAACACCTCAAAACCCCACAAACATACAAGCCAAACACAGACCAGTCTGAGAATTACAGTTAATAGATGTAACTTGTTAAGACTCTAAGAAAAAAAATAAAAACAAGTATGTTTCTACTGCAAATATTCCAGCAGCATAATTCCCTTCATATAAACCATAACTCTAACAAAGAACAAATCCAAAACAACTTTGGATTTTACATCATCACACACATACCATTGCGTGGTATTTCAGAGACCTACCAAAAAGAGTGCATTAACTGAACTACTTACTTTTTCAGAGAATCAATAATATCCATAGAAAAGTTTTCATCCCAGCCACAGTCCAAAAGAAAACGAAATTCATCTACTTGCAACAGATAGCAAAGGGCAGATTCCTCTTGCACCCCTGAAAGCGTAGTCAACTTGATAATCGATGTCATTTTCCTCTCCCAAGTACTTAATCGCCAACAGAACTAATCTGAATGGAGGAAGAAAATGTTACATTGCCTAAGCCAAAGCAAAGGTCTATTTATACCTAACTTCATTCATTTCTGCGAACACTTAGGGTAACACCTACTGGACATTAATTAAGCCTCAGATATTAACTTGATCCTTGTAGGTGTTTGGCTATTGCAAAGAGGATATTTTTACTATTGTAATAAAAAGAATCACTCGGAACAGCGCAGTTAGCAGCAGCACCTCCCCGCCGAGGGCCGGACACGGCGCATCCAAGGCTGTGTCCCCTCAAGCCCAGCGACTGCCGCAGGGGGTGTGAGCCCGAACTGGAATCCAGCATGGGGCGTGCCGGGGCTCCACACGGCGGCTCCAGCGTCCCGCCGCCGAGACAGAGGCCTAACCCTGACGAAGTGAGCCTCGCCGGCCGGGCCCAACATTAAAGAAGCAAGCCCTGCGCCCACTCCACTCCCCGGAAGAAGAGAAAAAGGACAAGGGTGAGCTCGGCGAGGACAAAGCCGAGCGCTTCACGCCTCAGCCCCGGGCAGAGACCGGCTCCCCGCAGCGGGGAAGCAGAGTCCTCCTTACCGAGCCCCGGGCCCGGCTGCAGTGTGGCCCGCAGCGCTGCCCGCCGAGCAGCCACTCCGGCCACCGCCACCCGCCCCGGGGCCTCCCTCAGGCCCACCGGCGCACCCAGCCGCCGCTTCCGCCCCGCGCAACAGCCTCCGCCACCTTGCGGAAGGCGTGAAGAAGGAGGAAAGGTGGAAGGGCAACGGAAGGCACCACCGCGAGGCTTCCCGGGAGGGGTGAGTTCTCCTCCCCCTCTCCCTGCGCAGCCGGTGGGCTCTCCCGGCCTGCTCGCGCCGCCTGTTGCCCGTTGTCCTTGGGGTGGCCGCTGCACGGGCTCTGGCGGCAGCAGCGAACGGTAACGGTGGGGCCCGCAGGGGGGTGGGAGCCGCTGATGGGCAGTTTACGTGGTCCCGGTGTCAGCCTCGCCCTGTGCCCTGTCTCCCTGTCCGGCCGGAACACAGGGCGGGGGGGCCGGGCCGGAGCGACCTTCAGCCCCGTGGTGTTATGGCGTCTTGTCCCTGGGGGCACGGGCGTGCGGGGGACGGTGGGGTCCTAGGCAGGCTAGGAGCAGCGGAGCTGGGAGATTGGCAGGCCCCTCTCCTGGGTCACTACCGTGAGCGCCGGCCCCAGCCGCTATGGCGGCCGCCTGCGGTTTGGGATGTGCGAGCAACGGCGTCGGTTCTGTCCGTTCTCTGTAACTAGTATGTGGCTTTGAGCTCGCAGCTGTGACAAGAAGACGCCAATCTTAGCTTTGCTTAGGTTGTAAAAGCTGGCTGGGTTTTAGAAATGCCCTTTCTTCCTTACTTGTCAATTACCCACTGAACGTACAGATTAACTTCAGCCTTGTTACAGGTAATAAAGTTGTCTACAGGAGTTTAGGTAGTAAATGCATTTGTTAGAGTTACTTTAATGGGTAAGTTACTTTAGAACATTTAAATAGAACTATTTCACCAGGGATATCTTAAAAGACGTTTTGTGTTTCTGTCACATTTTAGCTTAAAGCTCTCTTCTCCAGGGCTCTAAGTTAGGTTGCTTTCTAAGAAAACGATAAGGATTTGAGAACAGCATGTGTCTCATAGTAAGTGAGATTAAAGATGCCAGGTATGCAACACTTTCCATGTACAGATTTATCAGTAACCCTCCTCTGTTATTCTTTTCTCTCTAGCAACCATGGTGAATTTCACCCAAGCTCTGCGTGATCACTGGGTTCACATCCTTGTTCCCTTAGGATTTGTGGTTGGATGCTATTTGGACAGACTGAATGATGAAAAACTGTCTACCTTCAGAAACAAGAGCTTATTATATAGAAGGTCTGCTGTATGTTATTTGCAAAATGCTTCTTTGCTCTTCTTGAGAGTATTAAGTATGAGAAAAAACCCATCAGTGTCAAAATGCTAAAGGGAAGAAAGCCCTAAAAATTTCAGCAAGCATTCATGAACAGTTTAAATTACTAATACCCCTGAAAATTGGGGCTTTAGGAGCCATTTTAGTAATGAAATAAAGGATCACTAGGTACTTACGTAAATCTGTCATTTGAAAATAATAACCGAGATTTTGAAAATTAACACATTTATGTCATCAGCTGCTGTATCTTCACTGAAGGATGTGACTATAGACACTGATGAGTTTGGGCTTGCTGACCCACCTCTGGGAAGAATTTAGATAATTTAATGCATTGCCTCAGCTCTATCACTTGTAATTCTGTTTTAGATGGTAGCATTAACAAAACAACATGAACTAAGAGAATGTTATTTTCAATTTGCAGGTGGATTTTTATTTTTTTGTTAACTCTGATCTTGCCTAAATTAGGTAGACCAGAGTCATAAAGAAAGTTATAAACTTACTTTCGTAGTTAGTTGAGGAAGTAAGTTTATCACATTATCCACCCCATGGCACTTTTCTTACTGCAGTTACTGGTGAAATGAGGTTGGTGTTTCAGCTTCCGGCAAAAGTCCCCTCTTTCACACCCTAGTTCTCTTCCCAGTAAAGCAGTAAATTTTTGTATTTAAAAGATTTTTTTCCTTTTGGATCCCATTATGTAGAAAGTCTGTTAACATCTTAGAATTCAGCAGCATCAAGCTTCCATTTAAAAGAATTGGAGTTAAGAGGACTCAATCCTTTGAAGCTTTGGAAAGAAAAGAGGAAGTGTATCAGTGTTGAACAATTTTTAACTGACAGCAGTTGCAAGGAAAAAAATTCATACATCACTCAAAATTGTAGAATAAGCACATCTATTAGTAAATGTTCTACAAAAATTATCCTAATTTTAGTCTCTTTCCTTTTTTTCTTTCCACACAGAGAGTTGAAGCCTGGTGAAGAAACTACATGGAAATAAAGGCTGCAGATGAAATGGAAAAATTTTTTTTTTTCGATTCATCATCTTATCTTACTGGATGAAAGCATAGGGTTATGGTTTTTACCTTGAGAGAATATGTAAAGCTGCGAAAGACAACTACAGTTCATCTGTGCTAGCTTAATTTTAAATGTGACCTTTTGGAAAATGATTAAATTACATGACTAGTATGTGTCCAGGGGTTCTCTTAGTCCGTAAGTGTTGAGAAACATTTATCCTCAGAAGTCATGTTCTGGAGGGGAAAGGAAGAATTATGTAATAAAGAAAAACTATGCAAAAATCATTCATGTTGCAGTGTGGTTGTAGAATTTATGTATTTATAGCTCATTTGTGAACTCGCCTTCAGAGAAACACCAGAAACCCAGGATGTGGTTTGGCGTTTCTTTAGCTGGATCTGAACAAGTTTGTTTTCAGATTTCCTCGGCAGGTTTGTTTGGAATGCCAGCCAGTGGGATGCGGCTTTGTGAGCGGGTGTCAGCAGAGGGAGATGGAAAGGAGAGGCGAGCTGTTACCGCTGAACTCGGTGGCGTGAGGAGCCTGGGCATTGTGGTGCGCAGGAATTCACGCTTACAGCGTGAACTCAAGGTACCCGTTTAACCCCGCGGCGGCACGGAGCAGCCCGCCGGCCTCCTTGCTGACGGGGCGCCGGCACGGCCGCCTCACGCAGGCAGCGTAGCTCACCAGGGCCCTGCGCAGATCGGCTGCTGCGGGTGGCCCAGAAGGAGAAGGTTGGATTGGCTGGGGGAAGTGTCACGTGAGGCGGAGGCTGTAGCCGTTGACAATAAACATGGAGTCGATCTTCCATGAGAGGGTGAGTGAGCGTTTGTGGTAGGGTTGTGCTGCTTTTTTTTTGGGGGGGGCCGCTCAGCTGCTGTACGGGGTGTTGTGCCACCGGTTGGCCTTCCGGGACGGGAGTCTTATCTGAGGAGCCGCTCGGGGTGGCGGCTGGTTCTCCCGTTCCTGCGATAGCCCAGGGGCAGCTCTCGGTCCGACGGGGTACGCTTCGCCTGTGTCATGCCCCTTCCCGCCATCCTTCCGGGAGCAGGATGAGGTAGCGGCTCAGTTTCCTCTGTCTTGGGGAAGAGCCGAGCTCTTCCTGGTGCCTGTGGCCTGGCCTAGCTTGGCTCTGCTTGGCCTGCCGGCTCCGCGGGGAAACTAAGTGCAGTTAGTGACGATCAAAGAGGGTCAGGCTGAGATACAGTGCTCCTTCTCGCATGGTGACTACTTTTCTTAGGCTTTTGAAAATAGACCTCAAGTATGAGAAGGTACAGGCTACAGCTGCTTATGTTGCTTGTGAGAGAAGTCGCTTAACTGAGAAATGAGCATGAGGGTGAGCAGCGGCAGGCAGGGCCGTTTCTGTGCTCTCGGACACAGCCCTTCACCTACGCTGGCTTGGTTGGGCTTGTGTTATGAGCAGGGAAAGGGAGAGCTGTTAAGGAAGTCCTAATTAATGTACTGTGCTTTTGTGTGCTGAACAGCGTTTCCTGTTTTGGAGGACAAATGCTTCTATAAACTGCTGTGATTTATCCAGTTTCCCAAATATGAGCTATTTGTGCTTTAATGCTATTCAAATATAATTGTCTTTTTTCTCATGTACTTTCCCAGTGTGTCTGCACCTTTATTGTCTTAAGATTAATGTTAGTTTTTATACACTGCTCTCATATATTGCTTGGTTTCCTTAGCAGATAAAGCAAGATAGCAGTGTAACTTAAAAACAAAACAAAACTGTTCTGAAATCTGTGGAACGTGAGAAGTGTTCTTTCAAACTAGGTTTCTATTGCAAAATTTGGCAGTCACTGTGGTATTAAAGAGCAGGTGCCCCTAGGATGAGTGTTGGATTTCAACCATTATGGTCTCTGCTACAATGACCTTGAGTTCTAGTCTAGATTTGAAAATCAAAACAAGTGTACCTTTTCCTTACCTGGTCTAGCTTATTGCATAATGAAATGACAACCTTTTTTAATGACTACATTGCTTTCTAATTTAATAATAAAACTGCTGAAATTGAAGTTGCAGAGCACAGTACATTTAAAATCACAAGCTGATTCTTTGTAGTTGCTACAGGTTTTGGGATGTGGGAGGGGAGCAGCCTTGGATTGCTCTGTAGTAAGTCAGCTATGCAGTTACAAAGTTAAACCTGAATGCCTGTTTTAAATTAGAGTACCAACTACTTTATTTTGTTATCATTATTGGTCTACAAAAAATTTAACTGAAATTCTGTCTCTTAAGGGTTATTTCCCCCCATCAAGCTATGTCAAAATATTTAAAGTGCTGTATGTGCATACACACGTCCTTACACGCATCCTTACACTTCAGTCTGCACACCTTGGATGTTCCAATAAAAGGCATGAAAAATACGGTATTTATAAAGGAAATTTATTAAAACAAAGACCTAAGCAATGAAGCCCTTTTAACAGGGGAATGACAGTTGCAGAAAGTAGGACTAACCATGACTACTACTAGTAGGTACCACTAACTTAGAAGTTAGTCATTTCTTTGATATTAGTATTTGAAAACACTGAAAGTAGGGAAGCAGGTTATATCCAGATAGATTTCAAGGAGGAAATTTCAGATTATGGGAAGATGCAGTATTGTCTGCGTTAAAAAAAAACAACAAACAAAAAAAACCCCAAAAAACAACAAACCTGAAGTTAATGTCTGTTAAGAACTAAGATCAGTTTTCTCTTCTGCGTTTTGCACTTACTATCTACAAATTTTGCATATGAAAGTTAATGTTTATTACTTTAAGATAAAACTGTACAAACACAGACAGTAAAAACCACTTTTAGTTAAATTAAGATCGAAGACTGTAATACAACTAATTTTCAAAGGTATTTTAATATCTTTTTATTTCTGAATGAGATTCATATAATTCTGCTGGAGAAACCTGTGATTCTTGAACAGGTTCTTCTGTTAACAGTTTTATCGTATGACCAGCAGCAGGGATGTGATAGCAAGGGAATAGGACCTGCTGAGCTTGCTGAGGGAAGGACATGAGCTGGAGGAGGCTTCTGGATTCTGTTGCAGCTGGGCTGTGCAGCCTATCCAGCCTTAATAACTCATTGCTCAATTAAGTGATGAAGTCCTAGAAAGTTTCTGTGATCTGCAGTAGAGGGAACTTTCAGTGTTCCTGCTGTAAGGGAAATCACGGGAAATTTGTACATATGATTTGTATGAGCCATTCATGGAAGTTCAAAGTCTGTTCCTCCAAGCCATGCTTTTGTATTCTTAGTTTCTGTGGGTTTGGCGGGAGGGAGGGGTGTTACTTATTTTAGTTGAGGGGCTTTGGTTTTGTTCTTAATAGTGTATGTCACTGGAGTTATTAATGTAAATAAAAAAGGGCTGATTAAAATGAAAGAGAGAAGTGGGATTAAAAAAAATGTTGATCTTGTCTGTACTTGTTTAGTTACTGTACTATTCTTTTAGTCAATTTACTGATTTTTAATTTGAGTTGACAACTGTTATCTTAAATGTGCTGAATATGTAACAAAATATCTGAAGTGTTTTCCATTAAAATGGTTTATCAAGAAAAATCTTTTTGCTGTTTAAAATGCTGAATTTTTATTTTTTTTCTTGTCACCTCATCATTGTCATCAAGATTTCAGAACCGGTATTATTAGTCTCTTTTACCTAAATTCTATTCATAAATTTCATGTGGAAAAGGAGCTTTACTGCTCCTCCAGCTGCTGATCGAAGAAGTAAAAATCTAAACTGATTTTCCAGTGGTTGTGACTTGGAAGAGGACAGAATGTATTGTACTGATAATTGCAGTCTTTGTGAGATTTGGTCAAGTGACTGGCAATTTTTAGTGTTTTAAAAAATAACATTTTGACATTAATTTATTTCCTTTGAGGAAATAAAGTAGCATGCTGTCGTGGTTTAAACCAAATCAGACAACTCGCTCACCCACCCCCCTCGCCCCCTGCCGCCCCACCCCCCGGAGGGACGGAGAGTCAAAAAGAATGCAACTTCCACGGGTCGAGACAAGAACAGTCCACCAACCAAGGCACAACACAAATCACTACTGCCACCACCACCAACGATAAAGGAAACAACAAGGGAAGAGAACACAACACCCCACCACCAGCCAACCAACAGCCCGTTCCCCCCCCAGCCCAACCAAGCACTGACCCATACCTCCTCCAACCCTGCAGTCTCCCAGCCCTTTCGGCTAACTCTCCGTTACCTCCTGGGCATGACGTGCTGTGGTATGGAATACCTCTTTGGTCAGTTTGGGTCAGATGTCCTGTCTCTGCTTCCTCCCAGCTTCCCCTCCTCCCTGGCAGAGCATGAGGCTCACAAAGTCCTTGGTCAGGGTAGACATCGCTTAGCAACAACCGAAAACATCGGTTTCACCAACATTGTTCCCAGGCTGGAAGTCAAAACACAGCACTGCACCAGCTACCACAAAGGAGAAACATGACTGCTACTGCTGAACCCAGGACACATGCATGTTGGTTTGTTCCCATCAAGTTAATGGGAGAATTGTATTCTACAGCTTGCAGTGTAATACATCCAAAGAATGTATGGCATTCTGGGTGAGTGGCAAGGGCAGGATGCCTGAATTAAATGATTGAGTCATTTTACAGAGTGAAGCATTAATGTAATTTTTTGTTGTCTTTTTTTTTTCTCTTCCAATTTAGCAAGAAGGCTCCTTGTGTGCTCAGCACTGTCTGAATAATTTGCTACAAGGGGAATATTTTAGTCCTGTTGAGTTATCCTCTATTGCACAGCAGTTGGATGAGGAAGAAAGAATGAGAATGGCAGAAGGAGGAGTGTCTAGTGAGGAATATAGAACATTTTTACAGGTAAAATCATCTTAATTTGAGGTTACTTGATATTTGCCTGAAATTTAATATTTTGTACCACAGACCCACTATTCTTGCGTAGCTAGAAAAGGTTAATTCCCTAGTGCTGAAACTTCTTAATTTTATAGGTCTTTTCGCTCACACATCTTAAATTTGGCATTCTCAAATGTTATTAGTACAGCTTTACAAAACTTCTCCAAAAAGCTACATTATCCTCATCTTACAGGTAGAGCGATCAAGCATCATGAGGAGGAGGATCAGCAATTTGCCATTTTGGGGGTTATTTTTTTGTAAGCTAGTGGCAGAGGTAGGAGCAGAAGTTTCCATGCCTGCATGTCCTTTAAGCATTGAGCATTTCTAATTTAAAAGTTTGGGGATTTTAATTATTTGGTTACTTAGTTATTGTAATTAGCCTTACATACTAGGGCATACTGAGTTGTTTCTCTAAGTATGTGTAGTTATATTTATTTTCTAAACTTATTTCTGATCTTTTATGCTTACACCATTTTTCCCTTCTCTCCCTCCCAACCTCATACAAAGCAGCAGCCTTCTGTAAACATGGATGATAGCGGATTCTTCTCAATTCAAGTAAGCATGGCTTTATACTGACAGAATTTTTCTATTTATGCAGTGTCTCATGTAATTTAAATAGCATTGAGCTTTTTATCTAGTTTGCAGGTTATAAGCTTAATGGAATTAAGTACTGGCCTTCTAAATCTTCAGAGGGTTTTCCTCTAAGTGACTTGCAGTTCTTCAGTTCATATGCCCTTAAACACATGGTAGGAGCATGGATATCCTGAACTGTGAAATGACATGTGCTGGCAATAAGCTTGATTCTAAGTTGATTCTTACAGGCACTTCACATGTAGATCTTGGCTCCCATAGACTGCTGGTGAAAAAGCAGACTTGAGATTGTTTTCTCAAATATAGACAGTAAAGCCCTTGGCAATGGTTTCAGGATTATCACAGCAAATGGAAAAAGCTGCAATATCTACATGTCAGTTTTTATAACACACACAAAACAACAACAAATGTTATTGAACACCAAACTGGGGGTTGTATCTAGATGGAGGTGAGGATGGCAACATGGTTTAGTATGAGGTATCCCTGCCCATGGCAGGGGGAGGTGGAACTATATGACCTTGAGGTCCTTTCCAGCCCTAACTATTCTATGATTCTTTGCACCTTTGGCTGCCTCCTGAGCTTGGAGTGGTGATTCTTGTTGTTCCAGAATCCCTCAAGAGGCTCTGTTTGTTTTGGTTGGTTGGTTTGCTTGTTTTGGAGGGGGGTTAGTTTTTGTTGTTTTTTTTTTTTAATGGCAGGGCAGGGCCATTCTAATCAGTGAAAAGCTATTAATGGTTTGGCATTTCTTGTATTCCTTCATTGTGCTTTGTCAATATTGAAGCTCAAAAAAAAAAGCTTCCTTACACTCTACTTTTTTTTGTCCTGTCACTGCTCCGCTCACTTGCTGCGCAGTTGCCTGGCTGAAAGGACAGTGAATGTTAATTTAAATTTCTTACAGCATCGTTTCGGTTAGTGCTAAAGAGTTACTGTAATAGAGATGTGCTAATGCAGCTGGCTGATGCTGTGACAGTCCAGTGGTGAAAAATTTCCAGTAGTTACTGCGGGGAAGGATGATACTGTATTAGGGGGATAGGGATGGCAGAGCACTACATTGAGAGCAGAGAGATAACATCAAGTGTGTGTGAGAAGTTTGAGTTACAGCTTTGCCTGGGGGAATAAGCTTATTAATACAACTCAGTTAAATCCTAGTAGTTTTCTTACTTCCCCTTTGATATGGCATGCATGTTAACATTTGCATGTAGATGCATGACAGTTGTGTTTTGAATAATGCGATTTCTAGGTTTCCTAGCAGTGAAGTCCTGAGTTGTATGAAACTAGTATATTTGTTTATAGCAGTTAAGATGGTTGTATTGCTTAAATTAAGATTTGACTGGTTTGATTCATGAAAAGTGCTGTTTTTTGACAGGTTATAAGCAATGCCTTGAAAGTTTGGGGTTTAGAACTAGTCCTCTTCAACAGCCCAGAGTATCAGAGACTTGGGATCGACCCTATGTAAGACATTTTTTTCTTAGCACCCTGCTTTTATTTTACAGAAAAATAATACTCTTAATCTATGACTTAAATCTTTCTTTAAAATTACTCTTTCAAGCTCTGTTGCATTCTGATGGTTTTATTATCCCCTCTGTCTTTAAATTTTTCTGTTTGGGGGTGTATATGAATATCTGTCCTCTCTGCCTTTATGATATCTCAGTATCTGTGGCATCATACATATATGGAGATTTCAGTAATGCTGACAGCTTCCTAAATGTTACAAAAGTAGTATGAGTATGGTTGTATTACTGAAATTTTATTATGTAAGTTTAAAGTAGTGGTAGCAAAGAACTTGAACATTAATATGCACTCCAATAGTAGAGTATTTAATTTTATCTATACCTTTTGTTTTTCTTTTTACAGAAATGAAAAATCATTTATTTGTAATTATAAGGAACACTGGTTTACAGTTCGAAAGTTAGGAAAACAGGTGACATTGTCTCTTTTTACTTAAAAATTGACTTCAGAATGGGGGTGGAAAAGTGGTTGCAACTAGACCATGTGTTGGCCTTTTGCAAGCTTTGGCTGCACTTTAATAGTATCCTATATTAAAAAAAAATAAAAATGAGTAAATGTTAAATGTTTGTAATAACACAAAAATACCAGGGAACTTTTTATGAATATTAGCCTGGAGAAATACCCTAGGATCAATTTCTTAGTGAACCTGTCCTTTAGGGAGCTGCAGTTCTTGTAGAGTCTGTGTGACATCTTCAGCTCTTTTCTTTTCTGCATGAAAAGACGGTGAGAGGACAAAGATCAGCATCCGTATAGAATGCAGACTAATTTTAATGCATAAATTTATTGACATTGTAAAAATAATTTTGCTCATTTAAATGGACAGGCATAAGGAAAAGTTCAAATTTCAAAGGTATTAATATTTATGATTGCTAATGTTTAAGAGTATCCATCAGGATACGGCTGGGGAAAGCAGAATCACAAAATTTTTAGAAAACTTTCAGAAACAATTGTTTTACAAGCAGGAAGTAGTTACTAAAGGTAAGGGGTGGCCATGCAAGTATATGGTACGTACATATAATAACTCAAGTCGCATCCATATCCATTGTAACACCAATGCAGTTTTTTATTTCAGTAGCCAATCATTGTTCTGGATCACACTGCATAAGTTTTATACGACATAGGCTGGTTTGGTGTTTTCAGGTTTGGTTTTTTTTTGTTTTAGTTTGATTTTTTTTTCATAGAAAATGTTCATGAAATGGCTTTTATGTTCTAAAGTAATGGACAGGAGTCTCTTCATGCATTTGGTTCATTTTGCATGTGGTGGCTACCTATCTTGTCATCCAGATTAAAAACCACAACAAAAAAACCCCCACCAAGCAAAAAACAAAAACCAATCCAAACCCAAACAAAAACTGCACAAAACAAAGAAAGAAACCAAACGAGAAAAAAAAAACAGAAAACAACAAACTAAACAAAACCCAACTGTGAGTAAACACATTAAACTCTGCTGTTCTGCTTCAATTTGAAAGTATGGGTCATGTTTACAGGCCATTTTTGGGTATTTAATATCAAAAAGGCTGAATGGTCTCTTGAAAGTATGGGAATGTTGTTTTGTTATATATGCAACCATGTTGGGTGGAATTTTGTGTGATAATATTCTAGCCCAAAATGTTCTAAGTTGGAGGGGTAATGTCTTCTGTTTGTACATGCAGCTTGTAACCACATGAAAACAATGCTAGGTATGTGTTATCTAGAGAGGAATGAAAAAAATAGATTTGATGTGCTTGTCTTCTGTTACAGTTAAAGCAAAAGTAGTTTACCAAACCTTCCTCCTTCATGTTTCCTTTTAAAAGTTTGTCTGTAATCTGTCCATCACATTTGTTTTTGTAACTTTATCGCCCATTCCTGCATTGTTGGTTATCTTACCCTTTTGCAGTGGCAAAGGGTGTTTTTAACAAATTCAGTGACTGAGTGACAGATTGGCAGATAGACACCTCTGTTCTAGCCGAATTATAGTATGGGTCCATCTGCAAGTATGTAACTGCAATATGGAAGTTTAGACAGATAAATGCATTTTTGTGAGAATGGAGATAGAATTATCCTTCTACTGTCTGAAATTATGCTTCCTGATTAAAATGGCTAGTATTGAACAAGTATGTTATAAAAAAAGGTTCTTCAGATTAAATGCAATATATATGGGGTTTTAAAGATAGAATATTTTGACATCCATATTGTATATATTTTTTTCTATAGAAGTGTTATTAATGGCTACTTGTCATCTTCAGGGAACTATAAATAATCTGTGTATACATTTATGTCATATTATAACATTATGCTCTAAACTTTAGTTGGTTTTTTTTAAATGAAAAAATTATCTCAGAAGTAAGCAGTAGTTCACCAGCTATTAAAGGCAGAATGTTTAATTAAGGTATTTTATGTAAAGAATTCAACTTCTGTTTCCTGTATCTGTTAATTTCTTAAGATACAATGTTAACTCATGAAGATTTTCTTCCCTCGTTAGTCTCTGAACAGACTTAAAATTCTGATTAAGCAGAATTTTAGATGCTGTCTAAAATAATTCTTCTACAATTATATTTTGACTTCCCTGTTTTAGTCTGTTTGCTTGGTATTAATGTTCGGTAATGGGAGAGAGCATGCAGTAATTTCCTCACTTCATACCTCCTGATAGCTGAAGAGTATTTGAAGGGTAACCTTTAGCATTAGAGGTCTTGTGCTTCAAGACTTTTTATTTGGTAATTTACTAGATTTATTTAGATACTCCATCATAGAAAATGACCACAATGTACAGAAATGGGTTACCAAGTAATCTTTATGCTAATTTGTTCTCTCAAACCTTTTTTTTTTCTTAATTACAGTGGTTTAACTTGAACTCTCTCTTGATGGGTCCAGAACTAATATCAGATACATATCTTGCACTTTTCTTGGCTCAATTACAACAGGAAGGTAATAGTAACTTGCAGATGTTAAATCTCATTAATTAAAAGTAGGTAATAATTAATTAATTAGAACTTATGTATTCAGTTAATTATCCTTAGTTTTATGATTGAAATAGTGAAATAACCCAAGTCCTTTATAATGAAAGGTAGAGCCCACATTGTAATAAATTGCACATTATTGTGTTCCATGTAGCGTGCATTTTAGAGTGTTTTTTATACACCTTAATGCTGTAGACTTACAACTTATTTTCCTCAGGTTATTCCATATTTGTAGTAAAAGGTGACCTGCCAGACTGTGAGGCTGATCAGCTATTGCAGATGATTCGGGTTCAGCAGATACAGCGACCAAAACTAATTGGAGAAGAGACAGCACAATCAAGAGATCAGAGGTAAGGTAAACAGAGATTTCATTTTAATAATGTTAAAGTATGATTGGTTTCCATGATTAATGTCTCCATGGAGACAACCTCCTTAAGAAGTAATTAGAAGTACTTTTAGTGCAATATGCTTACTACTGTTGCATAAAGTAACAGTAAGCTGGTGAATACAAATGGTGTTACTTCTAAGTGGACAAAAATTACCTGAATAAGGATTCAATCCTTCCATGTGTACAGGTGTTGTATAGTGCAGATTTTTAACTTAATGATTACAGTATTTTTCCAATTATTGTAAAATGGGTAAGCAAATCTTACCAAACTATGGTTAACAGTAATCAATCTATAATTAAGACTGCTTAGTGCATTCTGTCTTAAGTAGAAAAGAACAAGAAACCCATACCTGAATTTAACATCGTGTAATCATACAGCATTCCTTTTTGGAATAATTTCACTGTAATGTTGTAGTGCTGCTCTGTTGTGAAAGGTACTGATAGTATCAAACATCCTTGAAAGCATATAAAGTGCTGCTTCTGCAATAATTTTATCACATTTTCATAGTGAATGAATTGCAATAAGCCAATTGCTTAAGGCTTTTTGGAGGAATTTGTTAATTATGATTTCTTCCACGTTGTAAAGGTAAACTGGTGTTGTAAATTGATGAAATAAAACCAAATGACTTTGCGGTAACATAGAAAGTGTGTATAGTTTATGGAGGACCTATTGCTCTAGTGTGGTCATCAGTTTCCCAAGAAAGAAACACATGCACTGTTTTCTGCTGTTGTAACTGTTTAAGTAGCAGTTGTTTTAAGTAACCGGTATTACTGCTTTTTGTAGGCTTATTGTCTTTGAAGTTTTTCCCATTAAACATGTACATGGGTTTAGATTTTCAGTATTTATTTTTTTACAGCTGCAAGGTCTTCTTGCAGCCCTTTTGTGCTGCTTCACATTTCATTTAGAAATGAAAATACTTTTTTATACAGCAGGTTTTCACAATAGAAATATTTTTTCCAAAAGTTAAAAAAAAAAGTCTAATTAGTAGAAAATACTGACTTTAAATTTCACAGTAAGTTACTATTTCTGCCTGAATTCTGCCATAAATATATCAATTTCACAGGCTACCCAGAAGTGATATGGAACAAGCAATAGATGTTAACCATCCTTTTGATGGAACAGGCATGCTAGATGAAGATGAAGAGAATTTTCAGAAAGCCCTGGCTCTAAGTAGGCAGGAAATGGATATGGAAGATGAAGAAGCTGATCTTCGCAGAGCCATCCAACTCAGTATGCAAGGTGCAGTGCTCATCTAAATTTCTCTTACACTGTTCATGTTGCTTATGCTTTAGGCAGCTACTGAAATTGGTTTCAGTCGGCCACTTCTTCCAGCATGCATCAAGCTCTCTGAAAAGACTGGCTTTTTGGCTTTGAGGCATGGAAGGACAGTTCAGAATTCCCTGTAGCTATCTCCTTTCTGCTTTTGAAAAGTTGAAACTTGCATGTTAGCATTGATCATTTGGAAGCAAGAACAAATTGGCAAAGCGTGGCAGGAAGGAAGGGAAGCAGTCCTAATAAGAAGAGGAGATAGTATCAAGTGAAGTTAGCCTAGGCACTTATTTCTCCAATAAGTATATTTCTTCCTCTGAAGTTTGAAGACATTTTCTGAAGCTGTATTTCATTTACTAACTTCATTTTACAGTAATTAGTAGGATATTGTATGTTCTGGTTTTAGGTAGTCGTCGAAGTGACAGCTCAGGCTCATCACCACAGAACATTCCTCAGTTACCTCACACCAGTCAGACAGACTCCCTTTCTTCAGAAGAACTGCGAAGGAGAAGACAAGCGTATTTTGAAAAGTAAAGTAGTTGATACAAAACTGCATCTGGAAGGGCATGTCCTAATTTCGAGTGCTTTTGGCGTGTGGATGAGTTTCTCACTGAGACCCAACTTTTCTCTCTTAACATGTTTTCCTAACAGTATCTGAATTTTGCTGTTCCCAGGTGGCTCCTTATGAAGAAAACGAACTTGTAAATAATAGGAGTTCAACCTGTTGGTAGTGCAACATCAGGCTTGTGGGGGATGAAAAAAAAATACATGTTGGGTTGGAAAGGACCTTAAGATCATCTAATTCCAACCTCCCTGCCAAGGGCAGGGATCCCTCACAGTTCATGAGGGATCATGTTGCCCAAGGCTCTGTACAACCTGGCCTTGAAAACTGCCATGGATGGAGCATTTATCACTTATTTGGGCAGTCTGTTCCAGTGCCTCACCACCCTCACAGTAAAGAACTTCTTCCCTATATCTAACCTTAACTTCCTCTGTTAAAGTTTAAACCCATTACTTCTTGTCCTATTGCTGCAGTCTCTTATGAAGAGTCGGTCTCCAGCTTCCTTGTAGGCCCTGTTCAGATGTATTTTAAATGAAATCCTGTAAATTTCTGTAATTATTTTTCTGAAGAAAAGCATTCTTTCTCAAAGACTGCTTCTGGTAATGATGCCTCTAATGTGCATCACATGAAAGTGTTCTAGATGATATTTTATGTTGCTGTTCTGGAATACCTTCTTAATACATAGAACCATAGAATCAGCTAGGTTGGAAAAGACCTTTAAGATCATCAATTCCAACCATTACCCCAGGACTGCCAGGTCCACCACTAAACCATGTCACTGAGGGCCTCATCTACACATTTTTGAACACTTCCACAGATGGTGACTGTGGCACAAGTGCAGGACCCGGCATTTTGCCTTGTTGAACCTCATACCACTGGCTTCAGTCCATCGATCCAGCCTGTCCAGATCCCTCTGCAGAGCCTTCCTATCCTTGGTGTTGTCCACAGATTTACTGAGGATGCACTCAATCCCCTTATCCTCACTGGCACTAATACTGAGCCCTGAGGTACACCTCTATTGACCAGTCGCCAGCTAGATGTGATACCGTTTACCACCACTCTTTGAGCTCTGCCATCCAGCCAGTTTCCAGGCCAGCAAAGAATACCTCTATCCAGGCCATAAGCAGCCAGTTTCTCCAGGAGAATGCTGTGAGAAGTAGTGTCAGAGGCTTTAGGTCCAGATAGACAATGTCCACAGCCTTTCCCTCATCAACTGGGCAGGTCACTTTATTGCAGAAGGAGATCAGGTTGGTCAGGCAGGACCTGCCCTTCATGAATCCATGCTGACTGGGCCTGATCCCCCTGTTTTCCTGCACATGCTTTGTGATTTGACTTAGGATCATCTTCTCCATGACACTGATGACACTCCCTGGCACTGATGTCAGGCTGAGAGGCCTGTAGTTCCCAGTGTCATCCTTCCTGCCCATTTTGTAGAGAGGCCTTGCACTGGCCAACTTCCAGTCCTCTGGGACCTGCCCACTAGACCAGGACTGCTGATAGATGATGGAGAGTGGCTTAGCAAGCTCCTCTGCCAGCTCCTTCAAGTACTCTGGGGTTTAACCAATCTAGCCCCATACACCTGTTTACGTCTAAGTGGAGCAGGAGGTCACTAACCATTTCTTCCTGAATTATGGGGACTTCAGTCAGCTCCCCATCTCTGCCATCCAACTCGGGGAACTGAGTACCCTGAGGATACGTTGCTGGGGTACTGTAGCTTTTCTTTATCTCTGTCTCCTAGTGATGAAGGAAATAGAAATGCTATGGATGGGAGAAGTTAGAGTTTGCATGAGAGGGTAAGAATGCAGAACATTCAGATTTTAGGAAAACAGTAGTGTGGCTTGGCCACATAATGCTGGGGTGGTATGATGTCTGAGGGGTAGCAGTGTGAAACAATTGAGCTTTTAGGTGCAGGGCTGTTACTGTACCAAACAGCTTCCACTTCTCACTCTTGGCCTTCCTTACAATGAATTAGACTCGATACAGGTCTCGCACTGATGTTAATCTTATTGTTACAAATTTGTAACGCTTTCAGGCAGCAGCAACAGCAGCAAGATCAGGCCCAAAACCTACACAATAAGCCAGCTCTAAGCTCAAGCACTCTGGAAGCTGACCCAGGTATTGTTTTTTAAGCTATTTTCAACAGTGAAATATTGGGATTTTCTGCTTTTGTGCTCTGTTTCTAACTTGACTGCCTACTTCCTCACTCCAGCAGCCATTCAGATGATGGATCAGAGCCATTACTCTTTTTGGCAGTGAAGGATCACTTTCTTGAAAAGCCTGTTTGACTTTGAGTGTCAATATCCTGTTTCAGAGCATTACTATTAGACCATCTTAGTTCTGGCTTTTTGTTGTTTTGTTTAGCTTGAGCATTAAAGATTGTAATATTTGATGGGATTTGTGCCAATAATTTGTTTTCTAAAGTACTTTTAAAGTTGTATGATAATGTAATAAACTTGGAGTAATATCTGACAAAATTACAGGAACCAGTTTTCAGTAGAATGTAACTATGTAGGCCTTAGTAATGTCAAGTATTGGTGATACAAAATTCATATGTATTACTTGTTACAAACTGACTGTGGATGAAAAGCAAAGTGCAAAATATTCATGATTTTAAAAAACAAAGCCAGTTTTGGGGGTGGGGTGGAAACAGGTGGGTGTGGACAAAGGGAACAATGGTAGCATTTAACTACAGTTGAGAATCAGCTCTGTGCATTTATTACAACTTACATGCATTTATTTTCCTTAGGAGGTGATATGAGTGAAGAAGACATGCTTCAGGCAGCTATGAATATGTCTCTGGAATCCGTTAGAAACAACTTGAATACAGAAGAGGAGAAATGAATTAACTTTTTTCCTCTTATTGTCAAAACACTTAAGTCTCCATTATAATTTTTCTGTGTGGATGTTGCATAAGCAGGGTGCATTTTAGAGTTCTGGAAGCAGGAATGAAAGGGGGACTGGAAGTCAGTGCGGAGGGAATCCGCAATTACAAAAAAGATTGCACTAATTTACAAAACTTTAGCACTCCTACTACAGAACCTTTGTTCACAAGAGTAACTGTATTAAAATTACTTAAACTGTTCACATGAACCAAGTTAGATGTGTAGCAGAAGGAATTTGCATTTTAAAAGCAAGTTTAAATTGAGAAATTTTAAAGGAAATACAGAAGGTACTGAAAGGTGGCATCAACTGATTTCCTTCAGTATCAATGGAAAAACAGATACAAGTAATAAACTGTACTCATAAATGACGAATTTCTTTGTAAAGAATCCCTTAAAATGGGAAAAAGAATTCTGTTTATCTTAGACAATTTGTTTTGTGATTGTTTATTGTGAATGACTTAATGTCAACTTTTCAATCCTGCTGTCCACTTTTGAAATGACCCATTTTGCAGGAGAGACAAAAAATCATAGAACAGTTTGGGTTGGAAGGGACCTTCAAAAGTCATCTAGTCCAACCCACCTGCAATGAGCTGGGACATCTTCAACTAGATCAGGCTGTCTAGAACCACATCGTGCCTGGCCTTCAGTGTCTCCAGGGATGGCACATCCACCACCTCTCTGGGCAACCTTTGCCAGTATTTTACCATCTTCATTGTAAAGAAATTTTTCCTCGTACTGAGTCTGAATCTCCCCTCCTTTAGTTTAAACCATTACTCCTCATCGCAACAGGTCCTGCTAAGAATTCTCTCCCCATCTTTCTTACAGGCCCCTTTTAAGTACTGAAAGGCTGGAGTAAGGTCTCCCCAGTCTTCTCCAGGCTGAGCAACCCCAATTCTCTTAGCTGTTCCTCATAGCAGAGATGCTCCATCCCTCTGATCGCTTTTGTGGCCCTTCTCTGGACCCTCTCTAACAGGTCCATGTCTTTCCTGTACTGAGGACTCCAAAGCTGGACACAGCATTCCAGGTGGGATCTCACCAGCGCAGAGTGGAGAGGCAGAATCACCTCCCTTGACCTTCTGGCGATGCTCCTTTGAACAAAGCCCAAGATATGATTGGCCTGGGCTGCAAGTGCACATTGCTGTCTCATATCCAATCTTTAATCCACTAGTACCCCCAAGTCCTGGATAACTCCCAGTCTGAGTCTTGGGGTACTCTCATTCCCTTATCCCCCAGGCTGTATTGACACCAGGGGTTGTCCTAATCTAGGTGTAGGACCCTGCACTTGGCCCCATTGAACCTCATGAGGTTTGCACAGGCCCACCTCTCGAGCCTGTCCAAGTCCCTCTGAATAGCTTCCCATCCTTTAGGTGTGTCAGCTGTACCATGCAGCTTTGTGTCATCTGCAGACTTGATGATGATGCACTCAATCCCACAGTCTGTGTGGCTGATGAAGATTCTAGAGTACTGGTCCCCGTACAGACCCCTGAGAAATGAATTTTGCAATTCAAGAGATAATCATCAGTGTGCTGTTGATAATGATGTTACTCCTGAATCGGTGACCTCTGACCTTCTAACACTTTCTGGTTTTACTTTGAATTCCAACTCTAAAATTTTCAGATTCATGATTAAAGCAGGATTTTTGCATTGCCCTATTATCTTTTGGCAGATACACTTGACACCTTTGGTTTTGGGGGGTTTTGGGGTTTGTTTTTTTTTAATTTGTTTTTGTTTTCTTAGGCTCTTTCCAGTTATGCCACTGTCTTTACTACAAAAGCAGCATATAATCAGTTGGGTTGAACAAGTTTTATTTTCTACCTTTTCTGGAGTCTTTTTTTCCTCTTCAAGCTCAACCTTTCCAGTCTTTCAGTAGGGAAGAGCTGTAACTGAGTCTAGGAGAAAGGAGGAGGGGATTTATGTGCCATGAAGTCAGTGCCACACAAATAAGGTGCATTCTTGCAGTCTGAAATGACCCCTGTGCAAATCACTCATTTAAGAATGAATATTTATGTCTGTGTGGATGTTCTTTCTGAAACGCTTTTCATGAGTGTCTGTCAGAATGTTGCAGCCTTTTCAGGAATGGCCTTTATTAGTGCACCTTACAATTTTTTATCATGCTGTTTCTGATCCTGAGAAAAACTGGGGAGCAAAGTATGCGAGTAGCTTAAGCTATTGGTTGTAAGACAGTTGCTTTGATATCCAGGATGAATGTGTAAGAGGGTGACCAAACCTGACTTTCAACTTCAGTGCAACAATTGAAATATGTTACATTTTCCTAAATGGTGCTTGAAACACAAGTTCTGTTTACATCTAAATTAAACGGAAGTATGTTGTAGATAGGGTATGTAAGCTGTAGTCCACATAATGCATTGTTAGCACAGGCATTCTGAGAATCTTTTGAAGATAACCCTCAATTTCTTTATCAAAATATTCTAAAGTTAGATCATTGCACACTAGTAACGTTTAATTAAAATTAGTATGAAATGAATGGTATCTAGATGGAAATACACATTCAGCATCAAGTAGTACTGTATGTGAAAGGGCTTTTACCTCTCAGTAAAGATTTGTTTACAACACTGGTTTCTTGATATCTGAGGATATTATTATGTTATACCTAATTGGACCTAATTCTGTTTTCCTTAGCTGTGTGCTGAATTTCCACCAATGTCATCAGAACCACTGTATGTGTTAGTATGGATTTTGGCATGCAACAGCGCTACTTTTTAAAAGCTTATTTTAAATTTTGTCTTTTAAAATAACTCTGTTATGCGCATTATAATTAATAGCTGTAATGTCTCAAAATAATACAGCTAAACAACGGCTTTAAAAGCCCATGTGTGCATATACCATTTTGAAATGCTATGTATGTTTTTCAGGATGAAAATTTCTGCCTTCAGTTTAAAATGTATATGAAACTGAAACTTTCTTTCCTGAAGTCTCTAAAGCACTGAATTGTTTCCTTGCTTGTCTGTAAATCCACAGCTTTAATTTCCCGTCTTTTGTTGTGCCATGAACTGATTCTGAAATAAGACTCTCTGTTTTATAAATAGGTATAGGCTGGCAATTTGATACCAGTACTTGGAACCTGGACCTTTTATTCCCTATTATATAAAAATATATTATTTCTATAGCTATATAGTGTGGCAGCCCTATATTAAAAATATAAGAAAAAAAAAGCCCCTTGAATTGCATTAACTGTAACCTGTGACAATTACATGTTTTTTATAATCACTAAAGCATGGAGGTTTGCATTTGAACTTTCTTGCCACTTTGTAAATTACTTTATCACCCAAGTGTTTTAATATGTAGGGAACATAAACAAACAGTGCCTGAAAAGCACATCTGTGTCAGTCATTACAGGGCTAACCATACTCCCTTCTGTGCAGAAACACTGTCACTCTGCAAATACCAGTTTAATTTTCAGAGGTATGTCCAGTTTCATGAAGTAGGTATATCAGCCTAGTCAAGGAGCTAGAGGTAGTAATTTAAGCTATGTATGTTAATTGCACCAAAGGAAAAGACTAATACTAATTGGTTACAGTATACATTTTATAACCCAGACCTAAAGTTCAAAATGTGTGGACCTGCCAAGAAGCTGTCAATAAAAAGCCAGTCTCATTTTTTGGTGTGCATTCTTTTGGTGATAAGCAGTCCTCAACGTGGCTGAACTATACTCATAAAGCATTTACTAATAGAGAGCCTATTCCTACTGTTATCTGTTCTGCCAAGCTGTTAAGTGTTTTTTTGCATGTTGTAGCTTTAGGCCAAAGTCCATTGTAAAAGAGCAGAAACTGTTTTGTTGTTTGTTTTTTTTTTTAAATTACAGTATGATATATGAGGGAATTTTAGACTTCTTTCAGCCAACATATTTTTACTGTCTTCCTCGCAGTGAGCAGTCTATGTGACTGCTATGTAATTCATGTTTTCCTGCCTATAGACATCAAAGGGGTAGGCAAAATGAGTGATACTTATATTAAATATCTTTCAAAATTACTTCTGTAAGCATAAGCTGTAAACTGTTTTCATGGTCTTGTAATGAGGATGGGAGGAAAAAGTGTTGTAGAATCATGGAATAGTTAGGGTTGGAAAGGACCTTAAGATCATCTAGTTCCAACCCCCCTGCCATGGGCAGGGACTCCTCACACTAAACCTTGTCACCCAAGGCTCTGTCCAACCTCACCTTGAACATCACCAGGGATGGAGCATAAATGCATTCATTTGTAATGCAGTCATGCTTGAATGCAATTCTTGTTAGGCACAGCAGGTATAAATATGAGTTATTTAGAAGTTCTAATTTTTCTGGTCTTGAAACTAATCTGGTACAATCCTGGCTTACTCTCCAACATTTGGGCTCCTTGTGCCCTTTAAATAACTTCAGAAAGTTTAAATGTAATTTTCAGATAAGGTACTATTTTTCATACTTACTTACTTTGCAGGCTACTTAAAAATAACCAATACAAAGTTAAATTTCCAATGTGTTTTAATGTTGGACTATTATTACTATTACAAATCTGTAAAATGGTGGGGAGTTTAAAATGTCTTCTGCACATGTCTAGTAAAGAATTGTATTTCTGTATCTCAAGACTAATATTATTATTTGCAACCTGCTTTATTACAAAACTGACAAGCTTTTACAAATTACCAAGAACATGTTACAGTTCTAAAATGAAATTTCCTAGAATTTACTGTTTCAAAAGTTGATGAAAACATACAAATGGTGGCCTTTTTACTGGGGAATGGGATTGGAGAACTCTAGTTACTCAGACTTGCAAAGGCGTATGATTGTACAACTCATTTTACCAGGACATAATTTTAACAGAATCAAAAAGAATCCAAGGAAAAGAAAATTTGAAGTGGAAACTTTAAGGGGTTAGATATAAAATAGTGTTTCTCACTGAGTAAGCCATTACTGTCTTGACTAAACCAAACTTAATGCCTGGAAAATCTTCATAGTTACTTAGAAATCATTAAAAAAAACCAACCAAACAAACAAACCAACCCCAACCGTACAGGTAATAGATACAATGATATAAACTCATTTCACACATAATTAGTTGTTCAAGTAGGAACAATGCTTACTATATACAAACTGGCCTCATTCAAATACTTGATTCTTTACTTCAAATTAGTAGCTTCTTTGTGTTGTATCCAGGTTCCAATCTGAAAAGCATGAGCTCTTTTGCAATAAACTCTTTTAAACTGCATACACACATTTTGCCTTATTTGTATTTCGGACATGGAGGGAATGCTTCAGTATTTAGCCTGCCATAGTCACCTCCTTTGTCAACTGCAGTTCTTCACAATGTTGAAGTACATGTGACTTTTCAACTCCTCTTAATCAAAATCAAAATGTTTTTACTTTATTTTCTTGGTTAAGAAAAGCAAATAATAGTTACTAAGAGGATTTTTTTTTTTTTTTTCTCTTAACATCCCCTTCCCCCCCATTTATAGCCAGTGTGTGAATTCAGGAGAGAAAACTTGTAAAAAGGTTTGGACAGAAAGGGATGTAATATTTAAATGCCACTAAGCAAAAAAAAGGATAAAACCCTTGATACTGTCTTCAAAGCATGCAAGCACTGATAAAACTTTATTTTTTGCTACATGAAATTCTACATGTACAAAACAGTGTGGAGTTACGATTTTGTAAGAGAATATTTTATTTTTCATCTCTTGCCTAACAGCTGTGTACTTTAGAAATCATTTTCAGTAAAAAATTTTTCATCTTGAGACTGCTTTCAGGATCATGTCTTCAGCTCTGGATTCCTAAACAATCTTTGTTTCTGTTTTGTGTATATAAAGCATATAACACTGAGAAGATTAAAAAAGGGAAAGGTGAAATGCTTTGTCATTGTTTCGACTGGAAAATGGCAGTGCTGTCTGATATTTTGAAAATGCTTTTGAAATAGGCATGAATATATACGGTTGTATTTGATACCACTTTTTTAAATAAATATGATTATAGCTTCTAACATTTCTCTCTTGACCCCAGTATTTATGTATGTGCTTTCTCTTATGTGTGAATTGGGCACAGAACCATCAAACATTAAAACTGTACCTTTGCTATCAATGGGCCTTGCACCAGATGTGTACACATATGAGCAGTGGGGCAATTTTCTGTTGCTGATAACTGACATTTTACCATCTATGATTCCCTTGATCTGTTGATACTCCAGAATTTATGTAAAGACACTTCTGAGGAAGGGAGTTGGTGCCAATTATAGTTATCCTACATCTTTACAAATTGTATGCTTTATATTTTAAAATCAGTTACTGTTTCCTGTTTTGCTTCCAGAACACGCATTCTTTTTGTGACACAATGCACTGTGCTACTTTATTAACTTCTTGCCTTACTTGGCATTATAAAATGAACCACAATATGAGACATTTTTATAATTTCTAAATACTTTCAAAAGGCTGGAGGACATCCCTGATCTCACTTGAAAATGTAAATACAAGTTTCCCATATAAATGAATTAACCAAACATTATCGGAAAAGATGACTTGTCTTTTATCTCCTATGGACCCATATGGTTTTTGTTAAGCCATGGAATAGGGTGTTTGAAGCATTGTAAACTTTTCCTCTCCATTAAACCCAATGTTTGAAATTAACAAAATCGTTGAAGATGCACATTTACGTTCTGTGCTGTATCACTGCACTAATACTTCCTGTAATTGTGGTGCATAGATTTTTGTTTTGGAAGGGTTTGGTCGGATTGTTTTTTGGTTTTGTTTTGGTTTGTTTGTTGTCTTTTTTTTTGAGCTAGGAATGGATTTGAAGTAGTGTATGATATTACCACGCATAATTTTAAGGGCAGTAAATATTCTATCTAACATTTGGCAATGTATAAACCTGATGGAAAAACTGTTCACAGGGAAAGCAATCTTATCAAACTTGACAGCTATTTCTGTTACTTTTAACTTCCAAACTCTTGCTCCACATAATGTACTCGACCTCAGAGTTGCCTCTTGAGTGACAGTTGGAGGTGAAGCAAAAAAAGGCAATCCAGTATTGCAGGCCAGCTATGGACCCTTCACTAAAGCTCTGCAAGATACCATTTTGGAAGTAACAAGCACTTTTTCCATAGTGGCCCGGTAATGATTGTCAGCTTGTAACTCCAGAGCATGCGGCTTGCGCCTGCTGCATTCTCGGCTGCTCTGCAGACTTCACATGTGAAATGCTCTTTCTTCTCAGCTTCATTTTGCCATTGATGTGGTGCTTTCATTATTAATTTTTTAATGTAGTTATTAATTTGAAACTTATTAATGAGCTAGCTGCCCTTTATCTTCTTTCCAGTATTGGCAAATTTTTGTATCAGTATTGGTTTTACTGTTTTAATACTGCATTTTCTGTAACAGCACAGTACTCCTTGTAGTCCCTGTAATTTCAAAAATGTCATATGATCAAAACCAACAGGAATTTTGAATCAAACCAGTGTCAGGGTTGTGGCTGGAAGTCCAACCAACCAGCCATTTGTTCCACATCCAAAGAGGTAGGGGGCTGGTATCTCAGGAACTTACCTAGAACACGTTCAAACACGTCTCTTGTAGCAGTTGAGTATTGTATTTTGTTCATGACACATGGCCCAAGTATGTGTACATTAGGGTTCGTGTTAGTCACAGGGCACTCCCAAGCCGAGCTCCAAGCTCGGCTGACATGTCCTTCCACAGGACAGACCGGCACAGAGCCCTGCGGTAGCTCCGCGGTTCCCCCAGCCTCACTTTTACACAGACTAGGATTGACTGATTTACTACACGCAAGAGTCGCGCCGGACGTGCCTGTTGGAAGGATGAACCCAGGGGCATAAACTTGAACTCAACCACATGGCTCTGGTTTTGTTTCTCTGAAAGCAAACACACTCCAACACCACCCACCCCCAGTCCCGCTGCACGCCACTACTTCAACCTCCCCCTCCGCCAACCACAGCGGAAACACCCCCGCTACTCCACCTCTATCCCGGCATCCTCCGCTGCCGCGCACGCGTCATTGCCGGCGCGCGGGCGCTCTAGCCGGTTGCGGTTGCTGTTGATGGTGTTGTGGTGGGGGTGTCATGGCTGCCGCCGAGGTGGCAGAAGCAGGAGCCTCTGGGACGAGCCGCTGAGTTGGCTAGTGCTGGGAGGATGTGTGCGGCGCTGGCAGAGGGGTCACCGAGACCTCTTTGCTGAGTTGGCAGCAGGAGCCTTGACCCTCCCTAGCGAGGGGAAGGGAGCAGGAGGAGGTGATCGCCCCTGTTCCCGCTGGAGCCAGCTGCCAGCTGTGCTGGCCGCCTGCCCGGCGCGGGGCTAACTGAGCAGCGGTGATGGCGTCGTGGTTGGGCGGGCTGGGCTCGGGGCTGGGTCAGTCCCTGGGGCAGGTGGGGGGCAGCCTGTCTTCGCTCACAGGCCAGATCTCCAGTTTCACCAAGGACATTCTGCTGGAGGGCACGGAGGAGGTGGGCGGTAAGTGCCGCTGAGGCGCTGGCCGGGGAGCAGCGGGGCGGGGGGTGTCCGTGTGTTTGTGTGTGGTTGCCGGGGCGGGCCCTGTTCAGTGTGTACTCGCTAGGACAGGCTCGGTTTCGGGAGGGAGCCTTTGCTCCGGCTGCCGGTTTGCCCAGGGGTCGGCAGTGGCGGGGCCTGCACCTGCCGGCCGAGAGCGAACTGTGCCGTCCCGGTACGCGGCTTGGTTTCTTTCGGGAGAGCTGCTGGCTTTGCTGGCTGTGTTTTCTTTGTCAGCTCCTGTTGATCTCAGGATCTGAAGAATAGACAAACATATTCCCAGCCTATAATAGCAGAGGTTAACCTTCTCTAGGTTTATTATTCGAAAGTTTCTGACTTGCTTGAAGCGTTATGTTGATCAGTAATGAAAGCACGCAACACTCTTAATTCCATTCCGTTTGCTCAGCTTATCTAAGACCCTATCTGGTTAGCTTTTGGTGTGGTTTCATAAAACTGCAGAGGAATTTTTACACTGGTATGATCTAAGCCTGACGTGTCACATAAGCAAAGGTCCAGCCTTTATGGTGTTCTCGTTGTTTGTATTTCAGCTGGGGACAGAGAGACCTGTCAAGTTGTACCATTCTCCTGCAGCCAAGTAGAACATTGCCATGGTTTAATAGGGACAGGAAGCTAGGATGATACATGTTTAAAATAGGAAGCTGAGACATTGGAGTAAGATTTGAGTAAAGTAACAGTAAACTTATTCTAGACTGTAGTCTTTATATTTTTAAGAAACTTTTTTTGTTACAAGTTGTTGAATAAAACTTTTGATTTTTATACTAAAGCACTTATATAACATGGTAATAAATATCAATAGGTTAATGCCACTAGTATTGTTTACCACCTTGAAACTATAACTTACTGAAAAAAAATTACTGCTCTTAAAGCAAATGTTAAGAACAGCTAGGACTTCTGAATACTCATCTTAAATGTGAAATTAAACAATTCTATTTTGTTTGTAATTTCAAACAAATTTAGATATCAGGAAGAAGTTATTTACTGTGCGGGTGGTGAGGCACTGGAACAAGTTGCCCAAAGAAGTGAATGCTCCATCCCTGTCAGTGTTCAAGGCCAGGTTGGACAGAGCCTTGGGTGACATGGTTTAGTGTGAGGTGTCCCTGCCCATGGCAGGGGGGTTGGAACTAGATGATAAGGGCCTTTCCATCCCTACCTATTCTATGATTCACAACTATGAAGCATTGCCTAAGTATTATATCAGTCTTGTTGGCAAGCTGATGCTGCTGGTCTCATTGATGGTTTTTTTTTGGTATACAGGTGAAATGAGACAGATATTTGTTTGGATAACTGCAAGGTTACACTTTTCAGAAATACTTGCTTAGAATTGTTTTAAATTTCAAAGTCCCATATTAGTTTAGTTTGGAGACTTACTCTGTGCTGCTAAACTGTGTAGTCATCTAGTGTGTTTGGTTTACCCTTTTAAAAGAGAAATTGAGATTCTGATTCACACATTTGTGCTTTAGTTTGTGTAAGAGGCATGTGCTGATGATGTTCATTAGTTACTTCCAGGTGTACTTGACTGCTAGATACTGCTGTAAACTACTTCTGTTTGCTAAAACTTTCAGAGTAGTACATTTTTATGGGTTACTAGCCTTGAGGGTGTGAAAATCTAGTGGCATCTAAATACTCTTCCATGAAGACCTTTACATATTGTGTAACACTTCATGCAGTTCCTTACATTCCTGGTTTTAATTTTCTGATGTTTCCTAATTTTTAATATTATCCCTTACATCCACTGCTTTGGCTGCCATCGGAACTGATGATAGTGTTTGTGGTTTATAGACTTTTAACATCTTCCATTTGGCAGAGATTGTTGCTTCTGCAGCACTTGAGCTGCATCATTTTTAAGTAGCACATAGGAAATTATGAAATACTGTATTTACTTGAAAATTATATTTATTTCAAATAACTGTCAAGCTTGTTTTATAGTCAGTCAAGGATGATTTCTCTTTAAGAAAAGGCAATGTAGTATTTCTAGGCACTGAAAGTTGTACATGGGAGAAGTAAACATAGCCTGTTTGAGGAGGGTTGATCATCAACGGGAGAGTGTCCCAGGACAGAATTATGTGGGTTTTGACTTAAATACACTGATATGATAGGTAGTGTCACCTCTGTAAATGGAAGTGAGTTCTGTTGGGGATTTGTGCCTTAATGAGGGAGGCAGGGATGATGTTTTGTTGTATTGGTTATTTTGTGGGTTTTGTTAGGTTTGGGATTGGGTATTGGTTTTTGTTTTGTTTTCTGAAAATTTAGTTACTGTTGTGTCTGTTTTGTGGAATTAATTCTTATTTTGAAACTTCACATGAGAATACTGAGAAATACACAACTGTCACATCAGGGGCAAAGTCCTATGTGAAAAACAGCTCAGTGACATGAAATAGTCACATTTTAAAGCTTAAATCTATACTTTTCTATTATCTTTGTGATCTGACTTAAAGTCTAGGTAAGAGAGAGCTAAATTACACTCAAAAAGACTCGGGTTTGTGAAAAAGAATTCTGATGGTGTTCTGATAAGAGCAGCTTTTGTTATTTACCTAGGAATGAACATCAAAGCAGTGTAAAGTAAGACACTTGTTAATAACTGTGATCTTAATTGATGTCTATTTAACAGACTAAAAGTAGCTTAATAAAAATGAAAAATTTCACTTTCTTTCAGATGCAGCAACAGAACTCCAAGTGTCCAATTCTAGACTCAGAGAAATAGAAAGTATTAATGCAGCACAAAAGCTTGAAGTAAGAAATTTTGGAACACTACTGTAATTAAAAACAATAAATAACGTTTCTTGTAAAGTTGAAATATAGCACTGAATGTGCTTGTCTGGGTAAATCTAGAAAAGAAGAGTGTGTTAGAATGTGGCTTTTTATTTACTTTTTGGGGAGAGGCATTGCAATTGGGGGTGTATTTGTTTATTGGAGTATGTGTGTGATGCATGTTTTCATTTTTCACTAAGTGCCGCATCCTGCAACTGTTCCTACTTACCACATGGGTTTGGACTGCAGCAATAGTCTTGGCTCTGTAAAGCTCGTAAATATGACAGTCTGAAGTTTCCATAAATTTTGGCATTTTGTAGATGATCACATATAAAATCAGATCTAGAATGACTGGTTAAACTGGACAGCATCTCTCCTGCAGCAGGCAGAAGACAGAGCGTATGTGCTCCCTGATGCAGTTCTGTGCCCGTGTTTCCCTACTGTGTGTTGGTTTTGACATAACTGTGGATGCATGTGCTCTCCCAGAACTGCTTAAAAATCCCATGTGCCCGTGAGGAAAGTGACTTGGTGTACTTTAACAAATGACTTGTTGGTTTACAGCCATAAATGAAGTCGTAAGATCAACAACTTCTACGTATGTCCTCAGCCCTCAAGAATATTGAGAAGTTAAGATAGTATTTGGGGAAGTTCCTGCTTGTCCTTTTTTAGATTCTTGCCATTTGCTCTTGAAGAGTGTCAGAGAGAGAATACTGTATTGTGTGGATATTAGCTCTGATTTCTGTTATCTGGCTGTTCTTAAATTCTACTGATGGGTCATGCTAAGATGTAGTTCAGCCTTGAATTTTTCTTCTTGCATTTACCAGAAACCTCTTTCTGAAATGCTGTATGAAAATGGAAAGCTTGGACATGAATGTGATTTTGGACCACATTTGGAAGTTACTGTTGTTTGTGTGGTTTGAGTAGAATAACATGAGAAATGTGTATAATTTGATTTCTTTATTGTCCAGCAGATTTACGCTTTTCTTATTCTGTAAGAACTGTTCCAAATTTACCAACATTAATTTCTCATCTTTGCTAGAATGAGAGACTGAAAAAAGTTTGTAGTGATTTAGAAGAAAAGCATGAAGCAGCAGAACTTCAAATAAAGCAGCTATCTATAGAGTACCGAAATCAGCTTCAACAGAAAGAGGTAGGATATAGAGTGAAATATTTGAATAAATATGCCAAATAAACTTGCATATTATGCTGTTTAATCTCTTTGTTATGGTATCTGTGCTCTTTCAGTGGAAGTGTTGGTCACAGTTTCAATTTCTTAGTTTGTGAATGTAGACACTGGGAGACTTAAGACATATACTGTTGACTTATGTAATGTAAGCAGAGCTGCCAGGAGAAAGTTGAGATGAGAAAACTCCAGGAATGTCATGCATATATCAATTTCTGTTTTTTTCTGTGAGAAAGAGCACTTAAACTGCTTTGTATTTCTGATTCAGTTATCTTTAAGGAAGGCAAAAGGAGCAAATTCTTATTTGAAGCAGTTATATTGTCTGTAGATACCATAATTATTTATCTTAATGTATACAGTTTCATGATCTGAGAAGTGTCTCTTTGTGATGAAAACATCAGCTGTATAGTCTATTGTGTAGCATTAGATTTCATAGCCTTTTAAATGAAGACAGTTGCCAGTATGCCTGGAATTACACAAAAGTTTTATTTCTTCTCTATTTATAAATGCATGTGGGAACTAGAGGAAGAAGAATTTTGAGATGTGTAGAATTCTGCATATTAAATACAGTAGCAGAGTTGTTACAAGAAAATTGCATGCAGCTAATTTCAGTTTGTTGTAAATAAGTAAATTTTCAGTACCTTATGTGTAAAAGAAATCAGACGTAATATAAATGTGGGAGCATCACATACTGCTTAATTTTCATGTTTGAATACCCTTGTTAATTTTTTTTTTTTTCAGCCTGACTGTTGCTATAGTACTTAAGTACCTTGGCTGCTGAAAAAAAAAAATCATCATTTTTACTGAAACTTAACTCAAAACTGTTAAAACTTTTAGTATGTATCCATGTGGGAGATACTTTATAAACATTAGCTAAGACTGCTTTTCTCCATTAGGAGGGAGTTTGGGTTTTTTTTTTCCTTTTTGCTTTAGTGGAAGCAATCAGTTATTTTTGCTGGGGACAGGTTGTCTGGTTGGTTCACATTTCATAAGTTTACAAGAGGCAGAGTGTTTATTGTTATTCTTCCTGAAACAATACATTTTATTCTGTATTTTCAGGTGGAAATCAGCCATTTAAAAGCTAGACAGAATGCACTGCAGGAGCAGCTGCAGAAAGTACAGAAGGCTGCTCAGTCAGCACAGCTGGGAGCTGGTGTTTTACCACCAGCCACTACATCAGCTTCATATGTTCCAGTGGTCAGACATGCCTCAAATTTTGAAGGATATGACATGGATTTTGGAGACGTAATCTGGTCACAGCAAGAAATAAACAGATTGTCCAATGAAGTTTCTAGGCTTGAATCTGAGGTTGACCACTGGAAGCAGATTGCACTGGTGAGTATTTCCTCACTGTCTTAATCTCCACTCCAAATTAGTCTTTTCACTGAATTTTGTGGTTTTGGAATGGGTCTTCTGAAAGTTCATGGTGTACAATTTCTAGAAGCAACATGATTTGATGGAAAAGCTGAAACTTAATTACGTTTTCATCATTTTCATACTGTCACATGGCTAACATTCAGTTAATAACATTCATTGACTAACTTCCAAATGCTTCGTGATGCTTTTATGCATAATTTATCAAGTTGGGCTTTATAAACATTTGCCTGTGCTACTTCAGGGTTTAATTTCTGTGCAGCCTTTCAGAAAATGATTTTCTTCTTCCTGGCTCTGGTACTATTTATTGACAGTATAATACTGTGATAGTTGAGTATTTGCCTACTGGTTTTACTTACTCTTCTCTCAGTCCTTGTTATGTCAGTTGGAATTCATGATTTGCTGAGACAAGAAATAATACAGTCTTTCAAGCTGTTGTTGATATGAGTCATTGTTTTTCAAGCTATCGCCTGATTTCAGAGCTATACCTTTCTCATTTAGAAATATTCAAGTAAAATTAAGAAACCCTGTTGTATTGTTAGGTGCAATAACACCCACTACCACAAACTTTTGTATATTTCCATATAACAATAATAATAAAAATCAGTGGAAAATAAAAAACTTTCAATTAAAATGTCTTTTTTTATCAAATTTACTGTAAATTTTAATTTTTCTTCACATTCCCTTTGTTTTTCTACTTTGAGTAGAAATAGAGGAAACACACAAAAAATATGCCTGTTTATCACAATTTTCACATGGATATGTGATTTTTCTTTTCTCAGTCTTCCAAAGTGCAAGGGACAAATGATGCTGAACAAAGTGAAATATGCAAACTGCAAAATATTGTTAAGGTAATATGACAATTTTGACAAGCTAGTCTTCACTTACACTTTATTATTGATGGTTTTGCATATGATCACATGACTTATGAATACAGTTAAAATGTTTACAACACATGCACTTAAATTTTCTCGATTAAAAACATATGTGGGCTTGTAGTATCACAGTAACATTTCAGTCATCAATACAATATTTAAAAAGTTATTCTGCGAAAGGGTATTTATGTGAATTTGTTTAATGTAGTACATAAGCTTAAAAGAATTACATTGGTATTTATGAGGGCAAATCACTTTCGGAAGCTGTTGATGACTGACTTACGAGATACACAAAATAATTTCTTCTCCCTTCTCAGAAACATCTTACTTTTTCGCATTGAAGGTGCAGAATATGCATTTGCCTGACATCCTTAGAAGTTGCTAGAAACGTGTCCTACTGTATCCACTTCCTGTGAAGTAGTTGTAATCTCTCTGCTTTAGTATTTGTTGTTTTGTGGAGCATACTGTTGTGTAAATGTATTTTTAAAGGGAATGTCTTTTGTTGGTTTGGGGTTTTTTTAAACATGTTAAAAGACAAGAAATGTGACTTCTGTGAGTAATCCTTTAATAAATCTTTAATTTTACTAAGGAAAATGTTTTTATTTCTTTTTTTTTCCTTTTTAAGCTTCTGTACTGTATTTTACCATTCTGTTTTTCTAATTATACTTTTAGGAGCTCAAACAGAATTTAAGTCAAGAAATAGATGAACATCAACATGAACTTTCAGTGTTGCAGGATGCACACAAGCAAAAGCTAGTAGAGATAACTCGTCGACACCGAGAAGAGCTGAGTGAATATGAAGAGCGAATTGAAGAACTTGAGAATCAGTTACAGCAAGGTCTTTCTTACCACATGCTTTCTTTTTTAATGTACAGTGAATTTTGGTTAAAGGATCAAATTTGTATGTAATGGTGTAATAGATATCAAATACATGATGTTCAGGAATTTGATTTTCAACTTGATTTAATCTTGATGTTTAAGGTGCATGTCCTAGTATCTTATATTCACTGTTGCTGGCTTGAATACTGGAATGCTGGCATTTTTTCTGCTGATGTATATCAGTCTAGAGGGTCATTTTCTATACATATCAAATGTTGTGCTCCAAATCCTACACATCCTGTTTTGTTTTTTTTTTAACCTTACATTTAATGTGTATGTGGAGAAGATAGCACTTGTCTCCTTAGCACAGGAGTAATTTTGCTGAGAAGTACTATATGCCAATTCAGTTACTTGACAAAAGTTCAAGACTGACATAAGGACCACACTTCAGTCTGCGGCGTGACTAGATTGTAGGAGAAGCTTTGTAGTTCTCACAAGATGCTTTTTCTTGTCTTGTAGGTTATTTCATAGAATCATAGAATAGTTAGGGTTGGAAAGGACCTTAAGGTTATCAAGTTCTAACTCCCCTGCCATAGGCAAGGGCACCTCACATAAACCATATCACCCAAGGCCTCGTCCAGCCTGGTCTTGAACACTGCCAGGGATGGAGCATTCACAACCTCCCTGGGCAGCCCATTCCAGTGCCTCACCACCCTAACAGGAAAGAATTTCTTCCTTATATCCAATCTAAACTTCCCCTGTTTAAGTTTTAACCCGTTATTCCAGAAAAATAGTAATGTAAGGTTTTCTTTAGAGGCTTCCTTGCGTAAATATGTAATATTTGCCTGGAAACTTCCCGTTTTATTATGTGTTAAAACTTGGACTTTTAAAGAGTATATATTCTCCTTTTGGAAAGAGAGATCCATTCCCTTCTTGGAAAGAAGGGAAATATTTTCACAGCCTCTTAATGCCTGAAGTAGTACTGATAGAGAATTTATTTCTTAAAATCAAGTGCCTGTTAAGATGTAATCTGTCTTTTACTGTGTGTACATACACCAGCAGGACTAATTTAACGAAGTTAAAGGGAGGAATCTCTATCTTTTGCATTGCAAGTCATCTGTAAAATAAATACTGCTCACAGCTTTTGAAGGTTTAAGAGTGTTTTATTTTTTTATTTTGTTGGTCTGTTTGACATCATTATACAGATTGGGGCAGGAGGAAGTGTTTGAGCTTGTGATGAAGTGAATTCACAAGCAGCGTGCTTTCATTTAGCTTTTTTTGCTGTAATTTCTGATTATGCTTTTTTATATTCCAACTTTTCTAGACGTTACATTGTGATAATATGGTAGATGTCTGAAAACATCAATTCTGCAAAATGAGATTTTTTTTTTAAGTAAAAAAGGTCTGTGCATCATTTAGCAAATGATATACTAATATGTAGCAAATAGTTCTCTATAACAACCATTCAACAAACCTTTGAAATTTAATTAAAATATTAAGAGAGATTTTGCATCAGGCTAAATTAGATGGGGTTTGATTAAATTATTCTTAGAAAATTAAGGAATTCTGAATTGCAGTGTACTAGATTGTGTCATCTCCCCACCAGAGGAATGGGGGTCAAGTATATTTTAATTAAATGGCAAAACATACTGTTCACAACACTTTAAGTTTTAAAATTATTTCAACAATAAATACTTCACAAGGATGCGCAAGTATTTGAAAAGCTGCATATCAAGCCGGTAGTATGTATAGCCCTGCTTCAAATCTTAATTCTATTTATGTAAGCTTTCTGTTGATGATGATTATCAAGTCTTTGGTTTAGATATCTCCCTTTGTCAGGAGAAGAGGTAGAAGAAGAGACTCTTAAGCAAAAGATCTGCAGTGCTGCTGGTTTTGGTTAATAGTTAAAATTGCTAACAATCTTTTTTGCTTTTTAGATGGTGTGAGCACTGATGCCGTGGGTGCCTCTGAAATTAGTGAACAGAAAAAAAATGCTCGGAGTCTAGAAGGAGGAAAAATAGAAGAGTTGGAGATTGTAAAGGACCAAGAGGATGAAATAAGAAAATTAAATCACAAATTGTCTTCTGCTAAAGAAGAAAACAGAATTCTTCTGAAAGAGCAAGAATTGGCAAAAGTAGAAAAGATCCAAATAATGCAAGAATATGAAAATCTTAAGTCTGAATTTAGCAGGCTTCAAAGTGCTGCTGCAGAGCAAGATGCCCTCCTGAAAGAACAAGACAAGAAGCTCCAATCAAAAATGTCATTACCAGAGGATATTGTCAGACTACAGCAAGCGCTGTTAGGTACTAAGATGATGATTATTTTATTTTTTAGTTTAATTAATTTTAGTAAACCTTTGGAGGTTTTCACTTTTAAAGCTCAGATTTTACTTTAAGAATTTGGATCTTAGTATGATAATATATATCTTTTGAAAGCTGCTGCTTTACAAAAGGGTTTTTCATTGAGGTAAGGCTAAGCTGAAAAGGAGACACAACTGAAACTAGCATGACTGATTATCATAGGGCTTTCTGATTAGGTAAGTAACAAGAAGTTGCTTGTTTAAATTCTAGAAGCACAATTTTGGTAAAGACAATCTGTTGCTAATCTTCTCCCTAAAGTAACACTGAAACTTCTCTGTTTAAGAAGTGTATCTGTATGTAGAAAATCTTTTAATATTGCATAATTGATACACTGTAGTGCCAAAGTCCTCCTAATGTGAAGTCAGTAGTAAAAGTAATTCTCTGTGGTGGTGGTTGATGGTGCATTTCAGTCTACAGCACTGATGATTATAATCTCAAAATACTGTGAAACTATTCTCTTCTGAGCAGCAGAGTGTTGCTGGGGCAAGGTGGGAGAATTGTTTTTGTTGTTATTTGGAAAGTGGTAAAATTCTGTATTTTTTTTTTTCCTTTATAGAAGCAGAAAATGAAATAGCAAGGCTTTCAAGTTTAAATCAGGTAAAGCAATTTCTAAATTAAGCCAACAAAGTTTGTGCAAATAGTAAGTGATGGAAAACATGTTCTGGCACTATACATTTTTTGGAGCACTTACACTTCTACATTAATAACCTTGTAATCAAGGAAATAATTGTAGATTAATTCTGGAATTACATGTGGAATTGATAGAAACGACACATTTTGACTTGTGAAACTCCATAGTTTCTCTGTGAAAGAAAACTAGATTTCCACCTATCCATTGCTACTTAGGCTGCTGTAACATAAATTTTAAAAGTATTAATAGTATATTCTGTAAAATTTGTCACTTTTCACCTGTTTGGCCTATTCCGGCTTTAAAAAACCGTTGTCAGCTGTAAAATACTTCTCTCCTTACATGTAGTACTCTAGTAATAGTACATTCCATCTTACTGATCAAGTTAAGCAGTGGAAAATACAGTCTCTGGAACACACCTTTAGAGTTTGGCAAGGTTTGACTTAGTCTTTTATAAACTCAGGTTTGAGAGATTTGGCTTAGTTTACTTTGTATCCATTAGCATTTCTCAACTGGGGTCTTCTGTGTTTTGCATGTGTTGAAGATTTCCCATGGCATTTTTCATAAGCATGTTGTTCAGGTGTCCTTTATTGAAACTTCCTGTCTCCCTATGCAGCATGCTACATATTTAGAGTATATCTTGGATGTATAATAATTTATCCCAGCTGTGGATCCATGCCTCAGGGGTGGGTATAACTTTGCTTGCCAGACAGTGGCTTTTTGTGCAGAAGCTCGTAAATTACAGTCCTGAACTTAGTGATGAGAAAATAAATGTCTATGTGTGAATTGTCCAGCCAAATACTTCCTGATGAATAATTTTTAAGTGGCATAATATTAATGTAGGCCTAAAGATTCTAACAAAAAAAGGGCATATTTTACTTTTAATTGTTGAAGGGAGGGAAATAAACTATTTCAGATCTGAAGAGGTTATAAGTTTCACCAAGGTAAAGTCTAGTATTTAGATTTTTTTAACTTAAGAAAGGACTTGAGAAGGAACTGACAAGTTCAGAAGATAAAAATGCGAATATTCTTTCTGCATATGCTGAGGATCAGAATTCAGAATTAAGTCAGTTAAGACAATATTTGGAAAGGAAAGAACATGAATTAAATGAAAGTATTGCTGAAAGAGAAACATTAATAGTGGAGCTGGAAGAACTAGACAAGCAGAATCAAGAAGCTACTCAGGTAATAAACACTGCAACTATTTATTTAACTGCTAAAATATTTAGGTTTGTGCATGTTGGTCTTTCAAGTTGAGCTTTGAACGTAGATAACAGGGAAATAGAAGTTATCCTCTGAGGCTTAAAATGAATATTGGGACCATCTTAGTGCAAAATTTTAAAATGCAAGAAACCCACTTATTATGGATGAATAAATAACATGGTGTGTGAGCTGTCCATAACGTTTGTCACTTCCCAAAGTCCAGTTAAATATTACTTAATTTTTCACTCCACAAGACTTTTGACAGATCTTACCCTGCTGATATTTAGACCTCCATCTTATGACAGTATGCATAACATGAGTTATTTTTAAAAACTTTTTCCTTGTATTATTTTTAATTATATTGAATAATTAAGTTGCTTTATTACAGGTTCTTTCAAATACGAGCATATGTGGGGTAAAAAAGGTCACTGACTATAACAAAAATGGAATGATAACCTTTTTCTCACTCTTCTGATATATTGGACCTGTAAATATCCAGTTGCAAGCCATGTGTTTTCAGTACTGGTTTACTTTATAGAATTACACATTACATTTTTTTCCTATGAAATGAATCTCAGCAAATGTGTTTAAAATTAAGCATGAATAAGAAATTGAAAATAGAGTATAGAAACAGGCATTCTGTTCTGTAATTTGTTATTTTAAATTTAGTGCCGCCCTGGTTTTAAGGAATGGGTATATGCTGTATCCCCATTCCAACTGTCCTGGCAAATTCTGATGGTTCTTTTTCTTAGGTAACTCTCTTTTTGTTCCTTGATTTAAGTAGTTAGGGTTTTTATTCTCAATGAAGTCTAATCTATTCCTATTAGATTGTTTGTTTTTAATTAAGTTAGCATTGACTAGTTGATCATACTTGCCACCTGTCTTTGGCAACTAGGAAACAGTTTTGCTTCCTCTCATGTGTGGGGTTTTGGTGTTTTTTTTGTTTGTGGGTTGTGTTTGTTTTTTTTTCTTTTAGTGTTCAGATGATGCAAATGCATACATGGTTCAGCTGGTTCTCCTTTCCTAATGAGTTCTTGTCTATGTACGTTTCAGCATGTGATTACACTGAAAGAGCAGCTGTCAAAGCAGCACATGGAAACTGATAGTATCATCAACCAGCTGAAATTTGACTTAGAATTTGAAAGAAATAAATTATCAGAATTAGAAATGGAGAAGATGGAAACTATTAAGGAGTTAGATATTCAGAAAGAAAAACTAAGCCAATGTTCATATGCACTTAATGATTTGCATATAAGTAAGCAGCAGCTTCAAGATAATATTAAAGAGCTTCAGGAACAATTAAGGAAAGCCCAGGACTGTAATTTTCATCACAAAAAAGAGTTTGGAGAATTGCAGCAGAGGCTAAAAGAAAGAGAGGAGGAAGTTTCTGTATCTTTGAGCAAGCTAACAGAAAAAAGTAACCAGGAATCTAACTACACTTGTCAAGATCTGATTCTGAAAGAAAGAGAAGTAGAAATTGCAAAACTACAGAATGACATTTCAGAAAATAAACAACTGAATGAAGAATTAAAGAAATCTCTGTCAGATCTCAGAGCAGAAAATGGAAAGCTGGTGGCATCCACCGAAAAACTAAAACAGGAGTTAAATAGTGCCATTTCTGAGAAAAATAAAGTTTACTTGGAAAAAGACACTGTTGTGGAGGCCTTGAAAATGGAAAAAAGACAGTTGGAGAGTGAATTAAACCAGGCAGAGAAGAGGCTTTTGGAACAAGCACATAAGTATAAGCAGACTATTGAGGAATTATCACAAGCACGGAGTATGGATACCAGTGCCTTGCAGCTTGAACATGAGCGCCTAGTTAAATGCAATCAAGAGAAAGACTTTAAGATTGCTGAACTTAAAAGGAGCATTGAGCAGATGGAAACTGACCATCAAGAAACAAAAGAAATGTTGACTGCTAGCTTAGGAGGACAAAAGCAGTTGACAGAACTCATTAAAGAAAAGGAGATATTTATTGAAAAATTTAAAAATCAAGCCTTACAAGTGAAGCAAGAACTTGAGGAATATATGAAAGCTTCAAAAAAGCAGGATGTCTTAAAACACAGCTTGGAGGAAAAAGACAGAAGTCTTGCAGTCATGAAGGAGGAAAATAACCATTTGAAAGAAGAACTTGAACGCCTTAAGGATCAGCAAAGCAGATCTGTGCCTGTGGTTGAGCCTAAAACTTTAGATATTATTATTGAACTTGAAAGTGAGGTAACACAGTTAAAAGTAATAAAGAATAATCTTGAAGAAGAAATAGAAGTTCTCAAAAAAACAATAGAAGATCAGAACCAAACAACAGTGCAACTTCAGGAGTCTTTGCAGGAGCAAAGAAAGGAAATAGATGAGTCTAAATTTCAGTGTGAGCAAATGAATGTCACACATGAAAGACTTTCTTTAGAGAAAGATGAGGAGATTAAAAATTTACAGAAAACAATTGAACAAATTAGAACTCAGTTGCACAAAGAGAGACAAATTATTCAGACTGATTCCTCTGATCTCTTTCAGGAAACCAAAGTTCAGACTCTTAATGGAGAAAATGGAAATGAAAAGCATGACTTATCTAAAGCTGAGATTGAAAGACTGGTAAAAGGTATCAAAGAAAGGGAGATGGAGATTAAGCTTCTAAATGAAAAGAATGTTTCTCTAAGTCAACAAATTGATCAGTTGTCTAAGGATGAAGTTGGCAAACTTACTCGTATAATTCAAGAGAAAGATTTAGAAATACAAGCTCTCAATGCTAGAGTTTCCTCAGCTTCCTCTAGGCAGGATGTTCTTTGTCTTCAGCAGCAGCTGCAAGCTTATGTTCTGGAAAGAGAGCAAGTACTAGCAGTTCTAAGTGAAAAGACAAGAGAAAACAGCCAGTTAAAAACAGAGTATCGTAATATCATGGATATGGTTGCTGCTAAAGAAGCAGCTTTGGTAAGGTTGCAAGAGGAGAATAAAAAGTTATCTGATAGATCTGAAAACAGCAGTCAAGACATGTCTAGAGAAACTATTCAGAATTTATCCCGTATCATTCGAGAAAAAGATATCGAAATAGATGCTCTAAGTCAAAAATGTCAAACCTTATTGACTGTTTTGCAGACATCCAGTACAGGTACTGATAACGGATCAGGAGGTGTTAACAGTAACCAGTTTGAGGAACTTCTACAAGAACGCGATAAATTAAAACAGCAAGTAAAGAAGATGGAGGAGTGGAAGCAACAAGTAATAACCACAGTTCAGAACATGCAGCATGAGTCAGCGCATCTCCAAGAAGAGTTACACAAGCTTCAAGCACAAATTTCAGTTGAAAGTGATAGTAATTCAAAGTTGCAGGTGGATTATAATGGCTTGATTCAGAGTTACGAACAGAATGAGAAAAAGCTGAAAAGTTTTAGTAAGGAATTAGCACAAGTTCAACACAGCATAGGACAGCTTTATAACACCAAGGATCTTCTCCTAAGTAAACTTGATTTGGTAACACCATCTGTGACAATGGCTTCCACTGTTTCACAGCTTTCAGGCATACAGCACAGTGGTCCGGAGCTACTCAGTGACGAGGCTAAACTCCTTCAAAATGAGTTGGAACAACTGAAACAAAAGTTGCAAGAGAAAGATTCAACTATCAGAACTCTTCAGGAAAACAATCAACGACTATCTGATTCTGTGGCTACAGCATCAGAGATTGAAAGAAAGAATCAAGAAGGAACTGAGTCGGAGATGAGGCAGATCAAAGAAAAACATGATGTCTTACAGAAATCACTTAGGGAAAAAGACATATTAATTAAATCTAAAAGTGACCAGTTACTTTCTGTCAGTGAAAATCTTAGTAATAAAGAGAATGAAAATGAGCTTTTGAAGCAAGCTGTGACTAATCTTAAAGAACGAAATTTGATTTTAGAAATGGATATTAGAAAACTGAAAGAAGAAAATGAAAAAATAGTTACACAGTCTAGGGAAAAAGAAACAGAATTCCGAGCACTTCAGGAGACTAATATGCAATTTTCAATGATGCTGAAAGAGAAAGAGTTTGAGTCTCACTCAATGAAGGAAAAAGCTCTTGCTTTTGAGAAGCTGCTGAAAGAAAAAGAACAGGTATGTGCCTTCATATTTATTAATGTTTTTCAAAATTAGCGACATGGTAATCCTTTTTTGTGTATATGTAGCCATCAAGTATTTGCCTGAAATCTGTTTGTGACTCCCTACTGCATTACACTACAACAAAAATCCTACCCCTGCAAAGTTAAGAAATTAAAAGTCAGCAGGTGAGTGGTTTGCAATGTTACCTGTTAATTGTGCATCCATGAACAACTTTTATTTCATTTACTTGGTAATTGCTCATTTACTGATCAGCTGCTTAATATTATGCTTTGGCCCTGTTCATGAAGTGCCCTATATTATTTTTACTGTATGGTGCTCAAACTTCTGCAGAGTTGGCTAGCAGAACTAATTTTCCAATGTGCTTTCCTCTAGTGTTTGTTATTCCAATGTGGTTGCTTCTCAACATCCCTGTGAGGTGAATGGACTTCTGTATCTTGCTTTTATGGCTACAGAAACTCCAGTGCAAAAGAAAAGATGAAAGATCAGATAAGCTAAATTAGTGGTTTCTTCTATACAATTTGACAAATGGAAATATTGAAACTTTTTTCAAAATGTTTATTCAGAGAAAAGTTGCAGTGGCTTGTAAATTACCTTGTATGTAATTTGAAGAACAATCGCTTTTAAAAGAGGCAAGAATTATGTGGCATCTTTGATACACAGGGCAACAGCATGTTGTACGATTTACTGCTGCTGGAGTTAACAAGTAATTTGTTAACTGCCATTTCGTTTTGAGAAATAGGTGTTAAGTACAGTGCCAAAGTCTTTCTGTAGTTTAACAAACACTTGACAGCAGAACTCCAGGATGTAGATGCTCTGAGAGTATGTCTTGGTGGGAGACTTTTCTGGTAATTAATTCCAAACAGATGATTTTCTTTTTTTTTGTTTCCTCTGTACTGCTCAGGTCTCCTTTCTCTTCATCTTGGTGGCTGTGGTTGCTGTTCTTCAGTCTTCTCTTAGAGTTGTCCCCCTCCATGCATTCTGTTCTTAGTATCCTTCTGGCTTTTAGCATACCTTCCCATTCTCTGAAGTTAGGAGCACTGCCCATTATCAAAGAGTGGTATTTATGCAAACCATTGCTAAGTACCTTGGCATTAGTTTTCCCCCCACTATAATTAAAAATATAATTACTGTAATTTAAGTTACAAACATAACATTATTATGTTTTTAAAATATAATTAAAATTAATAGAATGGTTTTGGCTGAAAGGAACCTCAATGATCATCTCGTTCCAACCCCCCTGCCATGGGCAGGGACACCTTCCACTAGACCAGGCTTCTCAAAGCCCTGTCCAACCTGTCCTTGTACGCTGCCAGGTATGGAGCAGCCATAATTTCTCTGGACAAACCTGTTCCAGTGCCTCACCACACTCACATCTCTGAAATTTTCGAATTGCCAACTAAATCTGCAGTGTAATGGATTTGGAAAGCAAAATATGAATTACATTTAGCAATACATGTCTTTTTAAATTTGTCATTTTTAAGGCTCAACTTAGACCTAATATGAGTTGAAAACTAGGTTTTTTGTTGTGGTTTTTTTTTTTGTGAGAAGTTTGACTTAGGGCAGATGCATAGCTCTGTTTGCTTGTAGTAGATGTTTTCTTATCCTGTTCTAAGGAAATACTATGGAATTACAATGCAAATTTTTGTTGTCTCAAAGTACAGTGATGTTTTGACAAGTGGCTTTGAATTACCATTGGGAATTTAAACATTCATCAGTCTTTCCATATAAAGCATACTAATACTTTACAAATTAACACTCTTACTATTTTGTTGGGTTTTTTGTTTGTATTGGGGTTTTTGTGTGTTTTGTTGTTGGTGGTTGTTTTTTGTTGTTTTTTTTTTAATTCTAACTCCTAGAAATCTGTATTGTCTGGCTAGGTTTTCTGTGTTGCATGTGTTTTGGCCTGCAGAGTTTCACTCAGTGGTGGTTTAGGCTTTCAGTTTCACAAGCATGTTACATTTGTGTAGATGTTTTTCTTGCACAGATCAGAGAAGTTCCTGTTACACACTTTGTGATCACCATGGAGAACTAGAAAATATAGTATCAAAACAGTTTTGTATTTTATGTGTGCATGTCAGAAGATAACGTGACATTAAAAGAGAATGTCTGCCTGCAGGTTTATGGTTCTAGGGCAAAAAGACTTCTACTGAACTCAGCTTGATTAATAAAACAGATAATTGAATCTAATAAGTGATGAAGCATCATTAGTGATGAAAACAAAGATTTGTATACTTTTATCCAGCATATTCAATATGCATTCAAAACAACATGGGACAAAAGGCAAAGAGCATGCTGACAAGTTTTCAACAACTGAAAATGTGTTCATGTGTACATGTCAATTCTGTGTAACTGACATACTTGCAGTTCTTTATATGTCTATGTGAAGTTGTAAACTGCATGTGAGAGCATTGTTTGTTGAAATTTGACATCTGAAAACATGTTGAACATTGTTGTGATTCATTGAATGCTAATCTTCAGGAGTGAGGTCACCGTATAGTTTATTTTTTTAAGATTTCTTTATGTGTTAAGTTGTGTTAACTACAGGCAAGTTGACCTGCCTAGGGCGATGCTTTACATGTGCATGGCCTAATAAATGGGTATCACAGCTAACAGATTTCAAACACCAGGGGGAAAAGTGAAGTTTTCAAGTATACAAGTGGCTGAAACACTGTGTACATAATACATATCTCATCTAAAGATAGTTAGGTATCAGTTTGTTTGCAGCAGTCAATTAAGACAATGCTTCTGTATAGTGTCTTTAACAATAACTTTGTCTTGTAATATGTGAGTGAAATAACTTCAAAATAATATTTTCCCCAGATGTTGTTTTGTGTTGTAGGGCCATGAGCGTCTTGCCCTTTTCCTTCTTAAATCAGTATTGTCTTTAAGCTCTTTTGGGCAAAGACTGTATCTCCTTTGGTAAAACTGTTTGCTGTGCTTGAAATGTATATTTGTGTCTTCAACAGGGCAAGACAGGAGAATTGAATCAACTGTTAAATGAAGTTAAATCAATGCAGGAAAAGGCTGTTACTTTTCAGCAAGAAAGAGACCAAGTCATGGTAGCACTCAAACAGAAGCAAATGGAGAGCAGTGCCCTGCAGAGTGAGGTACACCACCAAATAATTTACAGTTGCAAGAAATAAAAGAAAAATATTTTCTGTATTATTTTTGATAAAAATCACTTGTAAAAATACTTTAAAATCTATACATGTGCAGTGTGCTTCCATGAGCATGTTTTAAGTTTGCTTAAATAACTGTTATGAAAGGCGATAGTACGAGCAACTTAAGGTATGTTGTACACAGTTACAGCATTTGCGTGAGAAAGAGCAGCGCCTAAAGCAGGAGCTGGAGAGGTTACGCAATCACCTTCTAGAGATGGAAGACTCCTACACTCGAGAAGCTTTAGCTGCGGAAGACAGAGAGGTCAAGCTAAGAAAGAAAGTTTTGACTTTGGAAGAAAAGCTTGTGTCCTCATCTACTGCGGTGGAGAATGCCAGGTAATCTTTTAATTTGTACAGCAGTAGCATTAGCTGTGGATACCGCAGTTAGCTAGACTGGTACTTGATGGCTGTATTTTACAGAATTACCATTCTCTAGCATGCTAAGTACTTGAGAAAACAGATAAGAACTTTCATTACTCTAAATCAGAAAGGTGATATGAAATCTACTTGACTGCTGTTGGGAATTTAAGGAAGTACTTGTCTTTTTAGTAGCAACTATTGAAATCTCACATGTATGACTGTGCTTAGAACTAGAAACAGCAAAAATTCGTCAACCCATCAATCTAGTTGTCTGTTAAAGAAGATGGACTTAACTTTCTTTTTAAAGTCAAGGCTTCATTCAGTTTGAACTAGTTTTATTTTATGCGCTTCAGTGCGCAGATGTGACTGTCACGGTTTGTGAATTGCTTTTGAGACAAGTACACATATTTTATACCTGATACCATGGAAAGTATATACTGCTGTAAGATTTTTTTCTTTTTAGCCTGCGTAATGTAAGATGCATTGAAGTTCTCACAGGTAAAACCTAGAAGGCTAGAGCCAATTGTGATTATTGCAGATAAGTAAAACACCAGAATTTTCAGCCAGAACAATGAAAATCCAAGTATTAAAATTAACAAATGCTTATCTTGGCTGTTTTAATACTGTTTTATTTAAAGGAATGTTGGTTACTTCAGGCACCAGAATGCTTTTTTGATCTTGTCAAAATGAACAGGTTTTTTAATCAAAAAGTAAGAAAAAAAAAAAAAAGTATGTGTGTAGCTAAAGTCTTCATGTACTAAAGATGGATTCCACTCTTAACATTCTCAGTAAAGAGATTCTGAGTTGAGCAGAATTTATTGTGAAAAACTGTGGAGAAATGGAAGAGTTGGGAGAAGGCTGTGTAAAAACTGTTCATCAGAATGTTTCTTAATTCTTCATCAAACTTGTCAAATAACCTTTAAGAAAAATAGCCTATGTGCCACATGATAGGTACTATTTCAAAAGACTGGCATAGGAGTAAGTCAGGTTCATAATATCTTTGCTTAAGAGGAAGTGAAATGGATCATTCAGTTGTCAGCATGGAGCAAGATACACTGGGTTCTTGAAGACTGGCTTTAAAAGTAAAAATTGGTAGAAAGACCTGTTGATTCATCTAGAAATTGAGGCAGATAATCGGCAAGATATGGAGGTTTTTTTTTTTGTTTAAGATAAGATGTTACAATAATGAATAACAGAGTAGGTTTTTCTTTTTCTAATGTACTTCAAACAATAATAGGGGAGTTTTATTGTAAAAAAATTTATTATCAGACTTATTTAAAATCTTTTGTTGGTGGGATTTTTTATTTGGTTGGTTTGATTTTGGGGTTGTTTTTTCATTATTTTTTTTTTTCAAAGAGGGACTGGCGAACAAAAATTGCCTTCATTTTTATAAATTGAGCTGAAAAAGGTAGGGTATTTTTGCTGGGATTTAATTTTCTCTGTGATTACTTCTGTTGTCTTAATAAATAATGTATTTTATTTTCATGAAGTCATCAAGCTAGTCTGCAAGTTGAATCTTTGCAAGAGCAATTAAACCTGGTTTCCAAGCAGAGAGATGAAACTATGCTACAGCTCACCATCTCACAAGACCAAGTGAAGCAGTATGCATTGTCACTAGCCAACCTGCAGATGGTACTAGAGCAATTCCAACAGGGTAAGTTTTGTCAAGAAATAGCAAAGATTGCAGCAAGTATTTTTCAACTGGCATAGTTACCATACTGTGGTGCTTTTTAAATATCAGTTACCTGGTTTCCTTTTTGATAGCTTGAATTTCAGAATCTGATGTCTGTTAAAAAAAATTGTAAGGAAACAGTTCCGGCCCTGTGAAAACTGATGGTCAATGTCCCATTTAAGAAATTTGAATTCCACCTCTACCTCATGAAGGCCAGATTTGATAATTCTGATGTTTTTGCAGTCACATCTCTCACATGCTGTGAATTAAGATTTTCTTGTTTGGCTTTGTATTTTTAACCCTTTAGAAGAAAAAGCTATGTATTCAGCAGAGCTGGAGAAACACAAAAAACAGGCTGAAGAATGGAGGAAAAAAGCAGAAAACTTAGAAGAAAAAGTTGTGTCTCTACAGGTGAGCTGAATAATGAAATTGAACTGTATGAAACTGAATGCTAATTCTTGAATGAATTTTTTGGTTTTGAGTGCTGTGTTGAGTGTAACTGTCTAAGAATGCCTTAAGTTATGTAATTATTCTCTCTTCCTTGGAAGAGAGGGGGGTACTAAAAGGTTAGTTAAGTAGCATTCCTCTGCTGACCATCAGTTTTCTGGGGATGTTTACAACCCAGTTATTGTAAAGAACAAATGATGTAAGTCTCTGCATCTGTTATGTTTGATTTATGTTTTAGTCTGAGAAAGTTGGGGCTGTTCAGCCTGGAGAAGAGAAGGCTGCGTGGAGACCTCATAGCAGCCTTCCAGTATCTGAAGGGGGCCTATAGGGATGCTGGGGAGGGACTCTTCATTAGGGACTGTAGTGATAGGACAAGGGGTAACAGATTAAAACTTAAACAGGGGAAGTTTAGATTGGATGTAAGGAGGAAATTCTTTCCTGTTAGGGTGGTGAGGCACTGGAATGGGTTGCCCAGGGAGGTTGTGAATGCTCCATCCATGGCAGTGTTCAAGACCAGGTTGGACGAGGCCTTGGGTGATATGGTTTAGTGTGAGGTGTCCCTGCCCATGGCAGGGGGGTTGGAACTTGATGATCTTAAGGTCCTTTCCAACCCTAACTATTCTGTGATTCTATGTTGTATTAGCGTAATTGTGGTAATGAACTCCCTTGCTTCTCTTTCTGTCTCTTTCCTGCCCTCTATTCAGGAAAGTTTAGGAGAGGCAAATGCTGCATTGGATGCAGCATCAAGGCTTACTGAGCAGCTTGACATCAAAGAGGAGGAGATTGAACACCTTAAGAAGGAAGGTAACTACTTCTTTTACATTCCAATCAGCTCAGGAGACAATATAGTATTCCTAGAAACTTACCGAAATTCATCTCCTATGAGGAAAAGAGTAATTCTGTGCCATCTTTAGAGGTTTTCACTGTTTATAAAGCAAAGTTGAAGAAGTATGCTTACCTTCTGTTAGGGACCTTTCTCAAACAAAAGTCCTATATGGTTGTGGGTTTTTTTGTTCCTCTCCTCCCCCCCCAGTACCAAGGCCCTTAATATAGCAGTTAAAAAAAAATTCATTTTAATATGTGTGTATAATACCAAATGTTGTCAGGCTTTCCCAAGTAACTAACTACCCTATTTGACATAGGGAATACAGTCAGGTAGAGAAAGGGTGTGCTGTTAGCAAGAAATGTAGAGGGAGCAGTTCTTGCACAGATGTGAGACTGAAGAGATTATGTGGAAGATCTTGGACATATCTCTGGATTGTATTTTTAGCTCTCTTTTAAAATAAACTTCCTGATTTCTGATATTTTGAAAGATACCTTCTGCATTGCTCTCAGATTAAGTACTCTAATATTTGGTGAATGTCATTACTTTGGGTTTGCCAGAAGAAGAGCATTTATAGTGAGGGTGGTCAAATGTTGGACTAAGTTACCCAGACACATGGAGCGTCTATCCCGAAAGATACTCAAAACCCAACTGGCCATGATCCAAGACGGGCTCATGTAGATGATCCTTCTTGAGCAGAGGGTTTCAGACTAGAGGATCTAGAGGTCCCTTCCAACATAAATTTATTTGATTTTGTGATTCTGTGAATATTTTGGGGTATGTTTTTGTGTTTGGGTTTTTTCATGTTGAGCATTAAAATTATAGGAAAGCCTAAAAAGACACAGAAATCTTTTACTAAAAAACAGTGCCACTTCAGTGTATTTCTCTTTTATAGCCTTCCACTATTTAGTGTAATCAAATGGAAAAAAATGAGGGTAGCTTCTATACAGGGTATTTAAATATCAAACATCAGTAAGATTTATAAACTGAGACACTCACTTTGAGGTGACAAAATAGTTATATGAGTAACATACGGTCAACTTTTTTTTTCCCACTAGTGCATTAATTTTAGTTTTCATGAGAAAAGTGTCATAGCATTAGCTAAAGTAGGATTCAGAACTAATAATAGTTCTTCTGGATTTCTGTACTTACATCTTAGCCCTGACATGTAATTTTGTCTGCAGTGTTCCATTAAACCAAGAGGGAAAGTTAACTTCTCTTTATCTAGTTCCATGACAGTTTTGCTATAGGTGAACTTATTAACAGTACTGACTGCTGAGGGAATATTAGGCTTTTTTCTTTTTTTGTTATTGTCTTCATGTATCTTTTCCTTCTCTGTTTTCCCAAATTAGCTTTACTTTGTCTTTCACTTTTTATTGTGTGGGTCACCATATTTTGCTATTACTGCAGCATCCTCTGCTATGGTCAGGCTTTCACTGAGCACATGGGATAAATCTAAAATCAGAGGAAAACCTGTGGTTGGTCCCTGAAGCATCTCTAAAAAAGGAGTTTGAGCAGCAAAGATTTGCTTATTCTCTGTGGTTACTTAACAGATTTTTACTTTCTGGGTTTTTTTCCCCCATGTCTGGGGAATTTTGAGTGGATGACTTTAATTCAGGTTTGCTGGGGCAAGACCTGGAAAATATCTGGTGGATGCAGTGGTAACTCTTGCCCTGAACATACAGAACTAATAATTGCTTTTTATTTTTAAATCATGATTTATCTTACTCTTGAGATAAATAATATTTTTTTAAGCATACTTGCTTATGATCATATAGTTGGTGTGTAAAGTCATTTGAAAGTCTTCACAGTTGGAGCACAAACTATTAAAAAGTTTTGACTTCTCTACTATATAGTTGAATGAATAAGTACTCAAAATTAGTTGTGTCTAAGTACAATTTGGCATCCAAATAGGAATGCTTTCTGAGTTCACATATTAATTTTACAAGCTAAATTAAATTTCAAGCTGCTGCATGAATGTACAGCTAAACACATTTGGTTTTAAATTTATGTATCTGTATCTTTTTGCCTTGCCACAGACATTCACAGCAAAAATTTTCAAACACTGGATGGAAATTAACTTTGGCATAGGCAAATCTAGCACTCTCAGTTGGGAAGCTCTTTATTACTGGTTAATTTTGATTGCAAACCTTTGCATATGAAAGCAGGAGGGATTTGAACTTTAAGGGGAAATGGAATCTCAGTATTTTATCAAGCTATGTTGTATTGGCAAGCGATTTACTTGTTAAAAAAAAATTGACAGGATGGTTGCATAAAGGAAACAGCACTTTAATGTTGTTGTAGAATAAATCATAATTTTTATTGAGGAAAAAAAAAGACCACTCCATTTTCTCTATTTACACAAGAAAACATATAATAGCTTATTGAAAATTGTCCAAACACATTCCCAGACACAGTTTTGTTGGCCAAATCTTTTGAAGGATTTCTTTATGGATTTTTTTGGCAGGAGAAGTTATTTTAATGGAAAAGTATAAGATGTACCAGATGCAGTTTTCTGGATTGCCGTAAATGGTTAACAGATTATTGGAGGCTGTTGTAAATGTCTGGTTTACAGCAGTCCGTACTGAATTTTGGCTCAGGTCTTTTTTGTTATTCAGTCTTTTCACATACACGAAGTACGTGTTTGAGTCCTTTTCAACTCTGAAGACTCTATTTTAGAAGGAAATATTCCATTTAAAAAATATGTTTAATGATGAAGTTGCTTAGCCACTGTGGATGGAATATTAGCTGTATAGCTGTCCTTAAAAATTGGTCATCTTTGATATGAAATCTTTTTTGCCAGGAAAAAATAGAAAAATAGAAGACAGCAGAAACATTTCATCTAAGTTATTGATAAGTTTGTTCTAAAATTTATCATGTGAATAAAAATTGAAAGTAAACTTGTGATTGTCTTGCTTTGTAGAGCCGCAATAGCAACAGCGTTAAGATTTACTTGAAACTTATTTTCAGATTTTGTTTTTTGTGTCTTTCTGAGACATTGGTAGTTTAATTTTTTTAAGCCACTTTTACTCTGTGGAGACCCAAATAGGAACTAAACTTCCGTATACGCTCCTACAACTCTTACCATTCCATAATTATATTGCAAATGTTTTTGTGGTCCTATTTAACCACATTTACAAAGTAGCATAATTTTTAAGTAACTTGAAACCTTGAAAGCATGGATTAATACTGCTGTGCCTCACCCTGATGTTTTGAGATAGTTGAATGCTGAAGGGCAGTTATATTAATGGAATGGATTTCAGTGTATATGGATGTAGTTGTTACAATATATATTGTTGTATAATACATATATTTTTGTTTGGGTTTTAACTTGTTTTGAATAAGGAGCTTAATCCTTATGTTACTTAAGAATTTTCCCAGCATGATACTAGTTAGTTTGTTCTACTCTGTACTCTCTAAAACTTGTATTTGTGAAGTAGAACGTCTGTATAAAGATGTGGAGTATCTGAAGTAGGTTGTAACCATGTCACAGCTCAACTCTTTCATGTAGATACATGAAAACTCTGTGCAGGTTCTAATGGAGTAACTGGTGTTGAGAACCATGTTGCATCAGCGTAGTTGTGGCATGCCACATGCCACAATTTATTAAAATTGAAAGTCATGTGGAAGCTAAAGTGGAATGTTTTTCATGCATCCCAGATGATTTGAAGGGTATAAAACTTTATGAAAGTCCCTTTTCCTACAAAGATATTGAGGCTTTGTGGAAATTAACTACCAAATAGATACAAGAAAAGTGTATCTTTTTGTGGGTTTTGTTTTGTTCTTTAAATGAAGCATTTCTGATTGGCATGAGCTCAAGAAGTGTTAAAAAGGTAGGGAAATTTGATTGGCACATTTTCCATAAGATTTGAAGGTAAGCATTCAACCTTATAGAGGGAGATTTTTTACTCTGTTGATAAAACTGTAGGGTAGAGTTGGTCTTCACATGGACAGTCCATGTTATAATATACATGTACTTTTGTACGTCTGTTAGAAAAAAAAGAGCTAGTATTTTGCAAAACCACAGTGTGGTGAAAAATTGTATTTTTGCTGTCTTTAGGTAATTTATAGTTTATCTTCTAAGGATACTTTGTATCCTGTAATAATTTGTTTTCTTGTCTGAGAATGTTAAATTATCAGTGTTCTGGAATCCTGTGTTTAGGGATTTAAATGAAATAAGTTTTTCTAGCACTTCTACTCTGGTTGTACAAACTTACGTAGACCTGAACATCAGATGCTTTTATCCAGTTTCTAGTATATCTGATTTTTTCATAAAGAGAAATTTTTGTGCCTTGTTTCCTTGCAGTCAGAATGTTGTAAAATACTTACAGCAAGTAAAGCTTTCAGGAGGGAGTTTTTTTATTTATTTATCTATTTTGGGCTTTATTTTTGAGTTTTGTGGGAGGTCAGAGGAAACCTGAGTTACTGACACAGAGTGACTGGAATAGTTAGGTCTATTCTGTATTTGACCTAACCAGTGACTTGTGTCTGTGGACTTTTGGAATGATGTTGTGAGGCTCAAGTATGTAGATAGTAGACAAATCGTTGTTGAAATTCAGGAATTTCAGAAAGCTGAAAAGTTATAACGCTAGTGAATGCAGGATCTAAACTCTTCTAATAGTTCCTTTTTCAAGTTTGTTGTGAGGAAGAATAGTCCTTTGTGTGAGCCAAGAGTGTCATGATCAGTATTTTGTTATCCTAGATGAACTGATTTCAGTGCAGCCACTACAGAATGGTATCAGAACTTGAGGTCAGCCTGACAAAAAAAAAAAAAGGGGCAGAAAATTCATGCAGTGGCTCCCAGCACACTGCTACACAACCTCATGTTAATTAACTTAATACTGGCCTTTTCATTTAATTTGCAGGCTGTGATGCTTCACTGAAAGTATTTGCTATTTTCCTCTCAGGTTTTTTTTGGTTCATGGTAGCTGTGCCATTTTTAACTGAATGCTTGTATTCCCAGATGTACAGGAAATCTGGCAAGAATGGAAAGCCTTTCTTGCCAGCATACTGAATCGTGAAGCACAGCACTGGTTCTAGGATGCATTAGTGTGTCCCAGCATGCTGTTTCAAGAGCTTACATCAGTTGTCAGGAGCAGGAAAGGTCCTAACAGAACAGAACCACAAGTAACTGATGTTGCCTTGCTAGCTGGTAATTCTCCTGGGAGACTGGAGAACTCCTTAGTACTTCAAGGCTCTAGCAACTTGATAGTGGAGCATGCAGATTTAGGAAATATTTGAGGTTAAGTACTGAGGTCAAAATACCTGATGCCAACATGCAGTTTGGTCAGATGATGAGAAAGATTGCCAGCACAGCACTATAGACCTTGATCAAGAGTTTCTTTCCAGTTCTGTGTTATCTAGGTGGAATAGAGCAGTTCATCACACCTTCTGCAGTTGATCTATTTTCTGTGTATTCTTGTGCTTGAACATTGAGTATTGTTCTGAAAATTTTAGCTTATGATTTCAAATAATGATCACTTAAGTTGACATTTGTTTAGAAAAATGAGCTAATTTTATTGGTTTGGTTTTTGTTTGTTTTTTTTTTAAAGCACCATCATTATTAGTAAGTTTTGCAACAAAGTTTAAATTTTTGTTTATTTGGTGTGCCATTTTATAGGTGAGATCAGAAGAGAAATGTTAGAAGATGTCCAAAATAAACTAATGAATCTTATGAACAGCACAGAAGGAAAAGTGGACAAGTAAGTCTTTAATTAAAGATTTGGTATACATTTTTGGTTTTCATTTCTGACAACGTACAGATATATTACTAGCACAGATGCAAGAACAGTGCAATACTGTGCTTCTGTGTGTGACCTTGTAATTATACTTTGATTATTTTGACATTTTTCAATTACACAGTATCACAGTATGCTAGAGATTGGAAGGGACCTCAAAAGATCATCTAGTCCAATCCCCCTGCCGGAGCAGGAACACCTAGATAATGTTACACAGGAATGTGTCCAGGCGAGTTTTGAATGTCTCCAGGGAAGGAGACTCCACAACCTCCCTGGGCAGCCTGTTCCAGTGTTCTGTCACCCTCACCAAGCAGAAGTTTCTTCTCAAGTTTAAGTGGAACCTCTTGTGTTCCAGTTTGTACCCATTACCCCTTGTCCTATCATTGTTTGCCACTGAGTAGAGCCTGGCTCCATCCTTGTGACACTCCCCCTTTATATATTTATATACACTTATAAGGTCACCCCTCAGTCTCCTCCAAACTATAGAGACCCAGCTCCCTCAGTCTTTCCTCATAAGGGAGATGCTCCACTCCCTTAATCATCTTTGTTGCCCTGCGCTGGACTCTCTCCAGCAGCTCCCTGTCCTTCTTGAACTGAGGGGCACAGAACTGGACACAATATTCCAGATGGGGTCTCACCAGGGCAGAGTAGAGGGGAAGGAGGACCTCTCTCGACCTACTAAGCACCCCCCTTCTAATACACCCCAGGATGCCATTGGCCTTCTTGGCCACAAGGGCACAGTGTTGGCTCATGGTCATCCTGTCGTCCACTGGGACCCCCAGGTCCCTCTCCCCTACACTGCTCTCTAACAGGTCGTTCCCCAACCTATACTGGAACCTGGGGTTGTTCCTGCCCAGATGCAGGACTCTACACTTTCCCTTGTTATATTTCATCAAGTTATTCCCTGCCCAACTCTCCAGCCTGTCCAGGTCTCGCTGGATGGCAGCACAGCCTTCTGGCGTGTCAGCCACTCCTCCCAGCTTAGTGTCATCAGCAAACTTGCTGATAGTACACTCAATTCCCTCATCTAAATCATTGATGAATATATTAAATAATACCGGTCCCAGTACTGACCCTTGAGGCATTCCACTAGTTACAGGCCTCCAACTAGGCTCCGCCCCATAGACTACAACTCTCTGGCTTCTCTCCTTCAGCCAGTTCACAGTCTACCTCACTACCTGATCATCCAGACCACACTTCCTCAATTTAGCTGTGAGGATGCTGTGGGAGACTGTGTCAAATGCTTTGCTGAAGTCAAGGTAGACCACATCCACCGCTCTGCATCATCCATCCACCGTGTTATTTCCTCATAAAAGGCTAAGAGATTGGTCAAGCATGATTTCCCCCTGGTGAAGCCATGTTGACTGCCCCTCATAACCCTCTTATCCTTGATATGCCTTAAGATGGCACCAAGGATAAGGTGTTCCATCACTTTCCCAGGGATGGAGGTGAGGCTGACCGGTCTATAGTTACCCGGGTCCTCCTTCTTGCCCTTTTTGAAGACTGGAGTGACATTTGCTTTCCTCCAGTCCTCAGGCACCTCTCCCGTTTCCCAAGACTTGGTAAAGATGATGGAGAGTGGTCTAGCAATGACTTCCACCAGTTCCCTCAGCACCTGCGGGTGCATCCCATCTGGACCCATGGATTTATGGATGTCCAGATTGCTCAACTGGTCTCTAACCCATTCCTCATCGACTAAGGCAAACCGCTCCGTTGACCTGACTTCATCTAAGGTCTCCGGGGTACAGGGCTCTTCAGGACTGCCTGCAGCAGAGTAGACAGAGACAAAGAAGGCATTCAGTAACTCTGCCATCTCTGTATCTTCTGTCACCAGGGCACCCATCCCGTTCATCAGTGGGCCTACATTGCCTCTGGTGTTAGTTTTATCTGCCATGTATTTGAAAAAGCTCTTTTTGCTGTGCTTGACCCTTCTCGCCAGGTTTAATTCTAAGGAGGCCTTAGTCCTCCTAGCTGTCTTCCTGCATCCTCTAGCAGCAGCCTTATATTCCTCCCAAGTGGCCAGCCCCTCCTTCCATGACCTGTAAACTCTCCTCTTCCACTTGAGCATACCCAGCAATTCCCTATTTAGCCACGCAGGTCTCTTGGCCCTCTTCCTTGACTTCCTACTTGTCGGGATGCTCCGATCTTGAGCTCGGAAAAAGCAATCCTTGAATGCCAACCAACTATCTTAGGTCCCTTTACCTTCAAGCAGCCTTGCCCATGGGATTTCCCCTAGCAATTGCTTGAAAAGGCCAAAGTTTGCCCTGCTAAAGTCCAGGGTTGCAATTCTACTTGCTATTTTACTGGTCCTACCACACAAGATCCTGAACTCCACCATCTCGTGGTCGCTGCAACCAAGGCAGCCCTCAACCCTTACTGCTTCAACCAGACCCTCCTTGTTAGTGAGGATGAGATCCAGCAGCGCTCCTCTCCTGGTCGGCTCATCCACCATTTGTATGAGGAAGTTATCATCCATACACTGGAGGAACCTCCTGGACTGTGGCTGGGTTGCTGAGTGGTCCTTCCAGCAAACATCAGGGAAGTTAAAATCCCCCACGACGACCACGGCCTGTGACTGTGAGGCCGCTCTCAGCTGCCTGTAGAAGGCCTCGTCAACTTCTTCACCCTGATCTGGGGGTCTGTAACAGACACCCACAACAGTATCTCCCCTGCCAGCCTGCCCCTTAATTCTCACCCACAGACTCTCAACTCGCTCGTCATCTGTCCCCGGACAGAACTCGGTGCATTGTAGTTCCTCCCGCACATAAAGAGCAACCCCACCACCCTTCCTGGCTGGCCTGTCTTTTCTGAAAAGGACATAGCCCTCCATGACTATATTCCAGTCATGCGAGCTGTCCCACCACGTCTCTGTAATTGCCACCAGATCATAGTCTCCTGACTTAACACAGGTTTCCAACTCCTCCTGCTTATTTCCCATGCTGCGCGCATTGGTGTACAGACATTCCAGGGAGCGAGCTGAGCACACCGATTTCACCCTAGGATTATAGGAGGCCTCCCAGTCTTCATCAATTCTGGAGCGCTGCCCCACTGGGGCAAGCCCAGCTACAACCCCATCCCCCTTCGAATCTAGTTTAAAGCTCTCCAAATGAGCCCTGCTGATTCATGCCCCAGCATCCTTTTGCCTCTGTGAGATAAACCTTTCCCACTTGTCATTGTCCAGACTGGTGCCCTATAAAACCAGCTGTTATCAAAGAATCCAAAGCCCTGCCTGTAGCACCAGTCTCAAAGCCAATTGTTCATGAACTGAATCTTCCCATTCCTTCCCACATCATCAGTGGAAGATGGGAGGAGTGAGGAGAAGATCACTTGAGCCCCAGACTCTTTGACCATCCGCCCCAAGGCCCTGTAGTCTTTCTTCATCCCCCGCAGACTGTGGGAAGCAGCTTCCTCCCCACCTGTCTGGAAGACCAGCAGCGGGTAGTAGTCTGTCGGGTGCACCAGGTTGAGGAGCGCCCTGGTGATATCCCTGATCCGGGCTCCAGGCAGACTACACACTTCCCTATGATGAGGGTCAACTCTGCATATCGGGCCCTCTGTTCCTGTCAGAAGGGAATCCCCTACTACAATGACCCTTCTTTCTTTCTTAACAGAGGCAGTCTTGAGGTGCAAAGTTGACCGCCTTGTAGGCTGGCCTTGCACCACATTCTCACCTACCTCTCCTTCAAGATCCAGGGCCTCGAACCTATTACGGAGGGACACCTGGGGAAGCAGGGCAGGAAGGGGGGAGGGTTGCCCACGACGCCGAACTGGAACTTGCTTCCAGCCCTCATCGTCTTTTTTGGTCCCCTACCTCTGCACAACAGCTACAGGGCAGCGGGTGTCTCAGGCCATCCCCCTCTGTGTGAGAAGGCAAGGGGTACTTCCCCTTTTGGGGGGTATCTCCCTGGAACCGTTCCGACTGGCACGCCAGGGAGTTACTCCACCAGTCAATCTCCCTTTCACACTCCCTGATGGTCCTCAGCATCTCAACCTCCTCAAGGTTTGCCACCAGGCTAAGCAGATCTTCTACCTGCTCACACCTCGTGCAGGTGGAATGCTGTCCTCCCTCCCCCGGCAGCAGCAAGCTCTGGCACTCCCTGCCTCCAGAGACCTGAACAGCCACGGTTTGGGACGGGGTCTCTGTCTGAGTTGCTGCAGTCATCTTACTGCAAATTGCTTGGTGGTTGTAAATAGTAATTTTGATTAGTAAAATAGCAGTGTAAATTTTGATTACTGAGGTGCTCCTTAAGTCAAAGTGCTCTTCAATAGCATGAGCTCTGCAAATGGAGATTAAAGTTCTTGATAAACATCTGTTATAATGTTTAAGGTGTGAACAGCCAGCCCTTTCATGTAGCTAGCAATACCTGGATGTTGTGTAAATCTCTCTTCTTTAGTAATTTTTTTTTCCCCTTCTCTTTACCAATTAGAACTGAAATGGGGGATAGGCAAGTTGGTTTCCCTGCCCTCTTCATTTATATCTTCATCTGGGAATACACATAAGTATCTTTTTAAATGGTCTCCTGAATCCATATCTTAGAATAAATTCTTTCCCTGATTGTAGTACTTGCATCAAGATTAGTGCATGTACAATGTAGTTTCATCTTTTTGCATACAGTATTTCTAGTACTGTCCAAATTGACATCTACTATATAAGAAATATTGTAGGGGAGGGAAGTGAGTGAGTTACCCTTTTAGTTCCTTGTATTAGATTGATTTGGATTATTGTAAGTTAGGCAAGAGTATGAGGAATAAATGCATCAGTATGACAGTATCAAGTGTTATGTAAGAGCAGACTGTGTAACAAGCTTCTGTTGTTCCGCAGGCTCCTGATGAGAAATCTCTTTGTTGGACATTTTCATACTCCAAAAAATAAGCGTCCTGAAGTGCTAAGGTTAATGGGCAGTATCTTGGGAATAAAAAGGGAAGAACTTGATCAGGTAATGCTTTGCAGAAAAGTAGACTTCCTTTTTTATGTGCAGCATCTTTATCTGAAAATAGAATGACTTGCTGCTAAACTAAATGCGCCTGCACATCTTGTGGGGAAAGTGGGGGGGGTTTTATGTGGGACACGCTGATTTTAATGGACTCTTCTGATAACATTATTTTAGTAGAATGGATTTGATTTTGCTGAGGAATGCTAACACGGAAAGAAAGGGATTTAACTTTGGGCTATTGTGTATAATAGCTGGAATATGTCTGTTAACAGAAAAGTAAGCTAGTTTTGTATGTAACACTAGGTATTGTGAAAAATGTGGGGCTTATATTTTTAAATAAAAAGCCTTGGTTTTAGATTGCCAGTCTTCGGGAGGCAGAGAAGAAAATTTTAACAGTAATTAAAGTATTTATCTGTAGGATTCCCACACAGTCATGGTGAATAAATATAATGAGCACAGTGTTGCAGTTTCCTTTACCTGCTGCCTTATTTTTGGTTTCCAAATTTTTAATTATTTTTTTTTAATACTTTCTAGTTATTATCTGAAGACCAAAGAGGAGTTACAAGATGGGTCACTGGCTGGCTTGGTGGAGGAGCTGGGTCAAAGAGCGTCCCTAGCACACCTTTGAGGCCAACTCATCAGAACATTTTTAATAGTGTAAGAATTAATTGTGTATTCTCTATGCTTGAGTGGAAAAAATGGGGCAGTTGCATATTAATGCTGATTTTTGGTTCATCAGTATATTGAGTTACTGATGCTACTGTATCTTGCATTATTTGCTTTGTACAGTTGATTTTGGTGTAAGGGTTTGGGTTTTTTTGGTTTGGGGTGTAGTTTGTTGGGGTTTTTTTCCTCACTAAGTAAATAAATAGGCATTGATGACAACTGTACAATATTAAGTGTTGGGCTAATACAGATACCCAGTTACTGTTCCACTGGTTCCTGAGATCACTGACTTCTTACAGTATGTACTTTATCTTGCAAACTGACAGTGCTGGAGGTTAAATATATGTGGTGGTCTGGAATTCTATAATAGACAGCCATGACATTATATTTTGACGACTGTGTTTCCATGTGTGCTTGAAATTTCATTTGAAAGGTTTTCTTAGCTGCTGCAGCTAGTCCCTCTTACGTGCAGGTTATAAAGTTGATATTTTAAGCTTTCAAACACTGTAAAGCAACAGTTCTCATAGTGTGATCTGTGGGAGCAGTTTGTCTATTGAACTTTCTGTTTTGCAGGCCAGTAAATAATGCAGTCAGGGATAGAATACTGAGGGACTGGGCTTTTTGGATGAACCTTAGGTATTTTTCTTGCTGAGCTAGAAGAGTATGTTGAGAATTGAGTCCTGTAAAATATCATAAAAAGGGTAGGGATTGGTTTTTGACCACTAAAATAATATAGGCATTTAAGCCACCAGAAAATTGTGGTCTGATTAACTGCAGATGTAAAAGAGGAAAATAAATGCTTTATTAAGCCAAAACTTTTTTTTGTGATGCTGCTGATGCCTTAGTTGTTTCTTTATTCAAGACTTTTTGCCAAATAAAGAAAGTAGTGGGTTTTAAGAGAAAAGTTGCAAATTTATGTTCCTGGAGGAGTGATTTGCTTGAGCGTGATCACAGGAAATAAACACCATGATATCAGTCATTAGCAGCATGGGATGCTTTAAATCCATAATGGAACTATGGTGGAAGTATGTGTGTTATATTTAGAATTTTATCTGTTTCACAAAAATACTACTTCCTGAGATCACAAAACCCTGCGTATTTTGTAAATAAATTTCATTGTCATCAGTAAGGACTACTTAGTACCACATACTTAGTACTAAGTACCCACACAAAATTTTTGGGAGGCTGTTGATGCCTTCTTGGTATATGTATGTTTGTGTTTTTAACTTACATACTTTTCAACAGAGCTTCAGTAAAATGTACTAACTGGTAGCCTCATGTAGTCTTTTTCAGAATTGTTTGTGAAATTCCTCGAAACAGAATCTTGCCCAAGCCTTCCTCCACCGAAGCTGTCTGTTCCTGATATGAAACTTTTAGGAGCAGCAGGAGCTGGTAAAACTATCAGTACTCCATCCAATGTTCAAATGCAAGGTAACATTTGAAGGAAAACTTGAATTCTTGCACAGAACATAAATAACTAAAGGTAGCATTTTCAGGGGCATTTCAGGGATTCTGTGCTTCCTCTTGTGAGCTAGGAATTTGATTTCTCCCTTCCCCCCAGCTCCCTGCCTGCAGTTTCATACTTTCTCTTCTATTTCTTTTTTTCCTTCCCCCACCCCTTCTTCCCACTGCTTCTGTACCCCGCTTCCTGAAATCTCAATACAGAAGGTCATAGGGATCAAATTCCCTTTGATATAGAGAGGCTCTAACAGCACCTGTTAGAGCCAAACAGATGCTGTGCAGACAACTCCATATGGTATATCACTGAACCCAGTTCTGATTTTTGGCATCCCTGTTTGTCAGCTTGGATCTTACTGAGTGAAGAGTGCAAGTAATAGCAACCTGGTATTGCCTGTCTGTTAGATAGAATCTGGTTCCTCAGGGAGGATGGACATAAAATCAGTTAAGTATATGGCCTGATTTGAAATCTCTGTAAGCTGTGCATGAGTGTTAACTTTGACTTTTTCCTATGGGAAAGAAGAATTATTCCTATATTATGCTTGTTGAAATGAATGCATTTTTGTCTAAGTAATGCAAGAACTAAAAATTTTTTAATGTACATTTAAGACTTGACTTTAATGCAGTCCTGCTGATTTGCAGAAGCTTGTTTTGATTCAAACTTTTACCAGTGAATTAAAAAAAAACCAAAACCTACAACCCCAAAACCCTGTAAGTTGTATAACTACAGAGAGATAAGCTAAAAACCCACTTTGAATTTGTATAAAATAGCTGTATGTTACAAAGTATAAATACTTAATTCATAATGTGAATTAGATATTTATATTATGAATTATTATATTTATGAATTATGAATTAGTATTTCAGTGTGAAATACTAATTTATCTCTGAAAGCAGTATGTATTTATTTTCTTAATAAACCTAAATTAAGTTTAGTTTTCTTTTTACTCTTTTTTGCTTGTACTACAACAGTAATACAATTTGCTTTACTTTGAAAAAAAAAGAGAAAAAAGCCAGTTTCCTTGTCTGGAAGAACCAGATTCTTGGTTCCTTTTGTCTATACAGGAGCTAAATTTCTGGGTGTTTTAAGTTTTTGTTTCCGGAAATAAACCATATGGTAGCAGTTTTTAAATGCTGGACTCAAATGTCAGTAGAATATCCACAGAGAAATGCAGTCAGTCTTGAACTTGTGGCCTGAAGTGTAGACATAGGAATTTTTCAGTAAAAGAAGCAGTGGCAGATGAGATCCAAGATAAGAGGGAACAGAGAGAATTAAAGTCCTTGTGAGTGATTATAGCAAGAAGATGGGATTTTCGTGTTGCAAAAGTAATGGGCAATTTTAGAGTTTGTTTGTGAAGAAATCCTGTAAAAGTGGGTAGAGTTATGAATGCTTTCTAACAAAGTGTTTTCATTGGTGGGTTTTGTTTTTGTATTTCAGATTCTGCAGTCTCAGTAGTGGGCAGGAGACCAGACACAAATCCATTTTTAGCACCTCGATCTGCAGCAGTGCCTCTCATAACACCTGCCAGCAGTTCTGGACATCTGCTTATGAAACCTATTTCTGATGCACTGCCCACTTTCACACCACTGCCAGTGTCCCCTGATGCCAGTGCTGGTGCTGTACTAAAAGACCTTCTGAAACAGTAGATAATCTTGTACCAATATGATGATAGTAGCACTTTAAGGAAAATGAGAACACTATGATGTATATAATTTACCACAATGAGGCCTTCTGTAAAAAGTCACATACTTGTATCTAGCTTTTCTTTTAATTACAAACTAACCAGTGTTTTGGAAATTCTAATGGTCGCATGAATAGCTGCCTTCTTTATAGTAGGAGTTCATTTTGGGTGTGGGTTAAATGTTAAAATGAGAAAAAAAAAATCCATCTTGTTGCTAGATTGTCAGAAGACAAGTAGAAGGACATTTAAACCTTAATTATACTCTAAGTTCTTTCAGTTATGCATAGACAGCGTTAACTCTTTGGTGTTGAGATTTTTTTTTCCATTAAAATGATCTTCCACTGACAGTGGCCTTCAAGACCACAATTAAAAAAAAATAGTCTTCAGCCAAAATTGGTCACATCTGGGGGCAATTTGAGACATCTTAATCTCATTTTGCGCAACTGTTTCATTTCTCCTCCCCTTTTCCCCACCCCAGACAAATGGCTGCTTTCAGCAGTCAAACCCATCAGCACCAAGGAGTTAATTGTGGAAGTGACTGCTTCATTTTCTAGAGGTGTCCGTGTGATGAAGAGTGGGTAACTTAGCAAAAGATAGGTTCACATATATAAAGACATTGTACTGTAATAATCTGAGATGTATATTTGAAAGACTTTTATCTTGCGGGATTTTGTAAATCCAAATATAGGCTTAAAGCTTGAACACATGTATAGAATTTAAAGGGAAGAAGATGCTTACTTATCTCAAATGTTTGAATAGGTCTTTGTAAGACCAAGACCAAAGGCAATTATTCTGTAAATTTTGCTGTGATCACTTGTATACTGTGTTTGGCAGGTAAAGAATGAAGTTGCATACTAAAGGATAAAAGTCATCTTCAAAGTGAATCTGAAATACAACATCTTCCATTTAAAATGTGTAATTTCTAAATCTTTTTGTATGTCATTCCTTGTTCAGTCAGTGTTAAGGTAACTGTTGTGCAAGTTCTATATTAGAACTGTCAAACTTCTCATTTTCATTAAGATTCTGGATTAAATAGTTGTAACAGTTATATTTAAATAAAATCAATTACTGAAACTTGTACAGAATCAACCAAAATAATGCAGAAAGTCTTTGCATTGTAGAGGTCAAGTAGTGATTTTCTTTTGCTGCCTTGAAATCTAGCAGAGATTTTTAATTACTGTATTTACCTTAAGAACTGCTTGAGTTGCTTGTCTTCAGTATGACTAGAAGACTACATGAAGTTGGAAGTGGATTGACCATATTGAATTTTTATTTGAAAGTTTTTACTTCATTATAGACAGTTTGGCAGTTAAGTTTCTGGAAGGATAGCAGCTGCACATGGTATACCAAAGTAAGTTCTGAATTGTGTAATAAATGTAACGTGGATTTGAAATTACCTTGGCTGAGAACATTCCAGTTTGGTACTTCAGATGTACCTCATCATTTAAACTGGAATGATATAGGTACTTTTTTTTTTCTGTAACAAATACAAAGAAAACTGAAATCTGGTGGCTTTTGTGCAGTCTCTCGTCTTGTAATCATATCTGTTTAAAGATAGGTATACATATATGTATATATATATAACAGCTTCAGAATAAAATCACCTTTTGGTGAGCCAAAGCAGAAAGAAATGTTTAGTTTTTAAGAACTATGTGACGTACAGTATGAATTACAAATGGACTCATGTTGCTCACTATCCTCTGAATGTACTAACTGAGCAGATCTTTATTGTGCAGATTTTTTCTTTAGTTGCTGAGGATTTGATATGTACAAGTTTCTCTTCCAGGAAGCTCTAGAAATGCCAGTAAATGAAGTGTAGACCTTTTTTTTTTTTTCTGCCTGCTGTAAATCAGCTCTATTTATTTAGTAAGCTATGAGGAGGGAAATCTAAAACCAAGAAAGGTATTGTAGAACTTCAGTTACTCATTAAGCTACTTCCTTAAGTCCTAGGTGGTCTATTGAGCTATGGGGAAAATTCCCATGGCTTAAGAGGTTTCTGTTCTAGGGATGCTTATGTTATAACTAAATTGCTGGGTCTTGTTGCTTTGTTAGAAATCAAATGTGCTCTGTGTTCTAGGCAGTACTTTTGCATTGAATAGTGTAGAACAACTTCAGTGCCTTGTTGGTCCTTAGACTGTGTCACAGATTATTCTAAACTTTCAAGATTTGTTTTTATTGAAAGATTAGCAGATATATTTTTTCCTCTAATTTTTCTTAGTGTTTACTTTGTGCTTGATAACTGTTTCATATGTATTTACCTTGCCAGTTTCCCACTTCTAAGTATGTGACTCATGTAGTCTACCCTGTTAATTGTGTGGGTCTTTCACATAGAGTATGCATGGGGGGAAATTCTCTCTGGAATTTGAGCAGGTGCAGTAGTTGAGAACCTTTGTTCTTCGTTTGACTTAATTTTTCTCTTTCACCTTGCTTTTTGCAGGGGGAAAAAGAGTATGGTCCTCCTAGTTTTGGTCTAACAAGCTGTCAGTTATCTTCAGTGATAAGGTAATAGAATTCTAGTAAAGAATTCATTTTGCAAACTTGACATAAAGGGAAAAAATAAGGATTAGGATTTTCTGTACTCCTCTTTACACTCTTTTGTATTTTGCTGTTCTTTGCTCATCCTGCATTCTGTCCAAAGAGAAGGAAGTAACTGGTTAATCTTCCAGTTGTTACTGTAGGAGAGCGCACAATTTCTGTGTGTTGTTTTTATTTTTGGGGTGTTTTAAGTTAAACTCTTTGCATTAAACCAGTTAGCTACAGACATATAATTTGGCACATTATAGTGACCAGTGTAGAAAAAAAAAATTTAAACCAAATATTAGTTCCCAGCCTGCATTTTGTCATTGCTTCTTATTCATTTTCCTGACCCATTTTGCATAAATAGTTACCAGTAAGGCAGGCTACCTGGAACACATATAGCAGTGACTGATTGATAAAGTGAAAGAGACGGAATGGGAGATGCTTGCCTCTTAAGAATGTAACATTATCCCATGCATCATGAAAGCTGCACAATTTTAATCCTTGATGTCATCTTGTTGCAAGTTTTGATTACTGGCATGTAATCCAAAAGATCAAGAGTAACTTTCTCAACTTGTTTAATGAGACATACTTGTAAACTTGATGTTGTACTGGGAGTAGATTTTACCAGAATAAAATTAAAATTTATGGAGAGACGTTGTTACACCATGGAAATAACAAAAATAAGTTTCATGCATTCTTTCAGAGAGGTCTTCAATTTATCTAGACATGCAAACCAAACTAGTGTTTGTGTTGATATGCTTTCGTCAACGTTTTAATAGACATCTGGTAGTGGTAGCAGTAGGGCTTAAGGAATTAAAAACATTGCATGCATTTGTTTTAGTTTGGCTCTTCTTTTCCCCCCTTCAAGTAAATTTAATAGTTTGTTGTCTTGAGTAGGTGTCTTTCAGGTGGAAAGTTTGTAATTAGGTTTCTTAGAAAATAATATATAAGAAATACCAGCCTGTTTTTTGTTCTCTTGTGTTTCACCATTACATGCTGCTGAATCCATTTGCAGCCCTGCAAAGCTTTAATGTGGAAACCAGTCTTCAATAAAAAAAATTGAGGACTACACAACTGCTGGCATTCTGTTTAAAGGAAAAAATAATTTGTACATGGCAGTTCACAGCAGTTCACAGCAGTACCAACACTGACTTTTAGACAGTTGTATTCATCTCAAGCTTACAGAAGCTGAGAAGTACCTGAAAGCATCACCTGTTGTATCTCAAAGGCATTTTGTAGCAAATAGTCTTAAAGCATATTATCAGCGGGAGTGTACAAGAAATGTGCCTGTTTGCAGGTGGTGGTACATCTGTTGAAAGGCTAATTTGGACAAATTTATTCCAAATTTTAGTTCAGCCATGCTGCAAAAAGTCAAAATGTTGTGCCAAAAAAAAAAAAAAAGTATCAAGTGATTAAAGGCTTATTTTCTTTGTTGTAGATAACGGTTGGAATATAACTTGTGTTTTTTTCATACATAAAATGGGGCATTTCTCATGCAGTAAGTGCCTGTATCAAGTAATTTGATGTTTTGTGCCTTCTTACTGAGCTTGCAGCATTGCTGATTAAAACTAATTTCTTTTAAAATATTAACAGATGTTGTACATCATCCTTGAGCACTGATAGTGAATTAATCTTTCTCTGCTCTTGTGTTAAGATACCCATTAAACAGCTTCTCATAGATAAGATTTTAAAATCAGTGTTGCATGTGCTCAAGTTTCTATCAGTCTCTGACAGACTGCCTTTGAAAAGGTTGACCTTTCTTGGTCTGTGATGAGTCAGCCAATAAATACTACGGTACCACCAAAAGCATTTCACAGGCCTCTTAAGCGGACTGAAAACACACAATTTTCTCTATTTGTAACCATTTTGATTTAAGTTCTTTTACGCCTTGGGTTGTTTTGGAGGGGTGTTTTTTGGATTGTTCTTGTTGGGAACCATACTCAGACATTTTCTGCTTTGAGGAAATGAGATGCAGCTCCTTGCTGCTGGTAGGTCCAGCTATGTGGAATGTTCCACCCAGAAAGAAAATGCCACTTTTTTTAAAGTCTGCTTCTGCAATTCTGTTTGACTCCTATTACCACAGTAATGTACACTATTGAATGTACACTATCTAAGAGTGCCTTCCTGCAAATATTGTAGTTCCACAGCTGGGATGGCTCTTGCAGCTGTAGAAGCTGAGCTTCTGTATTACTAGATTCCCTAACTAGTGATAAGAATGTGGTTGTGGAGTGCAAAGCTGAACACAGAGTGAAATCTTGAACTGCTAAAAAAAGAGATACAGATTCACATGAAAAGTTCAAGGTAATTAAAAAAAAAAAGAAGAGGGATGGGATATGCCTGATGACTCTCTCTTGCCATATTTCTGTTGTCATTTATTAGGTGGACTAGAAAAATGCAGCAGTCAAGAAAACCATAAAACTAGTAGCATGGTCCCAGAAGACTTGGTTTTGGGTGAAGTGAGAAAAAATCTGCTAAATTTAATACATGTACCTCATGATCAAATTTAACATTGATTACCCTGACAAATTCAAAACCATTCATTATGCTCATAAGATGAAAGAATAATTCCTATTTTAAAGATATGGTGTCTGTTGGTAGGGATTGGAGCTTTGCTACATCTATAAAAAGGTCAAACTCAACATCATCTCAAGCTTGGAGGAACTTTGCTGAATACACAAATGGGGGAACTTCACAGCTAAGGCTATGCCTCAAGGCTGGTCTGCCACACACCAACTGAGCTGAGCCACAGAAACTGAGAGCAGCCAAGATAATTGCCTTTTCAGTGGCAGTTTCTGGTCACCAGTGATAGCAGTTGCAGGAAGCTCTGTAGCAGTGTTCTATTTTGCTGGAATTTTGCCCTAAATCAATAAACTAGTAGTAGCCATCACTGTCGCAAAGCCACAATATCTAATGTTTGTTGAGGGAATAATTAATAGGGGTCAGGGAAAAGAAGCACATAATGCACTCAAAATGGTGTATGTTTTATCTTTTGGCAGCCTTCTGCAAAAAACTATTCTATCATGCAGAAAAAGTTGGGTGATTGATCTTGACCTAGTAAAGGCAGACGGGTGGTAGTTCCTGGTTCTCTGGAACAGGAAGCACTGCTAAACATAACCCACTGAGAACAGGAAGTCAAGAGTTATAATGCTTCAAATTGAAGTTTTGTGAAGTAGGGAGTAGGCAGCTAAGGACATGCTAAGATTTTGAGAATTTGACCTTTTGGTGCTGCCCAGAGAGGCAGAAGCCCATGTTAGGTTTGGCAGAGGCAACTGCATTTACACAACTGGAGGTACCCTGAATCCATGTGCTTCCTGAGCATTAGTAGAGTATTATCAATAAAAATATATTTAGCCTAAGCAACAAAGTGGCCACTGGATGTAAACAGTGCAACAGTAAGGCGTATCAGTTTTGAGCAAGTAAAGTGAGTTGAATAAAAATATTAGTTCCTAATTGGGAACATGTAAACAATGAGAACTGCAAACGTTATTTTGCAGGAGAGTAAGTAGTCACCATGAGAGTGATCCAGAGCACTTTCAGGTGTGGGTGTCTGAGATACTGTATTTAGAAAGGGAAATAAAAGATTGAGCATTCAGCTAGCCATGGGGGGAGCCAACCAGATGAAATATTGGTTGTAAAATTAACCTTTATGCACAAATGTTTCACTTGTCTCCTGCAGCAGTTTTCTTTATTGTTATAAGGTATTAAAGTACTTGGGCAATACTTCGGTTGTAATAAAAGTGGTTTTAGAATTGCAAGCAAATCACGGAGTTGATTCTGGTTCATTCATATTGTTTTGGTTTATCTGCTATACTGTGGATCCAACACTAAATTTTACCAGGAGTAAAAAATATAGTAAAGGAAGTGGCTTGAATGGTGAACTGGAGCAGTGAAAAATAGTCATCAAAACTGAAACTTTCTCTGGAACTAGAATTGGAAAATATTTAGACTGCACTTTGCTCTGTATTCCTAAGTAGTGGGTGCCAGTAATAATGAAGGCAAACAGAAGACTGCCTTACTTTTGACAATAGGAGCAGGAACACATGTTTAACAGTTTTCAACTAGCTTAGAGGAGGCCTATTATGAAACTACAAAAATTTGAGGAGTACAGGATTCTAAAGAAAACCAGTGAGTCATAACCAGGTTTGCCAAATCTGTCTGGACCCAAACCCAGACTGAATAGCACATTGTCTGCAGAGTATTCAGGATCGAGGACCTGCAGAGAGGCATCTGCAAGCAAAGGTCTTGTAGATAGTACCTCTGTCTTTGCTGGACTCTTGACAGGTTGATGGCTATGGTGTGCTGCTCAGAACCTGCCTACTTGGACTGGTGATTCAGGGACCCCTCAGCACTCTCGTGGTGTTCTTCTGAAGTCAGTAAGTGGTTCCAGCTTCCTTGTACTGGTACTTTTAATAGGCAGTCTGAAGCCTGCACTGCCCTGGTCAAATATGGTTAGTAAATCTAGTTCATGAAAGAAATGTTTTCATTAGAAACTACAATGGAATAGGGAAACATCAGAAGTCATTGCAATTGATCAAAACCTGAAGGGCCCAGAGATATAAACAAAACCCTAGTGAGAGGCCAAACTGAGACTGAATTATGCTTGTAACTGACTGGAAGAAGCTTATATGTACTCTGCCACAGTGACGTTGTCTTTGTGCTTGACACTTGAATGCCCCAGTTGCCCAGGGTGCTGATGCAGCAACAAGAGCTGCCGAAAATAGAGTGCAGAGGAGAGGAGATGGGCTGAGAAGTTCCACTTCATTAAGCAGATGGACTTAACCTTCTTGAGTCCTTCCCTTTTTTCCCCTCTCCCTGGTCTTCTAACAGTATCCCAGCAGACATCCTAACAGTATGTTCCAGTGCCAAGACCTCTTGGGAGTCTCATCCACATGTAACTTGGTTTCAGTGCCCATTCCATGGTCCCTGTCTTGGGCTACCAAGGGTGGCTACAAAGCCTGAAGGTTAAGTCCTAGACTTGGAAAGAAATTACAACTATTTTACCCAAATTCCTGAGTTTTTGCTGGGAAACGTTCATGTTTGCTGTTTACAGGTGCCAGTTAGAGTTGGCTGGAGCCGGTTTCAGTTGCATGGAGTAACAGAGTAAATGTAAAAATAAATCCATATGCCATGGGTCAGAACTAGTTTCCTGAGATACATAGTAGTTGAAGATGTCTCCAAGAAAATCTAGACCTGAAAGATCAACACTGTCTCCTGTGCTGTGCCTCATATCCTGGATTTATTGTTCTGTGTTTTATGATATGGAAACCTATTAAATACAGTATCTTATTTGATACCTTCTGTTCTAGCACAAAGGCAATTTTGTGAGAGGTTACACTTAAGATAAATAATTCAGCTGTCAAATACCTTCACATTTAATTCAGTTACAACACTTAATTTCTAAATGTCAAGTGAGTTCTGATGAATTATTGCTGTTCGTTTTCTTGATTTGTTCTACAGCCTCTTCTGCTGGCACTGCAGTTTGAGGCAGATCTTCTCAAGTATGATTTTTTAATTTTTTACTTATTTTTTTCCCCCCCACTTTGAGAACCTGTTGGAGTTTCTTGAGCAAATGCAGATAAAGAAGAAATTTAACTTTCTACTGTGATTTTATCTTTTCTAAGCACTATTTTTATACCTTGCTCATCTGTTGG